GCGCCCCCCCCCCCCCCCCCCCCCCCCCCCGAGCTATTAGGACTAACGAGACACGGTCAAGCTATCACGGCTCAAGGGTTGACACACCTTCGACGTGAAGGGAAACCCTGGGGGGAAGGAACGGTCGACGAACTCTGCCCTGTCGCTATACACTCCTCCAGGAAGGCACGACTTGCCCACCTATGACCTCTACTCGCGTCTACCTCCCGCCTTCATCAGCCCATTTCTTTCCACTTACGCCAAAGACACCACCGAAGCCGGTACGGAAGTGCCAGACGCACCATTGCTCTATCCTCTGCCGATATCAAGTAAAGTAGGTGATGCATATTTTCTCCTCGTGTCTCGTGTCTTCATTCTTGCAAGCTCATCGATGAATCCGCATTCCATTCATGCTGTCAGCTTATGCTGGGGAGGGTGACGAGCATCGATCACGGCAAGCGTGGGGGGAGGGGGCTCTGATTCCCATGCCACAATCGCAGCCTGCCTACAACAGGCTGCCATTCGCGAAGCATGACGGGAGCGCGAGAAGAACATACCTTTCTCTACTACCGAGCCGAATTTCCATATTTTCCAAGAACAATACGAGCTGGAGAGATAATGCTGATATTTCCCTGCTTCATAGTTTCTTTTTCACGGATACCTAGCCAGCAACAAAGTCAACAAGGCAAGTTCAACCGTTTCTTTTTCGATGTCACCTGCCATTCACGCGCTATCATGGCCCTTTCCCCTTTCCGGAAACGAGTCCGAGAGGGAGTTTGCAGAAACGGCTCGCCATCAAAAGTGCAGTCCCATTTCCGGTTTCGGCTGAGCAAGCAGCTCTTCGGTCTGCCTGCTACTGGTAGCACTTCGACGATGGTGTCGGAAGGCAACCAAGACGGTGGACTTGTGAGACATCTCGGATGCGCCTCTGGTTCGTCTCTGGTTCGCTTGCGACCGCTCCGGACACAAAGCTCAGGCTTCTTGGCAGAACTGCGATCAACAGAGGCCGGACTTCGCCTCGTGCCAGAAAGAGAATACAGCGGCTGCGGCCGATCTGCCATCGCTCAAACGTTGGGGATGGGCAAGCCGCAAAATAGCGTTGGCGTCACGGGCATTCCCAGCCGTCTCCGACATAGGAATTCCGATCTCTCGTGCCTCGAAGCAAGTTCCGCATTGGCTTCAGGACTCGCCGATCTGCACCAACTTCTGCACACAGACAGCCTTGAACGGCATGCCACAGTCAGCTCCCGCGCTGATTATCACATCACGCCTTGTCTAGCCCACACAGATGCCGACAGTGGCCCCTCTGTGCCTTTTCGCATTACTCCATCCCGCCCCAGCCTCCCTTCACTCGCTGCTTTTGAGACGACCGAGGCTAGGTCTTCGAACGATGATTGCTGACATGTTTGATTTAGGACAAGACAGGACCCGATCACCCGTCTCCCGGGACCTGGTCCACTCTCTTGTTCATCCATCATTCAAACGAGGAGCGGTACCTCGCCCAGAACAAAAGGGGCTGCAATATAAGGTTGGTTAGCTCCCTCTATTGACTCTATTGGGACACTTGACTAGTCCAACGCCTGGCTGGTTTCCTTGTGCCCTGCCAGAGCGGGAGCTTGAGAATAGCTGGGCTCCTAGGCCCGGCAGGCAGGCTAGCCTCGTGCTGGACAGGATCAAAGTGTGTGTGTGGTCTGGCGGCTACAGGAGCAATTTCCGACAGAGCTTGGCTAACGGTGGGCAACCGCCCCACTGATACCCAGGTCCCACAACGGGAGCCGTCAATCACCAGCAACGCTAAAGTCCCCTACCCGTACCTCGACCGCCTAGTCTCTTGACGAACGCCTCTTCTCTCGCCCGAGGAGAGGACCCGCGTATGAATCAACCACTTTCCAAGGTACGGTGTTTGCGCATTCCATGCCCCCCAAACAGCTTTTTTCATAGTACATTTTGCGATCCTTGTCCTGCTGTCCCCATCCCCTGAGCCGGACATGCCGTGTCCCGGATTCTGAGTCTCCTGGGCCTCTTCCGGACTGTCCACGAGACTTGAGCTCGTTCGTTGCCGCAACTTTAGACAGGACATGGTGGACAATCTTGAGAGCGCCTACAATTTGGTCTGGTCAAATCGACTCACCCCAACACCCGCGAGCTCTGTCTGAAAGGGTCACGAGCTTGCGGGCCGCGGTTGCGGCTTTGAATGTGGAAGGAATGCGCCACGACATTGAAGGTGAGTTTTTCTAAAGCCCAAGCCTTCATTCATAAGAGCCACATATGACATTGCCCTGGTCATTTGACTGCTTTTCCAATTTCTGCTGCAACCCAGCCTTTGCCTGTCATTGCACTGTCCCTAGCGGTCCATTCAACAGCCTGGGGCTTACTCTCGGATCTGCCTCTTTCGGCGGCCCTGGTCATTGCTTTTTTTTATTGCTTGCTTTTCTTCCCAGCCCACCACCTCTGCGAGTCACCGAGACACTTGGCGTGGCACTCGTGCAATGGGCACCTATTGTTTGCCCTCTCTTTTCTTTCTCCAGCAGAGCCATGCGCCTGGCCATGGCAGCCGTTGAGGTTGTGTGTCTGTCTTGGGTTTGGGAAGCTCCACACGCAATTACCAGGAGGCTGTTGATGGGAAGGGTGATACGTAGTGGTGCAGCCTCTGGCGTGGATCTGTACGACATGTACATGGCCTTCCCGGCCCCGGAGACTACATTGCATCTCTGCTGCTTTCCGACTGGCCCAGGCTAGTGCCTGGGATGCATGTTGCGGCATGGCAAAGGTGCAAGTATCACTCCGTGCCTGACGGTACTCTCTTGTACTGTACGGCACTGACCGATATGGGCACTCCAGGGTTGTCAACGATGATTGTTCTACAGCTACACCAGCGGCATGCTGCAACCTAAACAAGCAAACACTGCCTCTTTCTTTCTCTGTCCCCGGTTTCCTTCAATGCCCTACAGAACCATCCATGTCTGGCTAAGCTGACTCCCGTCGTCTGGACCCCTGCCCCTCGCTCGATCACCCATGTTCTATTCTACTTACTGCTTTCCGATCTCGAGGTTTCATGCTGATTTCACTTCGACCAGCTCTTTCATCTCTGCTCATTGTTGCGCCAGCTCCGTCCGAGAAGCTCTGCACTCAACTATGATTTTCGCCCGGTAGTGACGTCGCTCAACTAGCTGCGTTAGGGATTGAGACGATTACCTATTTTCCCAGGGTCCCATCAAACGCGGGAAGCTATTTGACGAGAAGCCGATTCTGACAACCAAACTGTGTGCAGCAGGACTTCGAGCCCTCGCCGCCCTCTTGCCCTGGGCTGGACTACCTCGACCTACCGGCTACAAATGACCTGCGGTATGTACTGGCTCTCATTTTTGATATGTTACGTGTAGGAGACGTGCATAAAGTTTCAATATTTTTTTTTCCCGTTCTGTATTTCTCAATGTTTTTGCCATGCCCCAATTCCCACCGGAGGAAATCTTGACGCCGAGAACTCACTTCATCCGACGCCTCGCGATCGGGGTGTTCTGGGCGCCTCTGATTTTCTTCCCGACACTACCTTCATCCAATCAACACCACCGAGACTCCATCCTCTTCGATCTAAATGCTAGGGGCAGGACGCGGGCCTTTGCCTTGGGGCTCGATACACCAACACACATACATAGCCGGCCCTTTCCCAACGTTTTCTTCACCCTCCTTGGTTGTTCTCCCACAATCAGTGGCCTTGTAGTATTCTTTCCACCTCTGCTGTCCTTGTAGGACACAAATTGCTGGCAGTGCTACGAGACAAGTGGTACACTGTCACTTGTATTGCGTTGGTGACGCGATACAACACTGCCGTGCCAGGCTTTCGAAAAGGCCCTTTCCTCCAGATATCCGCTGACCTGCACATCAGGTATAGTCAGGACTCCAACTCTTCGCATCTAAACCTGGAAAGCTCTGTTCAACCCTCATCAACGATAAACCTCTACCAGTCTGGACCACCATCGGTTTTCAACACCACTGCCTACGCAGCCGAAGGCTCAGGCACATTCTTCCCTTCCTCATCGAACCACCTGTTCTCTGGCGTGGAAGTCCGAGGTCCCAGACTAGGATCCAGGTATGCCACCGAGTGAGCAATCATCTCATAGTGAAGATCAACTTACAATGGTAGTAGTACTGCCCCATCCACGGGCATGGCACATGTTCGCCGTCCGACAGCATTACCTCATCCTGGAGCTCAAGTTGCCACTCGAGATCTTTATTCGCCCGCAACTCCCGCTTACAGGAGGTCGGATCACTTGTCACGATCGCCACCCTTTCCCACAGCCTTACGGCATCACCCACTGTCCCCGACACCCAGCCCAAGTCTGGGATTCAACCCAACTCTCAGGATGGACAATTCCTTCGGCTCGAAGTCCCAGCAGACTATCCCACCCCTGCAGACGATGACCACACTTGGTACCTTGCACTGCACGGATGGCTCTGCAACTGGTGCACCAGTGAAAATCGAGATCAGCGGCACCATTGACAAAGGCTTCTTCCTTGCCGATAACGAATGGACGTGTTACAGGCGGAATTACTTCTCCTGTATCTGTTCGTACAGCCTGACACCCTACTTTCCGAGTACGACCATGCACTTCTTGCAGACGAGCAGCCAGCAGAGCTACCAGGTCTATGGTTTTGCTATGTGCATCTCAGCTGTTGTCGCTGACAACGATGGCCAAGCGATTGAGCTAGTCCAGCACACCCCGAAGAGAGACAAAGGGCCTATTGCCCGGCCTGAGAAGGTTCGTCTGAATCCTAAGCCGCCTCAAGCGAACCACCATCCCCTCGGAGCGTACAGTCAGGTGGATACCGGCTTGGTCGGATCTTCGAGATACGAGCAGGGCTATACCAACGTGCAGGGCTCTTATCCGACTGAACATACCTTCGAACGCATTCAATTCAAACAAGCAACGGCCAACAATGGGAAACGTCGGGCTGCCCAGCAATACTACCATCTGATGGTTGAGCTGTATGCAGACATAGGCACCCAAGGCTCGGAGCAGTTCTTGAAGATTGCGTATCGGAAGTCGGCGAAAATGATAGTGCGCGGGCGCTCCCCCGGGCATTATCAGTCGGAGAGGCGCGGAAGTACAAGCAGCGGTCCAGGCGGGTCGGCCGGGAGCATTGGCTATGGGTCATCTCAGCTCCTGGGTTCGGAATTCGGGCCTCAGGGCGCCACCATGCTCTCCAGTGGCTACGGAGGAGGCTATGACCCGCGAACCAGTCATTACGGTTCTGGCACCCGCCACCACCACGACCTCCCCATGGAGCCGATCATGTCAGCGGAAGAAGCGAAGGCTCTCAATGACACGAAAGAGTATCAATACTACCCGACCCCCATTTACGATGCCAGCCACGATCCGCGCCAGCCAGTAGAGATGTTCACTCACAGCCGTGGTGAACACGATACCGCAACTTCTCACGCTGGCAGTGGACTCGATCTGGGCTCCAAAGTCAAGTCCGAGTTTGACGGATCACTGCCCCGTCTCTTCTACCCAGGCCCCCACGCCTTCACAAAAGCCCTCGGTCGATTTGAAGGCAAATCTAGTTCTGGGGGGTATTATCCGACAATGATGCCTCCTTCTTCTGGCCTGAATATTACGTGAACGGCGGATACTATCGCGGCAAGGGTGGGCCAAGCACCATCATGAAAAGCAGGCATCTTGGTAGCTGACATCGGGTTGCACAAAAAGGGCGCTCTATTCTTTTGATACACGGGACACCAATTCGGCACGAAAATGTTCAACAACGTGACTAACACTGTTTTTCCTTCATCTTTGCTCTGGGTTGCAGTGGAGTGGGTATTGGCCAGAGGCCTTTGATATTCGGTAATGGGATGCATGGCGTAAAGGGAAAAAGAAAAATATGAACGGTGAAAAATGCATTAAGACTCGAGCCTCTGTTCAATTGATCACCATTCATAGAACTCGATACACACAAAGTTATCAGGAGTCGGATGACCACAGCATGGGAAGGCAGACATTGTATGGGGACCAAGTCGGATGAGATACACGAGGAGTTTGAATGGATACCCATGGAGCATCTGATTTCACCTTTCAGTTCTCGAAATGTATTTGAGTTGGTAGCATACCATTTCTTTTCTCTTCCTTCTTATTTTAGTCACGACCCTTTGGAGGCAGGCTGATCGGGGCAGTCTGGCGTTGATCGTCATGAGGACTGCTGGGCTGATCGGGGTTGACCCTCGCTATGGTTGATGTTTCCGTGTTCTCCTGAAATAGCTGATGACAACAATTTTTATGCTATGCTGTGCTATTATTACCTTTCTTGAGTATTGTCTGTTGTGCCATGCTGATTGATTTGTGCTCTGTTTGCAGCCAAGTTGGTCAAGACCAGACGGATCTTGTCTGCCAATACCACACCGCGATTAGGCTGATGCAGGCTCGGTCTCTTGGACTGGGAATGCGAATGTAAGATGCTACGGAACTCATCCTCATCTGACAGAGCAGCATGGCAAGTGAGACATGGCGTGAGAACCATCCCATGTAGGGGAGGTGCCATCTCTCAGAGGACAAAAACTACCACTTGTTACCTGTCTGCACAGCCCAAGGCGCCCTGGACGTGGAGCCTAGGGCTCACACGACCAACCGTGGGAATCTGGTGGCATACCCAAGATTGGGATGCGACAGAGAATCCCAACCAGAATGCAATCGGTGTCTTCCCGAAACAAGTAAAGTAGGCACAGCACTAATGTAGGTAGGAGGAATGTATGCACGCCTCTCTTGTCAGAGCACCGAAACGCCCACCCTGGACAATGACAGGACCCGCAGAGAGGCAGTTCCCTCCAAGTACATAGATTAACTGAGGTAGCGACCCGACAGCGAACGGCACATCAATGCACTAGCTGCGCTCACCGGTTGTACATAGATCTGCCCAGCCGGGGTGGTGGTGGGCATCCATGGCAAGTCATGGCTATCCATTCGTCACCCGGGCATGCCCACACCCTGAAACTACCTGGAGGGAAAGTGCCTATTTGCCTACCTTACATCACTCTTACCGTCTGGCCCCTAACTAGTCTACCTCTGTCTGACCCCCTTCCTCACTGACACACACATCCACACCAGACTAGCGGGGACCGATCATCATCCTCGTACCCGAGGAGGCGTCATCCTTGTTGGCCTAGAGGGAAGGAAGGACTGGACAGTATGGCCTGCCTTCCGCTATCGTTTCCGGTTGGCAGGGTGGGACTTCCTGCTTCTTGCGACCTTTTCGGGATCCCGCGAGCTCGTGATCGAGTTTCACCGCCTCCTCCAGCTCCTTCAGCTCCTCCAAGGGGGGAAGGGGGGGAGAGGGGGAGAGAACCGTTCCTTCCGTTTCCCTCGACATTACAATCATGTACCTGCCTCCAGTAGTCCAGGTGATTTAACTAACGGATCTCGGCTCCCCCCATCTCGTGTATGGATGTCCGCCCCAGTCAATCATTCCATTTCTTCTCTTTCCTGCGCTCGACTCTGAAAAAAGTAAATTACATGCATGCAACGCCTCACAGCGGGAGAAGTCCCCCGTATCAGCAGCAACAGCAGCAGCAAGCAGAGCAGACTAGGTACCCTCGCCCGGCCTCGCTGTGTGACGAGTTTCGGTGGTATCAAAGACTAGTTGCAGCATCGCAAATCGAAATCTGAGGATGCAGAGAAACCAGACCCTTGCAGATAGGCGAGAGAGCCTGGCCTCTTCCCTGTTCTCCTGGCGCAGTGGATGCGTGTGGGGGGTGTTTCCTCCTTCTTTCGGCTCTCCCTTTTCCTTATTTCCTATTGATTTTTTGTTGTCCTGTTTATCTCACACGGCTGGAGACCACCCTCGTGTCCTCGAGGACTTTCTTTTCTTCTTGTCTCTCGCCCCGGTCTACGGAACACGCATTGGCGCACGCATTGCGGATCTGGAAATGCAGGAGCTCAATGGCGCGCGTGGCGTATTTTCTTTTACGGCACAGCAGGAGAAAGCGGGAAGATGCAAAAGGTTGTGCCACACGAGGGCATCGCAGGGCCCTGACTGGCTTCTCGGAATTTTTTTTCCCCTTTCTTACCTCTTTTCTATGGACCGTCTGCTTTCTGGTTTGACCGCGCATGCAGAGTGTGGGGTCCAGGGTCAGGGTCAGGCGGAAAGCCGGCGATGAGAAGCAACGGATTGATGACCACAGCAACGTAGGAGGCTGGGACTTTTCCCCCTCTGGGACGGAGATGTGCCGGCAAGCGCACACGAGATGGGTGCAGACAGCCAGTCCTCCAACCGTGCTTGTCTTCTTGGCTCTTTTACGCACTCGCCTCGGCCTCCTCGAGTCTGGAAAGCGGCTTGGGATCATCTTGTTGGATCTCTTTGCGGAGACATGTACAGTGTGCAACGGCATCCGCCGTCCGTCTCGTTAACGAGGCCTGTCCTCGTCCGTTGCGGTCCCCCTTCTCTGGCTCTGAATGGCTCGGTCAGTGAGCCAGAGCGGTCAATTTATCGATCGCAAGGGTGACCCCTGTCCCGAGCTGAAGAATGGAGGGCGTGCCTCTAGAGAAAAAAAAAAAAAAGCAAGCGCATGGCGGTCACTCCAACCAGACCCCACGGTTGGCAGGCTCAGGCAGGTTCCGTCCCTCGTCACTCGATCACCAAGCGTGACATCTGGATGGGGAATGGGCTCATCATGTCTCGAAAACATGAGAAGTGATGAAAAGACAGCCCAATTTCGCCTTTGGGTGCTGTCCAAATAAGCTTTGGAAACCAAACATCAAGCTCGCTCGGAACTATACTGTTCTAAGCAAAACGGCCCGCTTTGGTGCCCGCTGTGGCATGGTCCACGCTGCCCGCTATGATCTCGGCGCCCCCAAAGGAATTAGCCCCGGCCCAAGGACAGCGCATGTCATGCAAAGTCACTCCTTGTCATTTCGAGATCTGAGATGGGGAGGGCAGGGCAAGGACAGACGGTGAGGAAAGTGCTGCACTATGACGCGGTCCCGAGAATCAGTGCCGTGGTGAAGGGGCAGAGATCTAGCCTTTTTTTCTCTGTCTCCAGATTAGCCACTTTTCCTCACACGGCCGCACACGAAGTACGCACATCCTTGCGCCTCGGACGGGATCTCATGGCTGTGCCAAGAGAAGAGGACCCCAAATCCGGCCCCCAACTCTTTGCTCCCTGTTCCGTCATGGACTTGTCTACGTATTGATTTTGCTTGCTTGTCTGGGTGGTATCTCTGACGCGTATCCTGATCCTTGCTACCGCACCTTGGCAATCCATGCTCTTTTTCACACGCAGTCATCCTTTTCATGTCATCAGAAAGCAAACTCCAGCCAAAGGCACAACAATCAGGTGTGCTCTCGCAACAACTTCCATGTTGGTTGAGGATAGGTGACATTCTATTGCTCGGCCACTCGTCGATCTGCCGAAATAGATGACTGCAGAAGGTTGCATTTACACTGGCTGTTGGTAGTCCCTTTGGGGCCTTTTGGGACTGACGCTGACAGAGCAATAGAAAGCTCGGGGCGAGAGAGGGCCTTTTGGGCAGGCGTCGTCGTCACCCTCCGGTGGCAGCCAACCTGGCTCGGGCGACAAATACCCGACCTACTACCCTGCCTGCCACTGAAACCGGTGACGATTACGAACCATGAAGGAGGTTTACTCATCTATTCACCTGCCCATTTTGTAGAGGCAGACATGTGAGATACTGGTGGTTCGCTGCTGCCGCTACCGCAAAGCTTGATGGGTCGTTGTCAACCGCGTCGATATCATCGACTGCACTGTACTTCGTTCGTGAGGGCGACGAATCCTATCGTGGCTGACCTCACGATGTCGAGTCTGCCCTGGGGTAAACAGACTGGATTGACTCAGCACGCACGCGCGCGGGACGAGTTCGACGATTGCTGTAATAATAACTCGACAGTTAAGGCCAGAACGGGTATAGTCTGGCTGGACAAGATGGAGGGAGGGTCTGGGGACGGAGCTGAAAACCGTTATATCGCTGCCTATCACTACACCGCCGTCGCTGAACCAAGGAAAAAAAGTCACTGGCCCCGCGCAGATCGATCTCACTGTTACCGTTTCTTGCTGTCCATAGAGCAGTGTTCGTTTCATCGTTACACAGCTTTTTCCCTCAGCCCTACGGCTCGGAAAGGACATGTCGCCTATTAGTCCGTCATCCCTTGCCACCCCCGGCGGGTTTGCCGGTCCATTCGGGGAGGGGGCTGGCCCCCTTTTTTCCCTTGTATCTTCCTCCTTTACCAAAAGCTGACTGCGTGGGGGAATGGTGTTCAAAAAATCTGCAAATGCACTAGCATATGTGAGGTTATCTTGACATCAGGAAATGTCGGGGGGGAAGGCCGTTCATCCCAAGCCTCCCAGAGCTGAGACGAGCTGAGCATTTGGCAAACCTGTCTCTTCTTTACTCGTCTCTTGCTCGGCAAAGCATGGACAACATATTTGGTAAGTTTTGTCGGTGCCTTGGCCGAATTTATACGGTGAAGTCCTGTGGGCGTTCGGTGTTTCTCTGCTCTCTGCCAAGAAAAATAGGCAAGGTAGGGACTCACATATCGACTGATGACAAGACACTTTTCATCACACGATAGCTTCAAGATGGAGTCTTTGCTCCGGTCAGAGTGAGGAATCACCAACATCATGATGCACAAATGTAACAAAAAAGCCCTTTTAGCAACATTGAAATCCGGATTTATGCACGTTATAGCCAGAATCAGCAGTCTGCTTATTCACGTAAAGGATTGCTATTGCAAGAGCAGATGCGACGTCCGCACAAGGCTCTCTCACCGCCAACAGGGCCAAGCAGGCAGAGGTCTTGTCAAACTTTGTTGGATTGGACAGTCCATCCGTAGCTGTGATAAATCTATCGGCCACTTCCGATGGAGGGCTTATTCTTTGCGGCACGGTCTTTTCCAACGGAATTATCCCCGCCCCTCTCAATCTTCCCCCCAAGGTGTTCCTCTCTGCTGCCGTACCCCGGATAGATCGTAGTGCTCGCTTCAAACAAACACCGAGGTAGGGGGTGTGTTGATCCGAGGATGTGACATCGGCCACTTCCTGGAGTTCACCCCAGGTAGGAGAAATCTCGCGCACTGTGGGAGTGACATTGGACCACAGGTCGCCCCGAGTCGGGCGTGCGGCTCGAATGTCGTGGAGTGTGTGTGTGAGAGAGATCTCGGTACCAGTCGTGGCATGGCATGGCATGGCTCGCCGCCGCCGCCGCCGCCGCCGCCGCCGCGGCGCTGCATGCTGCTGCAGACTTGGCAGGTGTGACCGAAATGAGTCTCAAGATTGCAGAGCTGCAAGGTTTCACATAGGGCCCCTATCGCTTAGCACTCCCAATAGGAGTGTTGCATCTGTCCATACCTTGGGATGAACTAGGACCCTGACCCCAGGCTCGTGATGCGGTCAGGAAGGGAAGTTGTACAAAAGACAAGACTCATGCTGATGTAAACCCCCCGATGAAGAGGAGAGAGAAAGAGAAAGAGAGAGCGAGAGCGAGACGCGCGTGCATGATGATCCATGCGGCGTGCTGAATAGCCGTGCTCGCTTTCAGACGAAGTTGTGATAGCCTACTAGCAAGCTTCAAGTAGGCGACGAGAGCGCAGCTGTCTCGTCATGGGCGTGGGGGGTATCCCCGATGACCAGGGTGGGCTGTTCGTCGCCGTCGCCCTCCTCCCTCTTGATCTCGATCTCGCGCAGGGTCCTCCGGTCCCGCGGCGGCACCGGCTCGGCGAGTATGACCGTCTCCACGCCGGCGGGGCTGAACTCCTCGGGGCCCATGGGCAGGGCCTCGACGTCGATGTGCACGCCGAGGATGCTCTTGAGGATGACCTCGCTGCCGGCCTTGCTCATGACCTCGTTGGCGTGCTTGCACCGCTCCGAGGCCACGCACTCGAGGCAGCCCACGTCGCAGCGGCAGGCCAGCACGCGGTCGAGCGCCTGCCTGAGCAGCAAGTCGATGAACTCGAAGGCCTTGGTGTTGATCCCCGAGCCCCCCGCGCCGCCCTTGGCGTCGTAGAAGGTCAGCCGGGCGGGCCGCTTGCGCGCCGTCTCCTTGCCCGCGAACTCCTTGAGGCTGTTCTTGCACTCGGTGCGCACGTCGCCGGGCATGCTGACCACAAAGTTGGGCACGAGGCTCATGACGGCGTGCTCGGCCGCGTGGATGGCGCCCGCGACGTTGAGCCGGCGGTCGACGAGGATCTCGAGCGCCGCGCGGGGCACGTCGATCCACATGCCCTTGGAGTAGCGCACGACGGGCGGGTTGTCGACGTGCACGGCGTCGAGGATCCGGTTGCGCCGGTCCATCTTGAAGAAGCCAAAGACGACCTGCGTGATGCGGATCGTGCCGTGGAACGCGCGCGACAGGGAGCCCGGGATGCGCCGGATGGCCTCGGTCTCGGTGGGGTCGACGTCGGTGTAGTCGCGCTGCTGCGTCAGCCAGTCGACCTTGACCTTTTCGACGCGGGCGATGCGCCGGTCCGGGTTGAAGTCGCGCACCAGGTAGGTCGTGCCCTGGTGCAGGAATATGGCGCCGTCGTAGAGGGTAAAAGTCGCGCGCGAGGCCTCGAGCTCCTCGAGGACGACGTTGCGGCCCTGCGTGATGTCGATGATGGCAAAGTGCTCGTCCTCGGTGTCGCGGATCGAGACGAACTTGGACGGCAGCGGGCGGAAGCGGTCGTGGCAGTGATAGAAGCCCAGCTCATCCTTGACGAGCCGCTGCTCGCAGAGCTCCTCAAGGTCGTCGCCAAAGTACTTTGCGTCTTCTTGCGGGCGTATGGGCATCTCGTAGGCGGCGCACTGGATGTGGCCCTCCCTCACGAGCATGTTGTCTAGGTCGACCTGCAGCTCGCAGTTGGGCTTGGTGAAGAGCTCGTCTGGGTTCTGCATGTAGTACTGGTCGGTCGGGAAACAATCGCCGACCAAGATTGATAATGAGTCCTTGTTCCGGCGTCCAGCCCTGCCGCTCTGCTGCCTCAGGTTGGCGATGGTGTAGGGAAAGCCCCATGTTAGGACACAGTCCAATGAGCCGATATCGACTCCCAGTTCGAGCGCGGTCGTCGCCACAATGCCCATGAGCTTCCCTTCAAACATCTCGGTCTCGATGCGGCGGCGATCCTGCGCCGTGTACCCACCCCTGTAGCCCATGACCCGGGAGCCGCACTCAGACCGCCCCAGAGTGTCGAGTTCCTGTCGGATGGCACTCACGAGCTTCTCGCACTGTGCTCTCACCCGGGTGAAGGCGATGACGCGCACCCCGCGGAGAATCAGTGCGCAAAAGAGACGCGCACACTCAACCATGGCGTTGCCTCGTCCGCTGGTAGGATCGGAAGGGTCCTTGAAGGGGGTGTTCCAGCAGAGGAATTCCTTGCGGCCGGAGGGCGAACCGTCAAAGTCGATGAGCTTGACGTCGTCCATGCCAAAGATGGTACTGAAGTGCTCCTGCGGGTTGGCAACGGTGGCAGAGCACGAGACGAACCGAACGCGCCGGTTCCCGATGGCCGCGCAGATGCGTCTTAGCCTCCGCATGATGAAGGCGACGTGGGAGCCCATGAGGCCGTTGTAGTAGTGCAGCTCGTCGACGACGACGTACCTAAGATTCCTGAGAAAACTGCGCCACCTCTCTTCTTGGGGGAGGATAGTAATGTGCAACATGTCCGGGTTGGTAAAGATGATGCGGGCGTCGTCCCGGATCATGTTGCGGTCCTGCATCGGTGTATCGCCGTCGAAAGTCTCGACAATCATCTCTTCCATGCCCGGCATGTAACTCAGCATCTCTTTCAGGCTCCTCTTCTGATCTTGCGCTAGAGCCTTGGTAGGAAATATGTACATGGCCCTTGTATGGTGGTCGGCCTCCAGCGCGTGAAGGACTGGCAGCTGGTAGATAAGTGACTTGCCGGAACTCGTCGACGTCGAGACCACAACGTTGTGGCCCGCATGTAGGTTGTTGATTGCCTCGGCCTGGTGAGCGAAGAACTGCGTGATGCCCTTGGCATTGTAGAGAGCGTTGACTAGATTCTGGCTAAGGAGGAAATCAAGATCACCATAGATTGGCTCCTGGGCTTCGAAAACTCGGTGACCGTCCGGCACAATCTGACCCACGTACCACTGACTCTCCTTGATCTCCTGCACGATCTCGGGGATGCTCTTTCGTTCTGTGGGGATAGACTCGGGAAGGGTGCTGAAGTCGGGCTGCGGCGAGGACTCTCTTGTTTCGCTCGGAACAGGTATAAAAGCTTGGGCCTCGCTCTCGAGGACCAGCTTCGGGTCAAGCCCTTCCTCAGCACATCGGTTCAAGAACGAGTTGACCGCATTCGTGAACTTCTGGTTCCTCTTCTCAATCAGCGTCGACATCTGCTTCTGACTGTAGACGGGCATCTTGAGGTCCTCCTCGCGCAGTTTTCTGGTTGGCCTGGTCGGCTCGCCGGTCCTCTTGTCCTGGACCTGCCTCTTGAGATCCCCGTCCACAAACTCAAAGTACAGCACCTCCTTGACGCCCGGCTCGGGCAGCTCGTCCGGGTGCCGCGCCCCGAGCTCCTCGGTGCCCGTCAGGCCGCCGACCGACGCGTCGGGCGCGAACCCCTGGGTCCGGAAGTCCTTCACGCGGCTGCCCGTCTTGAACGTGACGTCGCGCTCGGCGCCCTTGACGTCGATCTGCAGCATCGCCTCGTCGACGTACGCGAAGGCGATGCCCTCGGGCCGCAGGGCCACGACGGCGGCGACGTCGGCGGCGAGCAGCTCGCGCTTGGTGTGCGACTCGACGGCCGCGCGCATCGTGTCGAAGGTCGTGGCCAGGTGCTTGCGCGTGCAGCAAAAGGTGAAGACGAGGTTGAGCGCGCGGTGCGTGCGCTCGAGCTGCCGGAAGTACTCGGGCCACTCGATGGCGCAGGGCACGGGGGTGATGCCCGAGTCGCCGCGCTGCAGCTTGGGGTCCTTCTTGGACTTTGCCGCCCGGCGCGGCTTCGCCTTGGGCGCCGGTGCTTCTTCTGCTGGCAGGACTTCAACACCGTCGGCTGCAGCGCCATCTTCGATCTTGATCTCGGGATCGGGAGACACCCTGCCGTCCAGAGGGGTGGCTGCCGGTGGTTTTCCGCGCTTCCGCTTCCCGAGGGTCGGGTTGGCTTGTGGCGTTGCCGAGGGTGCTGACATCTTCAATCTCAGTGAACCAGCACCCGTTCTAGATGTGCGTCCCCAATACTATGACATCTCATCCGTAGACTACAACGCAGCTCTTCTGCGAGATGAAGCGGAGTCCATCAAAGACTCATGGATGGTGACGTCGTTGAGTTTGTCAAGTCGCGAGTTTTAGGCGGCTGCAAACACGAGATTTGCTCGATATCACGTGGGAGCCTAAAGTGCATCATCGCCAGTTCTCGCTAGAGAATCTGGCACATTGCAAAGACGGTCAACACGCAGTGAAATGGGATGTTAACGTGTTGTAATTTGTTTCTAACAGTTGCTTCTTTGATCTACCTTATCCATCATGCAATGCGCGTCACCTGCCTAGGGGCGCCCCAAAATGACAAGGCCTCCCTCCCAATGTCTCATCTAATAGCTGGCGATCACAACCTTGGGATCAAGACCGTCCGGGTATGCCTCTAAAATCTACCTAGTCATAGTAACCACGTCTCATCGGACTTCTGGATGAAATATTGCCATGCATGCGGTTCAGTCCCAATCACAAAGGATGATCTCTAAACCTTATAATCGAACCTTTCCCACATGGACTTGGATGAGCCGCATCCAAGAGCAGCTGTCAACATGCGAATCTTGCATGATAAGAAACATCGGGTATACTCCACGAGTGGGTGGCTCGGCGATGCCTCATCTACCTCATCTACTGTTCCATGGGCATTCTTCTGTGTCCCCTCTGCATTCACTCGCCTCGGAGCTCTTTCTGAATGCCGACCATCAGCTGTATGAAGTTCTCGGCATTGGCCTCACTCAGCTATTGTCTGGTTAGTCTCCCATCTGACCTGATAAATTTCATCCAGGAGAAGAGCATACCTTCATCTGCATGCTGACAGGCTTTGCGTCCTCGCCCTCAAATGCTGGAAAGAGGACTGTGGTGTACTTGAGTGCAGTTCGCTTCTGGAAGTCCGTAGCTGGGACGACCACAGTGTTCAGGATGACACGGTGGGTGGAGTCTTGCCGCATGATCAGGCGAACAACCTTGGACTTGCGCTCGCCGCCAGACTCCTCATCGTCCTCCTCATCGAGGACGGATGCGTCAAAGGATGCCGGAATGGCAACACCCGCTTCGTCGAATTCAACACTCGCCTCGGGCACGTTGACCTTGATGATGCCCGCACCTCGCTCTTTCCAGCCCGTCTCCTTCTCCAGGTGATATAGCCGGGTTCGGGCGGAGAAGATGGTGGCTTCTCCGGCCTCGCCGTCGTCAACAGAGACTAATAGAGCTCGTCAGCACTAGAATACAGTCCGTGGACAGTCGGGAAGTACCTTTTTGTAGCTTGGGCTTCTTTTTATCGTCCACGACAGCCTTAGGCTCCTCTTTCTCCTTTTCTTCAGACTCGACCTCCTCGGCGCCGCTTTGCTCGTTGACGTCAGAGCCTTCGTCGTCGTCGTCGCCCTCTTCAGCATCGCTCTCAGGTGCACCAAACGGCTTTGCAGGCTTGTCGCTCTTAAAGACGTCGCCCGGCTTGGCAAAGCTGGACAGCTTGGCTCCTCCCGGCAAGGTGCTTCCGAATCCGCTGGGAAAGGCACTCCCGAAAGTCGACGTCGAGGGCCCGTTCAGGGTTGCGAAAGGAGATGATGCGCCTGGCTTGTTGCCAAAGCTCAGACTCGGGGCTGCCGGCTTCGCTGCGGGTGCCGCACCACCGAGGCTACCGAAAGGCGATGCCGAACCTGCTGCACTGCTAGCACCACCAAACACACTAGGTTTTGCTGAGCCACCGAGCGCGCCAAACGGAGAGGTCGTTCCTGTGAGTTTGGAGAGGCCCGAGCTGGCAAAGGCCGAGGAGGATGTTGTAGTAGAGGCAGTGTCTGCCTTCTTGGGAGAGGCGGCGCCCGCAGCCTGAGCTGTCGTGTCTGTCGCCTTGTCTGCGGCCACGGTAGTTCCCTGTGAGGTGTGGGTTAGGCGTGTTCCGTGTGTTGGCCGAGTTCATAAACAACTTACTGTCTGGTCTGCCGTCTTGTCCTCCTCAGTAGCCTGTCCGTCCCGTTGGCGCTTCTTATCGCGCTCAGAGATGGTTGCACTGCTGGCAGGATCGGCGCCCTCGACATCCCTCTGCTCGTCTACTTCGTCATGGCCTCGCTTCTTCTTGGGAGACGAGACCTGCTCCTTTAGCGAGTCCCTGTTTGCGCCTGGCAGGTCGAGCTCCGGCGTCTTGGTTCGCGCCAAAGCTGCATCATCATCCTGCCCTGCCGAGGCGGTCTTGGTCTTGTCGTCAGAAATAGCTGTCTGCTTCAGCTCCTCCCTGGTCGCCTTGGTCTCCGCGTCTTCCTTGGGGCTGCCTGCTGTGACAGGATCGGACAGATCGCTGGTGTTGTGCGTATCGTCAGCCATGGCTGTCAGCAGGCTGTGATTGCGCTCGTGTTTGCGCGCCTTTGCTTTGCTCGCAAGACCAGGCCGGTCAGGATGTGGGGAATAGCAAAGAGTAAATAGCTCTGGATTCCGCAGTCGGGTGAGCTGGCAGGAGGGATCGCAGAGCAAGAGGTAGAAGAGAGGAGTCGCGGAGCTGATTGGAATATGTGAGCGACAGTTGGGCAGAGCTGAGAGGGGAGTGAGGCTGTTTGACCAAACAAAGAGATTAAATTGCACGGGTGTCGAGCGTTGCTGGTGCCGAACCAATACAATGGCAACTATCAACACATCCACAGCACTGACGTTAGCGCCAGTGGGTTGTTATCTTATCCGTCGATCGGCGCACATCCATCACGTGGTGTGCCAGTGCCAGCTGTACAGTAGGTGTAAGACGCCTAAAACATCCACTAAATCCCAGCCTGAACATCAACCTTGGAACCTCGAACACTGGAAGATATTGAAAACTGATTCCAGGTTGACATGGTATCAGCCTGTGCAGTGATGATGGCAAGTCAACCCCTTGGTGCTGGGAAGGATAGCAACTGAGCTGACTTGTCAGATATTAGGTGAAAATAAGCAGCCGGTCGCAAAACCCTGACCCTTTCTCCCTGTGATCTCTTATTGAGCAGGTAAGGTAGTGTAAAGAATACCACAGGGAACTCGGACAGTAAATGCGAGCGCTTCTGTTCCATCTCCCAATACAGCAATGAAGGCCTTGGTCAACAACTGTTCCTGACTTAACCCTATATAAAGACAACTCTTTCTGTCAATGCTAATGAGAATTGCCTCTGTTGTCTGGAAATGAAAATGCCCATGGTTGATAGTCGAAGTATCGTCAACAAAGAATGAGAGTTGAGCATAGAGACTAAGCCGAGATAGGAAAGTTTAGATCTCATTCCCAGATAGGGCAGTATAGACCAGGCAGAGGGACTGGTCCAATCATTGATGATACGGTCGATAGGCCATGCATGCAGGATGTGAATAGATAATCCCAAGGAAGATGTGACTTGATTGACTACTTGCTGATGCTGCTCGTACCACTATCAATGAGCCGCAAAGAGTTTCCCCCTCTCTTAGCAAGACATCATGGTTCGGACCATCATCTACAACGCCTCTATCTTGACTCTGGATGTTGCAGACAGTTTCTACTATCCCGGGACCGTCGAGATAGAGAATGACCGGATCATCAAAGTGTACAGCGGCAAGCCGGGTGACGAGACCCTTAATGACCCATCAGCCGTTCTTCTCGACGGCACGGACAAGCTGGTCATGCCCGGCCTTGTCGACTTGCATTTTCACACATCTGTTGCAAAGGTACGCTGTGATGCTTTTCTGCTTGCCTACCATTCTTGAAGATTCTAACTCAGTGCAAAAGGGATTCGGGGATGAACTACCACTCAAAGAATACCTGGAGGAGGTCTGGTACCCCGCCATAAGGGCGTTGGACAAGGAGCGCGCCTTCACGGCTGCGATGCACTCGTACTGCACCGCCGTCAAGTCCGGCACAACCACCGTGAACGATATGTATCGCTTCGTCGGGTCCCTTGCGGACGCAGCCAGCAAGATTGGCATCAGGGCAGTCCTCAGCAACGAGGTGGCCCTGCCCGAATACAAGCTCGATCTCCTCGAGGACAATGAGGTCTCCTTCAGGGAGAACAACGGTAGAGATTTAGATCGTATCCGCGTCTGGCTGGGCCACGAATGGATGTGCACCTCGGATCTGGAACTCATGGCCCAAGTTGGACAGGCAAAGAAGAGGCTCGGGACCGGACTGCACATACACCTCTCTGAGTCGGAGCAGGAGGTCCAGGAGGTCCAGGCCAAGTTTGGCATGACGCCAGTGGAGATAGCTTATGAGTCTGGGTGTCTGGGTCCCGACACAGTGGCCGCGCACTGCGTGCACTTGACCGACGACGACATCCAGCTGCTTGCAAAGACCGGCACTTCAGTCTCCTACAACCCAGGCTCCAACGCCAAGCTCGGCAACGGCATCGCCCGCTTGCAGGATCTACAAGCCGCGGGTGTCAACGTCGGCATGGGCATAGACGCTTTTGAGTGCGAAAACAGCCCCGACATGTTCGAGCTGATGAAGTTCGGCTCGCTGATTCAACGGGGGCTTCACAAGGATGCATCGCTAGGGAAACCACCGCAGATCCTCCGGATGGCGACCCAGAATGGCTGCAAAGCACTCGGCATCGACGCCGGAGCAATAGAGCCCGGGAAGAAGGCGGACCTCATCGTCCTCGACCTCACCAAGAACCATATGTTCACGCCCCTGCTCAAGGATCCAGCGAGGCGGAAAACAATGCTAGAAAGCCATCTCGTGTATGGTTGCAACGGATCCGCAGTGCAGCATTCGATCATTGACGGGAATATTGTTATGAAGGATTTCAAAGTGCTAGCCATTGATGAAGAGGCGATAAGGAAAGAGATGGATACCGTGTTCGAGGGCATAGCGGAAGACATGAAGTCGCTCATCACAAGAGTGTGATGAAATGCCTCGATTTGCAGAAAGCATTGAACAAGGCGCGCCCAGGCAAGATTTCCAACACAAAGAGAGATCGATCTCATCGTCTGCAAAAACTAGTCAGAATGCACCAGGTTTGACAAAGGTGAGGGTTACCATCAACCATACCAATGAAAGCCTCCCATTATGTGTTGGCACTGATTTCGCCAAGCACATCGCTGTGATCAGAGCGCCTCACACACTGCAAAATGACCCTAGCAGTTAAGAGCACGAGCATAAGAGAGCATTAACTTGTGTTCGATTCGTGTCATCCAGCCAAATTACAGTAGTGATACATGTCATCATGATATACCCTCTGGGCCGAGCCACAGCCAGCCGGGCCAATGTGCGAGCCCACGCCCAAACCGTTCCTCAAGACAGAGGCCATCTAGCTGATAAAGCACAAGCAGCCCAGGCCCAGGTAGAAGACGAATAGGGGGTAGACTGCAATCCCCACCCTGTTCTTGACCACGCCGCTGCCTCCAAGGATGCTGACGCCAGCAGCCAGAGACCAGGCTACCAAGACCAGGTAGACGGGGATCCTCGCGATCTGGGGGAGGTGGAGAGCTGACATCATAGCAGCGAGGACGAGAGGGAACAGCGTGTAGCCAATGATGCAGACGCTCTGGGCGAAGGAACTGGGCGAAGAAAGAAAAAAACGTCAGTCAGCACTTTGGGATAGGGTCTCGATTTGAGCAGACAGGGGGGTTTGTGAGGCCGACTTACATATTGCCTCCCAGCAGCTTGATCTGCAGCGTGACGACGGCCTCGCCGATCCAGACCATGGCGAACACGCCGCTGAACCGTATCTCCCGCTGGTCGGGCAGCGCGTTGAGGCTCAGCAGCAGGCTCAGCAGCAGGCAGAAGATGAGCGGGCCCCAGAGGTCCCAGTCCCGCAGGCCGGGCGTCATGTTGCTCTGGTTGAGCAGCGACTCGGCGTCCATGACGCGGCTCGCGAGGCCCGTCAGCTCCTCGCGCGTGCCCGACAGGCCGGCGCTGCGCAGGTTGGCGTAGGCGCCGCGCAGGCCGTCCTCCGACTCGAACATGGTGCCGCCGAAGAGGTAGCGCGGGTACAGCACCTCGCGCATCTTGGACCAGACGGCCAGCAGGTCGCGCCGCAGCGTGTCCCAGACCGACTCGTCGATGGTGTTGACGGGCGCCGTGCGGTCCTCGCCGGGCACGCGCGACGTGAGGTAGTTCTCGTTGATGGGCCGTGACGACGAGGCGGAGGAGGAGCCGATGTTGCCAGTCAGCGGCGTTCGGGATTGCTGGTTTCCGAGGGGGTCGTCAAAGTCGTTGAGATCGGCTGTGAGGACCGCAAAAGGGCTGGTTAGCGAGAGTTGGTTTCAAGGGGACTGGGCGATGGCCGTGATGAAATGGAATAAAAAGGTCAGTTGCGAACGCAAGCACATACCCTCATCCGGATCTATTAGGTCGTCCTCATCGTCGACCTGGGGAGTCTGCATGTAGTCCTTCCTGCTTGACGATGCCATTGCTCCTCCTGTTCGGCTGCGCTTGGCGAGTGACAATATTCAAGATGCGGCTCGTTCTGCTCGAAACCGTTCTAGAAGTTTGAAGTCTTTCGGTTTGTGGCGATTCAGAAGCAGTCGGGTCTGGTTTTGATTGAGAGAGCAGCAGGATATCTAGCTGGGACTTGTAAAAGGGTGCCTGCGAGACGAGAATCCACGTTTCCTCAAGCTAGTACTTTGTCGTAAATGTCCTGCCCACTGGGTTGGCATTACGCATGTGCAGGTGGTCCAAGCTCCCTGGTGCCTTTCGGAAATCCCCACCCATTCCACCACCAACCACCACACCACCACATTGACTTCCATCCATCCCAGGCCCTCCTCCCTGTCTTCAGCTCTCATTTCTTATCTCCCTTGTGGAAAACAGAAGACATCAAGTCCATGTTGGCGTCAGTCAGATACGAATCGTATTGTCCCATTATTAAGGAGCTATCTTTCGAGTTACACCGAGAGAGCTTGGTAAATGCATACAAAACATGTTGGGGGTATCTTTCGCCGAGCGGTCTTTCACGCCTTTCAATGCACAGTCTCTGATAAGACTTCATGTTTCCCTACTTCGATGGACCAAGTCATAGATGGCATGCATGCAGAGAAGGAAAGAACTAAGAAAGAAAAGAAAAGGAAAGGAAAAGAGATGTCAAAGAACACCGCATCGTTTCAGTCGATGTGACTATTAGGTTTTTGACCAGGCCACAGGCATCTTGAGGGTAGCGCTCATCTTCCTCTCCCCTTGCCATGCTGCATTGCCATTTTCTGAATGACTCCTATCGATGATAGTGATGATGATGGTGGTGGTGGTGATGGTGACGATGATGGATGTGTGCCTGTGCAAAAATGGGGGAGAAAAAAGGCCGACTACGCCATGACTATGGGATGGAGATAAATGAAAAGTCTGAGGATTGGGGGTTCTGTCAATGAGACCCGGGCCACCTTCTCAACGGCTGACATCAACGACTCATATCAGCGCCAGAGGGACCTGTATCCCTGGCCTTGGTCGGACGAACTCCCAGACTGCGATGGGGTCGGAAACACCGGACTGGAAGCCGACGAGGAGCTCGCCTCCTGGGGTAAGCCATGGAAGGCTGTATCTGCTTGAGCCTGCAGCTGCTGCGGAGCGTGCGAGGCCGGATAATGATGCTGCTGAAAATGTCTATAGTTGAGTGCAGGTGCATGGGCGACGTGGGGATGTGGAGCGGGCTCGTAGACAGTGGTATGAGTGACGTGCGGCCGGGACCAGCCTTGAGGTTGTTGAGCATAGGTGTAGTTCTCAGTGCAGTGTAGCATGCTATGTTGTTGCTGCTGCAGCTGAGCGTAACCCCGTCCTTCCTGTACGTACTGATTTCCGTAAGAAGTGTCCAAACCCGAGCCTCTGGCCCTGTCGAGCTCTTCCCATCGCTGAGACGCCTGGTTCTCGGGGCCGAGGTACGACCGCGCTCCTGCGTTCGGATCCCATATCGGTAGTCCTTCTGGTGGTTGAGACTCCCCTGCCGGCAAGCCGTGGCTGTGTGATACCAGATTGCCGTTGATACCAGCCAGGGCCCACGCGAAGACCGCAACATCTCGGATGGATCTCATAAGCTGCTCCAGTGGTGGGCCGCCCGCAGCCTTGACGCTGTCCCTGAGCGGCATAAACTGAGGCAGCAGGGGCGGTCGGAATGTATAGATGAGCTCTGGTGGTATGGATGGTCGGATTGGTTGTTGCGCCCATGGCGCCGCGAAAAGTCCATTCTGGAACTCCCAGGACACGAGCGGCGGGTGCGGAGCCGGGATCGGGGGTCGGGCCTTCCTGAGGATCACCACCAGCCCATCAGATGTGCAGGAGACAACGGCTTCAAGCTCTATCGAAGGCAGAAGCTGACGCCTCGTATCAACAGCCGCTCCACCGCTGTTGACAAGTGCTCCATTGTTGTGGACCGCCTGACCAGAGCCATTGCTAAATGCTGTCGGAACCGCCGTGCTTTCGCCGTCCGAGCCTTGGTAGGACTTGCGGCGCTCACTAGCCTGTGTACTGAGACTTCGTAACAGGCCATTCCTCGGGGAGCCGGGCTCCCGCTCGACTTTGATCTCTGGGCCTGAATCATCTTCTGAATCGAGATCCATCTCGTTGTCGAGCTGAGCCCCACCGCTCTCCGAGTCGCTCGTAGAACAGCTCAGGTTACCATCCTCCTGTGCTTCCATCTCAGTGTCGGAGAAATCTTCTTCCGCTCGGGGATCACGGAACCAGAACCGCAGGTAGGCAATGGAATCGTTCGCCTTGGCGCTCTCCAAACACCTGAGGGCTTCGGGGAGGCAGTTTTCTTGAATGCATCGATAGAAACTCAAGTCCTTGATCTGGTCTGGGCGAAGTCCCAGGATGGACGAGACTGCGTTTGTGGCAAACATGACTGTGAGGTTTCTCGTGAAGCGGTTGAGGATCAGCGCAGCGCGAGGTTCCCTCTCCATAGGCGGCATCTTGAACTTGGGTGACAGATGCTCCAGCATGTGATATCGAGGATCCCGGGGCGAACAGGAGAATATCCGCCGTATCTGGGGGGCCTCCATCGCTCGTCCTGGCCGTCAATCGTCAGCTGGCTGAGCTTGATACAAACCCTGCATTGATATGTCGAGGTTTTGGGTTAGGAATGTACATACTCTCGCTCCTGGCACCCCGCCTGTAGATGCTTGTCGACGCCACCAACACATCATGGACGATCGTGAAACAGCACTCGCAGCTCACCCATTGATTACTGCGGGAACATATGCGCGCGTAGTGCAGGACGGCAGCCTTGTCTAGCAAGACGCCTCGGCTATGCACGGAGCGCGCAAAGGGTACCTCGTCCGGGTGGAAGTAATCAAAGCATGATTTCCCCTTTACCTCATCCGGCTGGTAGCCGAGGATGTCGGTGATCGACTCGGACGCGAAGAGAATGTTTGCCTCTGGCGAGAGATCTGGCATCGGAGGTCCCGGTTCAGCAAAGATGCACGACAAGACGACGTGGTATTTCCCCGCCCGCGCATGACTAGCGATTTGCTGGAGAATGCTAGGTACTTACTATGAATAGTGATAAACGTGTGTTCCATTGGGGTTGAAGAGTGTCGGCCAATTGATACAGAAATGCAACTCTTCGGTTACGGGCGACCAAGCACGGATACTATCCTCCATACGCTGAGTGGTGAAATGGGCAGGCCAGAGCAAAACAGCGATGGTGATGATGATGATGCGGACGATGGTGGTGGGAGCGAAAGTAAATTCTGGGTCCAAATCAAGCCGGTGCAGGTCAACGAGAGCCGCCCTAAGACACGGCACACTGGCAGAGGGAGGCAACAAACGGTCCTCGTCTAGGTTGTGTCAACCAAAGCTCCTAAGCAGGCCGCAGATGGCAAGTTCCGAGACGTTGTGTTCGGAACGGTGCGCCGCCTTTTTTTTTTGGTCGAAGAGCGCCAAAGCGTGGGAGAGCGTGCCAGGCGAGACTATCACTGTACAGACGTTCCCGTATTCCCCAAAGATTCTCACTTGTCTTTCGACGCCGGGCGGTTCGAGTAGCACACAAGTCTCCCAGTGTCACCTAAAATTGGAGTCAAACGAGCGTTCAATCGTTCTACCAGGCCCTGGTTTGACGCAAGTGACTGGTCCAGAGCGATGATAGACGGGAGACAAGACGACGGGAGACGGCAGTCTGCAGGCTGCGTTGGCGAGGTCAGGGGATTCGGGCCCCAGTTGTGTGCAATGCAGTGAGTGAGTTCTCCCCAAAAGGCGACTCTCGTCGCTTTGGTCGCAAGAGAATGACTTCCACGCAACGTTCCACAGCCACCTCTTTACTGTCTTGGTCTCGTTGCGGGCCCGAGGACAACGGACGCGCGGGATTTGTAGGCAGTTTGATGCTTCCAAACCACCTGGACAGAGAGAGACAGTCGCCGGGTGACGACACACAGCCCTGGTGTCTTGAGGTTGGGGTCTTCAAGGTTGGGTCGAAGGACCCAGGTGGAGACGGCGGGGGCGCCGGAGAGGGGATCGACCGCCAGGGCGGACTCTTGAGGAATGAAGCTCCCGTTGGTGCACTCACACCTCCAGGTCTGGCTGCGAATAGCTCCAGTGCCAACCCCGACCGCCGTAAACCTTCAAGAGATAGGCGTTTGGGGGGGGATGACCGACTATGGCGTACTGATCGTCGCCCTTGCACCCTGGGTGGTGTTTGTCGTCTGCGGCTAGCAAGCAGGTACTTCGTAGGTAGACGTTAGTCGAAATCAGGACTCTCTGCCAGGCTGCAACTCAGATCGTTTGAGATGGCTTTTGGGCTTGTTTGCATATGCAGCCGGATCTGTGATGAAAGCGGGAGACCACTGCAGCACACGTCTGATTGTCGTCACAGGCCTGCTGCCCGTCGTTAGCGAGAGTATTGGGTCTGCAGCGTGATTCCAGGAAACACTGAAGTTGGGAAAGAATCAATCATCAAGAGAGAGGAGCGCCGAGACGTCAAATGAGGAGACACTCTTGATTATGTATTCCCATGAGCTCCGAGCTTCCCTCTCTCCTGCTCTCTCTCTCTCTCTCTCTGTCGCTCGCCCAAGCCACCCTCAAGTCGCTCGAGCTTATTCGCCAATTCGCCAGTGAGGATCAGACAACATTGGATGGGGTGGGTTGAGGAGTCGGACAGGGGGCCGGGGGGTTCGCAAGAACAGGGAGCAGGCCAAGAGGGACTTGGGAGACTGCAGCTGGAGGTGTGGAGAACGCCGCGCATCCGCCCACGCTCCCAAGCGCTGCAGTTTAGGGTCTAGAGCTCGCGCGGGCAGGGGATAGCTCTCGAGACGACATCAGCTCTCATGGGCAACCCTGGGTCGGGATGCTCCACCCTCCTCTGCTAATATGCGGCAGCAATGAAGCAAATGTTCTGATGCTCATTGTGAGTTCTGACGAGCAACGACTGCGGGCAGGCCTGACGGTGAGGGGCAACAGGCCAGGCCAAGCAGGCACAGTCAGCGCCCGGCGCAAGGAACAGACACATGCTTGGCTGCTCCATGCAAGGAAAATCCATATCCACAAATGCGCATCCGACAAAAGCTCGTGAGTACTTGTACAATGGCATTGTCCCTTGACATCTTTGGTGTTGCTACGATGATGACCTCACTCAATCCAGTATGGAGACTCGGCGACTTCATCCAGGCCGACTCCCTCCCATCAAGTCCCATACAAAGAAAGGGAAAGATATGCAAGTCGGTGTGCAAAGGCGCTTTCTTGGCCAAACCTGTTCACCGGCCACGCCTGCATGGGTCTCACTGCCTTCGTAATTACCAATTGTTTGCCAACAGATGCTGGAGCGTGAGCGTAAGCGCGTCACGACCCCCCGGCCGAGCGGCTTGCAGTACTTGATTTCCAGGTTCAGAATTCTTGGCTCGGACAAGTACAGAATCGCGAATGGGCATCCCATAGTTTCCAGAACATGCACAATGACACTCGGTTGGTGTAATCTCGTGGGTTTCTGCAGGCCAGTTCATCCTGCCCGGCCCCTCGGCCCTGCCCCGGGGGGGGCTGAACTCAAAATTTCGATTCCCAGCTTCATGGCAAGGGTTTCCTCTCTGTTTCGGAAGACCTTGCGAGCGGTCTACTCTGGGCCCAGGGTCCTTCCATTGGGCGACGCTTTCAGGGAAGACACGCCAATGGCCATATCCTGGCATGGATCATCGTCTTGATCCGCATCACCGGAAACCTGATAGGTGGGAGCCTATCGTCGATGGACACACAGTTGGCAGTGTGTCGACATCGGTGACGAGAACCAGGTTCCTGGGCCTTCTTGCAGGGGATTTTCGAAACATTTGTGCGCTCATGCTCGTGGGACCTTCTCGTCATGCACGCATCCCCGTCGAGGCGCCTGTGTGATAGAAACCCAAGCCTCACAACAGTCGGAATCGCTCCAGCTTGGAGAACCAGTGTCGCCGGCAAGGCTAACAAAGTGCGTATCCCATATCTCAACCCTTATCAGGGCTCAGCATCCGCTTAACCTTTTCCGTTTCGACGTCCTCTAAATACGGACTCGATCACGACCTCGCTTCTTAAAGTGGCACGATCCGGGGACCCTCCTTGCATACGGTCTACAGTGTAGACTTTGGAAGGCGGTGGATCCGTTGCCCATCACGCTCAGCTCCCAAGAAGTCGAGGGGAGGAAAGCGATTGCCATAATCCGTAAGCGCAGTGGTGCCAGGATCAACGAGGCTGGGAACAGTCGCCAGTGGATTCCCTGCGTCCATCCTCCGAACCGCCGATTGGAGCACGGGATGGATTCCAGGTTTACGATATGTAACAGTCCATCTGCAAACACCTTTTCTGTTCCTTGTTTGTCCGAGAATCGGAGATCGGAAGTGCGAGTTGCACTCCGAAAGATTTCGGGGATCGAGATGGCTGCCAGCTCATTTTCAACACTGGCCTGCCAGCCCGAACAAATGAAAATCAAGGGTAATAAATGCAGAAGCAAAGTGATCACAAAGGAAGCCACAAGAAGTAGGCAGCAGCTTACAACGTACAGAGCATGCAACCGGTTGACCTCATTCTACAAGTACACCATCCTATCCTTGTCCCTTTGCTGTCTCAGGCTAGCAAGGTTGGCAGGGGCCTGCCACTCGTGTTCACGCGAGAAGCCTAGCGCTCCCAACGTAAAGATCAGCAGGTGTCAAAAGGGTTCAGCTTGCCGGGGAACCCGTCCCTCCATCCCGAACCGATGGCGGGATTCCTGGTGGCCTTTCCTCCATCGACAGCGGCTCATTGGAGAAGTCGGTCCATCCTCACTTTCAACAGTCATTGCGGAGGATCCTGAACGGAACCTCCCGCGCCACTCTTGAGCAAACACACCCATTACAGCTACCCGCTACCTTTGGCAGGACGCAAACTCTGACCAACTCGAAGAGAAGTGAGATGAGATGCTAACTTTGCTCCTCGAAACGGTGAAAATAAGCGCTTGAGACATTGTCCAAGTGACATCGCACGACAACGTTCCAAAGACATCGATGTGCACCAGAGCTTGGATCACAGACTTCCTGGCCATGCAACATCACTTTGGAATCCCAGCCGGGCTACCCTGGCACATCCTCTCGTCTTGAAGACATCCGTCCATCACTCTGCTGTGTTGGCTGGCGGCTTCCTTCCCAACGCCAAGGATCCGCCATGTTGTACAGCTTTGTTGTTAGCAGCCGAGCTGCAAGCCCCCTGTCTGTGGCCTCTCTGGTGAGTTCTCGGTTGGCAAGAAAGTTGTGCTACCCATGCCCAGGTGCAATGCCGTTGGGTGTAGCCAGCCTCACTCTCCAACGCCCTTCCCGGTCTGGAAATCCACGGACGACAGTACTTCCGTCGGGCGTCCTGGAGGTGCGGAAAGGTCCCGCCAATGCGGTTACAGAAATCTGTGCCTATCTGTTATCACGGCAATCTCCGGGTTGGGTGACGGCTTGCCTTTGAGAAGCAGAACCTTTGGCACCCTCTTTCCATGCCCTGCTATTGTCGTGCTGATTCTGCTCACTTCTGCTTATTTCGATGATTGACTGCTCACTCTCTGCTTTGCCTCTTGACACTGCTGTTGTTTGGAACAGTGAATCACGTTGCAGCCTTATTCATTCCACCAAGAGATGAAAAATGAGCCACCTACAAATGTGCATTGAAATAAGTAATCATCAGTTAGATAATGATCATTTGCTGCAAGTATCTTCATCGATGTGAGGCCTTCCATTCACTCAGATGGGGAGTATCGGTGCTGTGGAGCAAGTTGCTAGTACAATCAAGTAACCCACAGGCTTACTCCAGCGGCAATCTACCACAGAGGTACACCAATCCCATATTAGTGAAAGAACTCACGTCAGAACGCGACTACCGATTACTGGACCGTGATTTGACCGCGTTTTAGTGCAGGCATCTACAGCTTCAACACCAGACCATCACGCCCTCCAAGGAATTGATCGTATGTATTAAACGACTCCCAATATATCTTGCACAAGTTCACCAAAAAGAGATTTCAGTCAGACGAAACTGCCAATTGAGTCACGTCCTATGTGGGGAATCACCCTCTACGCACCTTGATGACATCGTCTTGCGGTCACATAACTGCTCTTTTGAAGCCTGTCGGATTGGATGGATCTTGAGAAGTTTCTTCAGCTTCCTCCACAAACGGGCTTGATGACAATTTGAGACTATAGCGAGCTACAGTAGTGGTGTGCAAGCCTCACGCGGCTGAGCATCTGAACACTTTGTCATCAGGACAGCCTCTGACACCCACATGAGTCCATAAGGTTCGCCTCTCTCGATTCGATCTCCGGTAAATAGTTGTCACCATCAGTCATTGCGCCATCTTCGAGATCATCATTTCTAGGCCAAAATGGCGCCTCCAAGCATACCCGCCGTGTGGGAGATACCCAAGCTGAGGGCATCATTCGGATTTGAGGTATGTACTGTTCTGACAACTGCTTCAAATGAAACCCCTTGACGGCATACACGCCCCTTTACATTCAGCCTCTGCAGTGCCTCCTGCAGAGCATCATTGATAAATTCCATTCCATTTGCTTGACCGAAAGCTAACCGATGGTGCCTCAAACAGGACGACCACCAGTACGTCTCTGATGATGGCCTAGCAGATACAGGTGAGCAATGATCAGGATTCTCACTGGAATGTGACGACTGACATCAGAGATAGAGTTCTTCGATGTCAAGTTCTACCCTTATAACCCCGTCGGCTCCAACCCTATCTTCGCCGCCGTTAGCAAGAAGCATGTAGGTCGTTCACTCTCAGATGTATGTAATCAACTCACGATCAGAATTGACACCTCGTCCAGGTTGTCGTCTGTCGGTTGTCCTCTACTAAGGAGAAAGACGTCAATCCCTGCGAGCTTCTCAAGGTTATACGAGATGACGATGTGAGTCCAGACCCCTCAGAAGTGGAGCTCACCCAGTCTGACATATCGAACAGGAGGAGGCGCTCAACTGCTCCTGCACTTGGACCAAAGATGCAGCAACCGAGACAGCATACCTGTGTGTGGCCGGTCGAGACGCCAAGGTCAAGGTCTACAACGTCCGGGAGGGCAAACTGGTCACAGTGAGTCGGTCAACACCCTAGTTGCAGATGCCTTGATTGCTGATCATGTTCCCTAGACGCTTGTCGGTCATGGAGGTGTAAGTCTGCCGACTGTAAAGCCACAGAGCCGAGAATTCTGACAGGTTCTAGGAAATCAATGATCTTGCAACATCCCCAGCAAACCCTCAGTTGATAGCTTCAGCATCCGACGATACCACCGTCCGGATATGGAGTTTAGCAGCTGAGCATGCAAAGCAGCCGTGCGTTTGTCTGCTAGGTGGCGAGGGCCATTCATGGAACCTTCTGAGTGTGGTACGTATCACTTTATCCCCTGTCTCTTTCCCTACTCTCTTTCCCTAGCCGGCTAACGACGTTGCTAGGCATTCCACGACTCTGGCCGATATGTATTGTCTGCTGGACACGATCAGATCATCAATCTGGTAAGCCCTTTATGAATGCGGACTGGCGATCAGGCGACTGACAACTGTATTCTGCAACCAGTGGACTATCCCCGACATACCCTCGAAGCACATGGACACGCCCATGGTCGTTCATTACCCGCACTTCTCAACTTCAGAGATCCATTCGGGACTTATTGACTGGTGCGTCTCACGGTGAAGAATACTTGGTTGATACCCTGCTAAATAATGGACAGTGTGGCCTTTTATGGCGACTGCATCTTGTCGCGAGCTTGTCACGAAGAGTGCATCGTCCTCTGGAGGATCGAGGGCTTCAGCTCCGAAGACCCGCCGCCCTCACCGGACATCGCGCCCACGGCCCACGACACCAGCAAGCTCACCCGCTCCGCCTTCACGCCCCTGACCTCGCCGTCCGGCCAGGCCCAGTACACCCGGCTCATGCAGTTCCACACCCCCGGCTGCGGCGTCCAGTTCTTCATGCGGTTCAGCATGTTGCACGTGCCCGGCCAGCACCCGGTGCTGGGCTTCTGCAACGCGCAGTCCAAGATCTTCTTCTGGGACATGGCCCGCTTCACCACCTACCATGACTTCATGGCCGCCCTGCAGGACCCGAGGCGGGACCCGAACACGCCCGTCGCGCGCCCGCCGTGGCTCAAGCCCATCGTGCCGCGCAAGAGGGGGCCCGAGCCCAGCCTCAACCGCCGTAGGGAGGCGAGCGCCCAGGACTCGGCGGTGTCGGGCAACGTCAGCACGCCCGACCCGGAGAAGGCCGAGGTCCTGTTCCACGGGTACAACAGGGAGACGATCGACGACTGGGAGAAGAAGTACAGCATGGACGACCCTCACGCTCTGATCAGGGCCCACAAGTTTGAGGTTCTGTCCGGGTTCTCGCTCGTCGGCCGGCAGGTCGCCTGGAGCCCCGAGGGCGACTGGTGCGTCATCGTCGGCAGCAACAACAGGGCTGTCATCATGCAGCGCTGGGCCAGGGACGGCAGTCACGCAGATAACGTTGATGACTCGATGCAGTGAATTGGTCATACATAGGCGTAGACTAGAAATCTTGAAAGAATGCATGCTTTTGGTAATTGCAGCTCGCGATTACCATGAATCCATTATTATCGTATTGGCAAGGACGAGAACACGGGAATCGTTTCCTCGTCTTCGTCGTCTTCCATCCTCTCTGGGTATACAAAGTGCTCAATCCACTCCTCGACTTCGCCCCTCTCCTTGATGATCTTGCGAAACGCGTCCTTGGCCTTCTCTCTCTCGTCCTCCCTCTCGACCCGCCCGTCCCGGTCTTCTCTCGCCGACCTCGGCGCGGGCGCCATCACGAGGTCGCTCAGGTACAGCGACACCATCCCGCGGAGCCGGAGCATCTCGTGGCTCGTAGAATACGGCGGGTTCTCCATCAGCCCGTCCAGCCTCCGCGCGATGTCCCCGACCATGGCCATCGTCTCCGTCCGGACGCTATCCTTGGCCTCCCGCAGCCTGGCCTCCCACGGCCCCATCTTGGGGACCCTGTCGTCGTTCTGCCCGCCGCGCCCCGCGCTGTCATCGTCGTCTTCAGAGTAGTCCATGGCCTCGGGCCCTCCTCCAGCAGCCCAGTCCTCGGCCTCGGCCTCGAGCCGCCGCAGCGCGAGCCCGTGCTCGGCCCAGGCGTTGTAGAGCTCGGTGCCCAGCAGCGCGGGCCAAAAGTCGAGGGCGCTCGTCGCCCGCGGGAACATGCGGTTGTACGGGTGGTGCAGGATGAGGTCCTGGTAGTACGCCCGCACGCGCGGCATGTTGGCCGCGGACCCCCACCTCTCTCCTCTGCTTCTCCCTCCCTGCTGTTCCTGCCCCTGCTGCTGCTGCTCGCCCTCGCCCTCGCGCATCAGGATCTCGGCGCCCACGGCCCACAGGTGGTCCTGCCGCAGGTCGACGGCCTTGCCGTAGACCTCGGAGCGCGCGAGCAGGGCGAAGGCGCGCTTGGCGCGCGGGAGGTCGCCGGCGTCGAGGCTGCGGTGCAGGATGGCCGTCAGGACGCCGAGGTGCCGCTCGTGGGCGCGCAGGGCGCGCTTGACGCCGCGCTCGCGCTTCTCTGCGCGGCGGCGGGCGGCCGTGGCGGGGTCCTGGTCCTCGTGGTCTTTACCGCTTTCAGCGCCGTCGTCGTCGTCTTCGTTGTCGCCGAGGGCCTCTTGTTGTTCGGCCCTGTCGATCTCAGCGGGTATCTCTGCACTGCCGTCCTCGTCGTCCTGGTTGAAGAGGTAGCTCGGCAGGGCCCGGTGGGGGAAGCCCGGCACGATCTCGGAGGGCAAGACGTCCTGGTCCGAGAGGCCCGCCGCCTGGAGTTGTCTGAGCGTGCTCTGGGAGTGGCTCCGCGGGTTGATGGTGTCGCGCAGGTGAGATGGGATGCCCGGCTGCGATGAGGCCTGTGAGTCCGCTGGTGCTCGCTTGCGTTTGAGGTTGGCGGCCGTGGGGGGCTGGATGCTCGCCATTTTGAGTAGTGTGCACTTGGTTGGTGACTTTGATGTATCACACAGGCACTCTCGCTAGCCTATTGCTGTTGATAGAACGGTTTACAGGTTTGCCTTGATGGGGTCTATCACGGCTGCAAGATCGCTCGTGGGTAATTCATCCCCGAATCCTCGCCGGGAATTGATCCTCTGAGAGAATGTTTCTGAGGGCCGACAAGACGCATTGCATCATGATACTAGGAAGATATCAGGCCATTTGACCAATGCCGGGTGAAAAGTTGAAAGTTGAGCCGTGGTCCTGGCCGTTTGTCGTCGTTCAAGCACTGTGCTGGTGAGGCCGTTAGTTGGTGGGGACTCGGTGTTGTTGAAATTGAGCAATAGCAGGCCTGGGAATTTGCATTAGAAAGAAAGTTGGCAAAATTCACGATGGTTGCTGGGCGGTGAACTACACCCCACAGAGCGCCTGGTATCAACGGCTGTCAATCACGATAGCTGTTATTCGAACCCAAGCGCTCTAGGGCGGCGATAGATAGGAATGTGGTGTAGCAGCAGAGCTTCGAGGAGGGAGGCAACACGGATGCGTTACGATGCTCAGTAGTGACGCACGCATATCTACAGTCTGGTCGCGGGCTGCCATCAAGACGAAGAGTCTAGTCGAATTATACACATGCTCTTCTACTGTACAATGCTATCACAGATGTCCCTGTGCTTTTCTTTCTCTGTATCCATCTCAAATCTCAATATCCCTTTACTTCCTCTCAAAGTACTTCCACTGACCCTCCGCCGGCTTCTCCTCCAAGCTTTCCCAGCTAAAGACGAAAGTCAGCTCCGAGCTCGTATGCGAACAACAGGACATGCTGATACTTACACCTTGGCCTGCAGCATCTTGTCAATGAGACCGACCTCTCCCTCTGCGACCTCGATGACTTCCTCGATCAGGCCGGCGCCAATCTTGTTCTCGATCTCGGAGATCCTATGCGCAGTGGCGATTAGCTTACTACCCCATGCAGTCCTCTTGAAGACCTCTTCTTTCCAAAACGTACTGGTCGGCCGTCAATTGAGGCTCGTCCTCCCACTTGATCTGCTTGACCTCCTCGAGGGGTTTCCGGGTGGCCAGCAGGACCTGGTCCTTGCGCTCCTCCTCTGTCCTCGCGCCCTCCAGCTCCGGGCCCTCGTCGATCTCGCCGTCCCACTCCTGGTATCGCTGGTCCTTCTCGGGCGGGATGTGCCGCACGAGGAACTCCTTGCCGCCGATGGTGATGCGGTGGGCCTGCGCGCCGTCGATGCGGCCCGAGGCCGAGACGTTGAACTGGCCCGGGTTCTCGGCGATGAGCTTGCGGGCGCGCTCGGCCCACTCGTCGTAGCCGGCGGGCTTGGAGGCCTCGACGATGGCGAGGCGGTGCTTGGTCAGCGCCTCGACGGACTGGCGGTAGACCGAGTGCTCGGGGAAGGCCTTGAGCTTCTCGAGGGTGTGGGTGTAGAGGTACAGGAGGGCGGACCGGGGCGAGCTGTGGGTGTAGACGCCGGCCAGGCCGGTCTGGGTGCCGGGCTCCAGGTACCGCGCCGGCTTGACGCTTGCGAGCAGTCGTAGTGTCCGGCGCATGGTTGCGGGCGGGTCAATTGGCTGCAATTGAATGTGTTTGGGGTGGAGTGATGCTCGTCGAGACGGGAATTTTGATGCGGCAGCTTAGCCAGCGGCTCCATGGAAGGTCGGCAAGCCGGGAGTGATCACGTGGTTGTGCACGGATCACTCTCGGATCCTCACCTACAGCAATTCGCTCTCTACCAATGCTACCAATGCCTGGAGGCAATTGACAATTTCTCATCAACAACAACCATCACATGCTGTCGATAGGATCGCCTTTCACTATCAGGAACATGACTTCAATCGGATCTCATGATCGATATGGCTCATGCCCGTTTATTATGACTTGCCAGGTATGTGTCTCCGACATGCTGACCCTCTCCCACTCAATCACAAAATGGAAAAAATACGCCATGTTACCCATGATATATGTACAAAAGGAGAAACAGTGAAACTAGATTATCCTCCTCCACACTGCTACGATCAACGCTTCTCATCATATGCCTCATCGGCACTAGCTGTGGAGCTGCTCGTGCCCGGGGTGTACACTCCACCATCGGCGGACGATCCATCCGACACAGACTGCGTCGCCTCGTAAGTAGGAAGCAGGTCTTCATCATTCAGCACGTACTCTACAAAAGCAGAGCTAGTAGCCGTTCCAGACCTCTCCGAAGCCGCCGGCTTTGACTGCCTGCTCTTCGATTCTTGGTCCGAAACCATGTCGTCAACAATGCTCACCGCGGCCCGGAACTCCGCGATCTCGTCCGCCATGGAGCTGGTCTGCTGTGGCTCTTCGCGTAAGCAGGGAGCCTTTTCCTCATCCTGCTGCTCGGCCGATGCGTCCCGGCGCCAGAAGGCTAGACGGGAAAGCAGGCACTTGAATCGAGCAACACGCTCCTTCCTCGCAGACCTGCGGGCAAGGCGCCGGGCCACGCGATTCAAGGCTTTCTTGAGTCGTCGCTCTCTTTTTTCTTGTCTTCGGAGGGCGAGACGCTTGCGAATTGCCTTGACCCGGGAGGCCATGCACCCGCTTCGGCGTATGGCGATGTGGAATGCAATAATGAGAAGACCAATGGAGACCAGGAGGACTGGCAGTGAAGGCCGAATGGCGCCCATGATCTTCGCCTGTACCGTGTGAGCCCAATTACGCAAGTGAGGTCTCGCCTGACTTACCATGTTGAAAGAACAGTGGTGTCGGGAAGCGTCCGAAGTGTCAGCCATTCCCGACCCGTCCTGTGCCACGACCTGGTCCGGGGTGTCCATTCCGGGCAGGATAGAGGGTATGGCGAGCGAATTGGCCAACGCAGAAACTGATAAGAGCAACACGGCCTCTGAAAGCATATTATATATGTCGCCGCTTGATCGGACGTTGGCAGCTCTTTGATTGACGAGACCCAACAAGGGCGATGTAGCTTTCTTGCTGCTTGAATGTGAAATACGAATCCGCCGTTCCTATGATTGAAGCTCTCGCGTTGAGAGCAACACCCAGCTACCAGAACAAAGCTGTATAACTGCAATGGAAAAGTAGCACGGTCGCGTAGAGGAACAAGATGGAATAAATCAGAGGATGACACCACCCTCGAGTTAAATGGTTGCGCAATCCTCGATCCTTCAGACACTGAGATCGGGCGCGGGTTCGCCCGCCCAGCCAATCATCTTGCATGAGCTGACGAGTCCTTTACCACCCCACCTAACGGCCGACACCTCTCGGCGTTTTCACCGCCATCAATGTCAGCACAGCCCGCCCCGCTAACAATGACTTGACGTTTGTCGACCTTTGAATACCTAGACAGGGCGCATAGAACCCTTGCTTATAACGAGGTTTCATGCATCATAGTGATGCGAGGCGTTCTTTGAGTTCTCCCACGGCAAGTTTCAGGTAGTACATCACTTACCGATCTTACCGATGCTCTACAACTACAGAACAACCTTGGAGTAATGATCAATATCCTCATCACGAATCCTTTCCGGACATTTCAGTAGGCGTCAGAGGTGCACATCTTTCCCAAAGACCCGCAAGGAGACGTCTGATGCATTCCCATTATCGTATCATATCTAAGTTGTGCCTCTGCCGGAGACTTTTCCTTCATCATCCGAATATGAACGCTTCATAATTTTGTCGTATCCTTTGCACACCTTGCTCAAGAGCCCAGCCCTTGATGGCGCACACTTTCCGATACATGCCCTCTAGTGCTGCGTCCATCTGGTCTCCCGCGACGTGCAGGTCGCTCTCAACCAACAGCCGGTCGGGCGGGCACGCCTTGATTACCGCCGGTGTCTTTTCCTGGCTCGCAGGCGTAGAGAAGTTCACTGCAAGGGAGAATGAAAAATAAACCTTGGCCGGTATCCTGGGATCCATGTACTGCTTGAGCACCTCGACTGGCCCGCTGAAGGAATGGAGGCATACCCTCGGAGGATAGGGTTTTGGATCCAGTTGTCGAGGCCTCGAGGCCTGTCGTGGTTTCGCGATGTTGCCCTCGCTCTCCTCTTCCTCGTCTTCGGATGATGAAGAGGAGAAATCCTCGGCCCCCGGGGCGACCATCTTCTTCTGCCGCTTGGAGATGACCTCCTTCTCGTGGCCCTTCCAGCAGGCCGAGCAGGTATCAAACAAGATGCCATGAGCCTGCACACCGTGCACGCTCACTGCGCGTCCCATCTCCCCGGCCAACTTCAGTTGCGCCTTGAGTATGCTCGCCTGGTGAGCCATCTTCACTCGGTGTGGCGATAGAAGCCGCCCTTCTCTGCCGCCCGGGGTCAGGCCCTCGTCGCGGCTCAGCGGAGTTCCGTCCTCGTGCCAAGGCTGGGGGAGGCGGAAAGCTTTGTCAACGCCTATCTCTCCCACCAGAGCCAGAGGGTGGTCCCGTAGGAAACCCCTCGTCTGGTCGAGGAGGCTGGACAGCGAGACCAGCTCTGGCATCTTGGTCGCGAACTCGGTGTCCTGGGGCGCCGGGCTGAGCACTGCGGCGAGATGGCGAGCCTTTTCCTGCAGCAGGCCATCATCGCCGCCATCAGCCCGGCCCGGGTCGTAGGTGCGGTCTTTGCTCGGTAGAGTATCATCGTAGATCTGGTAAGAGAACCACGGGTGCCAACCGAACGCGGGAACCACCTTTCCCGTGTCCTGCCTGGGATCTCGGGCTCCAGCCAGGTCGCTTCGGCTCTGCACCCCGTGCTGGCCGGCGACTGAGCCAACAAGCTGCTGGTCTTGGGCTCTGGTGGCCATGATGGTGAGTACCTGGGCTCTCATCGCCGGGATCTTTTCTATCGAGGGCATGGTGTCTGTTGGGTGGCAGTGGGCATCGCATACTCCCGATTCCCACGGAAAATTCTCCCGTGGTGTCGCATCTTCATTTTCTTGAATAGCCGTTCCAACATCCTGCGAACCGCCAATATGTTGCTGGCACATGGTCTGCGAGCTCGTGGCAAGACGTGGGCGGAAAGGCCTGTCTGTCTCGACGCTTGGGTTTCATCCTTGCTGTTAACTATATCATGTCAGGTAACCAAAGGGCGCCCGGATACCCACTGTATCCAAATGAGTCAGGGTGCCTTTACGTCATGAAAACCCCTGTTTTAGGCGCTCAGATCCGTTCGGAGCCCCCCATTTCCCCATCATGCACTAGAGAATTATCAGGCAAGTGGCACGCAGTGTACCTCATGCATCGCAATGACCGCCTACACTACAGCGATCTCAGCTGCACTGAATGGAAATCGTTGGCTTGGCCCCGGATCTATATCATCATATTTCTCACGCACAGGTTTTGGAACAGATATGAAGATACGGGCGAACAAGGAATTCAAAGATTGGATTGATGTCCACAGAAACAACATTCAGGTTATGCGCACCACCATGAACTCCCCATCTGGTATCCTTGAAAAGTCAAACAAACTCCCATCCAAACGCCATCATGCAATCATATGTACATACGGGGCCGCTTCCCACCAAATGCAGCCCGATTCAAGAAAGGAACCGGCCCCCCTCTCCCAATCTTTAAAGGGTCTGCCAGAAGTAATTCGCGTAAAAGAAGCGCGAGAACTTCTTGTCCATGTTGACAACGTGCACGTCGCCCTTGCGGTCGTTGCGTATGACGGCCTTGGACCACTCGCCGTCCTTCTCGTCGCGCTCGAGCTCGATGCCCAGGCTCCGGTACACCTTGAGGCGCAGCAGCACCTCGTCGTCGACGGGGTCGGCGGCCCCCGGCGGCGCGCCGTCGTCGCCCTGGAGCTCGAGCTCCTGCAGGCGCGCGGCGAGGTCGGCGGCCTGCGAGGCGAGGCGCTCCGTCTCCATCTCGAGGTCCGAGGCGGCCTTGGCCGTGCGGAACTTTTGCGTGTCGAGGCGCGCGATCTCCGAGGCGTGCGCGGCGGACGAGTGCGACCCCGTAAGCTCGTTGTGCTGCGAGGAGAGGGTGTTGAGCTGTCGGGAGAGTTCTGTTTACATTTTTATATTAGAGAGAGAGTTCCTCCAGGCGTAAAGGACAGGGTAGAATCGGCTAGGACGCACTCTTTAATGAGTTCTCGGCCTCGCGGAGGCGTAGGTCGCGGGCTTGCTGGAGAGTAGAGAGAGACTCGCTCACGCGCGAGACGGCTTCTTTATCCGGAAAGATGTTGAAGTTCTTCACGGTGTGACGGATGAGCTGGTTTAGCAGTATGGTTAGTCTCATGCTGCTTGCGTCGCAATGGATGGTGTCGTATCTGCTTACCGTCGCGGGCTCTTCCTCTAGAAGCATCTTGGCAACGTGACGGAGATAGCGTAGATTTGGCTGTTCGTGTCTCACTTATGCGCTTTCAGAGTCAATGTGAATTAATCTGATTCTGATCAAGTTCTCGTAGATTTTGTTGGTGATGACTGTCTCTTGCGCGGTCGCGAAGTTGCGTTGCGCCGCCAAAAAACATGCGCTTAGGAGATTGTTGCTGGGGCGACGCCGCCTTTATCTTATCATTTGATGCCCACCATGACAACACGCACTTTCCTAATTGGGGGTCGATTTGAAGATGATCCTTCCTTCACAGTTGGGTGCCACGACGGGCAGGCCATCTTCTGCATAGCCCTTTACGATTGCGTTGCGCGCTCGGCGGATGCCATCGTTGTCATCTTCGGCAATGCTAGATTCTTCGTCCTTTGGCAGGCCATACGTTGTAGCGGAGGTCATGTCATGGCCAAAGATATTGAGCATGAGCCTCGTGTCTGTCATTGCGCCCTCTTCTCCCACGAGCGTCTCCTGGCTTGGAAAGTCGACATAGCCATCAAAGCCTTGGCCTAGGAATGCCACCATGGCCACAGTGTAGGTCATATCTGGATCTACCAACTGCTCTTTAGATGGGCAATCTGAAGGCATGTGCCATGCGCTGAGCAATCGTCGGCCCTCTTGCCGGCGCCAATCTGCCTCTATTCTCAACCCGGAGAGCTGGAGGAAGCGACCATCGGTGTGTGCATCGGACAGCGAGTTCTCCAAGGCAGCTAGCAGAACTTGACCGCGGACCTTTTTCACCACAAACGCATTGTCAAATGGGACAATGCTGATGATGTCCTTGACCGTCAGCGGTGTCCTGCGAAATGCACCGAGAGTCTCCAATGTGGGCTCCACGATCGTGTCGCATCTGATCCCTCCGCTGTTGACCAGGGCGATCTCGACTTCATAGTAAGCCCGGACAGCATCTGCGATCATATTTCCGAGATTGGTCTCGGAGCTGCGCACTACTCCGGACCGCCCATCCAGCGGGGTCAAGCAATGCAAGAGAGGGTGCTGAACAGCCTCGTGTATCTTGTCATGCACCTCTGTTAGGACGCGCTGAATGTCTGGATCGGGCTGCATAGCCTGGAACTGAGGGGAGTCTCTCAAGTCAGTGAATTGGTGCAATGCCATTGCTCCTATCGAAACGCGGTCATTGTCATGTGTAGGCCGTAGCCTTACAACAGACAGGCCTTTCCAGTTGGTGCCACTCTTGATGACCTTGGTCATATGATGGCATGGCCTTACTTGGCCTTGTTTGGTCATCTCTTTGTTGCTATACCCTTCACAGATTCTCGCAGGGTCCGCGCATCGGCTTCCTGCACTCCTCTGGACGACATCATGATCATGACCGCCAAGCAATAGATCCACGAGCTCATCGCCCACGTTTGTGGCATCACTGACGAGTAGATCGTCTGCCAGGCGCATATGGGTGACTGCTATGACAAAATCGCACTGGTCGACAGTTCTCAGATGCCGGGCTACTCTTCGGGCCTCGTCGGTAGGCAAAGAAATCTTGCATGGCGGGAGGTTCTGGCAACCTGAAGGCCAGTCGGTGCCTGCCAGACCAAAGAACCCGATCCTATGGATTCCATGTTTCACTACAAAGCTTTCGCGAGCTTGTGATAGTAGGCGCTGGTCTGAAGTACCAGGGCCTTCGTGGAACACATTGGAGAGAAGCCAAGGGAAGTTCGTCTTGCTCGACAGCTCGTTGAGACGTGCTTCTCCAAAGTCAAAGTCTGGAAACCCATTAGTAGATGTTGGTGTTTTCCACTTGTGGCGGGCCATGACTTGCCGTGGTTTCCGTAGCAGGCAAGGTCAATCCCGAGTTCATTCAGAACAGGAACCATATGCTCACCTCTGAGAACGGAAGATTCAAGGGATGGGGAGAAAGCATCACCGCTGAACACGATGATGGGCCTTTGCCGTATTGCATCTGAGGCATCATCAAACACGCTCAAAGGGTCTTCGCCTTTCCTTGCGGCTCGAAGAACTGCGCCAAACCTACTCACCAGACTGGTGTCTGAGAGATTGTACTGACTACCGGTCAATACAAATGGCCTAACTTCTCTACATAGGCAGGGTACAGCTCTCGAGGGACACGCCCTCGGGACTTCGGTAGACATCCTGGAGGCCGCGGTGACTTACCACATCATTGAAATGGTATATAACTATCTCATCGGACATTGTGCAGCATGCATCCTGATGCTAGCAGTGTTTGTCAAGGCACAGACGTAGCGGCTGATGCTCTTGCAACAACTTGTTACGCCGGTAGAGCAAACGTTAGGCTTTGGAGAAGGTACCTTAGTAGGTAGCTATTCATGTTCTACCAACCAAATTGAAACACCTAGGTAGGTACCCAGTTGGACTGGCTACGAAAGGCAGACAAATGTTGATCCTACGACGTTGTGGGCCTGGAACCATCCAGATCTGCCTATCTTATCGGGTGGTCAGGTGCGCCACCGACACGACGTAGAGCACATGTCATACCTGACCGGGTAGCTTCAGCCACTATAAACGTCAATAGCCGTACAACCCGCAAACCCCTAGCAAACAACGATCGCATGACTGCTCCCTCCCTGAACCACCCAAGAACTTCGATCTGCGCAATCTAACATAAATCTTTGTTTGGATTCACGAATCTTGAATCGTTACGCGAAGCACAGCACCGTGCGACACATCTCGATCCCTGTCAAGATGGGCAGCAATCTGCCTTGTGAGTATTCCCCAATGCAGCCGGCCAGGCAAACACCACAACCAGAGTTGGCTGGCTGACAGTAGCGCAGATGCGATAGATGCGGAAACGTGAGAGACATATCTTCAGCCAGAGAGATCGCCTACGAATCAAGACTGACACTTGTTGACAGGCCGCTCAACCCGGCCGAGCTCCAGGTTCTCCGGGCGCAATACGAGAAGGAGGGTGAGATGGTCGGCGTCCAGACCAAGTTCAACTACGCATGGGTATGGTGTTCGCTTCAGATACGTTCTCTACAGCATCTATGCTAACAACTCTGGTCCGGCAGGGTCTGGTGAAATCGAACACGCGACCCGATCAGCAGCTCGGCGTGATGCTGCTCACTGAGATTTTCAGAACATCCCCGGAGAGGCGGCGGGAATGCCTATACTATCTGGCCCTGGGGAACTACAAGCTTGGAAACTACGGGGAGGCGCGGCGCTACAACGACCTCCTGCTGGAGAAGGAGCCGGCGAACCTGCAGGCCTCCAACCTGGCGACGCTGATCGATGACAAGGTGCAGAAGGAGGGACTCATGGGCGTGGCCATCATAAGCGGCGTGGCTGTTGCAGCGGGTGTGGTCGGCGGGATACTCTTCAGGAACCTGGGCAGGAAGAGGTAATGAGTATGATAGCTGGGCGGGAAACACAGCCCTTTGTATATGCGCGAGCATTAGAAAGTACGCGGATCGCGAGGAAGAGGAATTGGTGCTCAGGCCAATGCTGTACATCTCCACACCTACAGCTCTAGGTTGTATTGTATTCAAATCAAGGAACATATTTCACATCTTCCACGTTGGTGACTTCGAGGCTCTCTGTCTGACCATGTTTGGCAGGTTGTTTCTACCTATAGCATTTATAAACTGATCAACAGAGAAAAAGGATCAAATGATAATGTCCAACAGAAAAGAAAAACATCATGTTCGCTGCTTCTCGTGCCTGACCAGTCGCAATCTGCTTAGTAGGGTACCTACTGGGTAGGTATATGGATATCCTCTCCAGGATGGCAAACGGGAAGATGTCGTTTTCCACAAGAGCAGTGATTGTGTGGCACCAACTCTAGAGCAAATAACTACAGTGGAAGCTGGTAGATTCGGGTGGACGCCAGTGGTACCAGGGACGTGGGCGAGGCGGTGCGTCAGAGCCCCACACGGCACCTGTGGAGGTGAGTTAGTTACCTATCTTATCTACCTAGGTAGTTTAGTTATTAAGTGGGAGCAGCGAGTGACAGTCACTCGTAGCCTTCGATGGAAGCATGACCAATACAAGGCATCAAATCCGACACCCGCCTCGGGCAACGCTCTTCCCTTCTCAACAACATCCACCGACCTCCAGGCCGCTTCTTTGATTACGAACCCGCGCACCAGCGGACGTCCAAGCGGTCAGCTATTGAATTCCACCACTTTCTTTCTTCAGCCTTATCGAGGAGCCGGATCGCGCCGCCCCTCCGGTTTCTCGGCCCTGATCTGTGAGGCTGGCGTTTCGGGCTCTTCGTGTTGCCGGCCTAGCGGTCGGCTTGGGCCTCGCGGCTCTCACGGCCTACCAAAACAATCAAGAGGGCCGGCCACAGGAGAGAATGTCGGCTCCTCGTCACCTTGACGCCTTTGCCGGCCGCGAGGTTGTCTTCTGTCACCACTGCCATGACGAATGGTACAAGGACGAGCATGGATTAGTTTGCCCAGCCTGCCGCTGCGAAATCACCGAGATTGTGAGTCTCCTATCAGATTCCGCCTCAGTTACCAGAAACTCAGCTATTCTAACATCTATCACAGGTCGAGCGCGACAACGATCCGCGCGATATACGACCTGACCCTTCCACGTCTAGTCACGATAGAGTTAACAACGATAGCGTGGACTACGACTCAGATCCCGCGGAGGCTGATATCGAGGACCACGTCCACCGTGGCCCCGGCGGCTTCTATATGCATCGAACCATATTTCGATCACCGTCACAACAACCAGATGGATCGCCTGGACCAAACGGCCGCAGGCCTGCTGACCCCACAGATGGCCAGGATATCTTGCAGCGTTTCACCGAAATGCTCATGAACGATTTCAGGGCTGGACCGCCAGGTCGATCAGGACCCGATGTTCTCTTCCCTCCGGACGGCGACAACCACGGCTTTGGATTTGCTGGCCCCCCTCGAGTGCACCGGACGACTTTCATGTCTCCTGGAGGAGGCACGGCCAGTTTCACGATAGCCACAGCTCCCTTAACTCGTGGGGGCCCTGGCAACTTTGAGTCGTACGTTCCCCGCCACAGCGGCTCTCGATCGGCCGCGCCCGGAGTCGTTTTCTTGCGAATTGCTAACGCCCCGACCAGTGTCTTTGGTAATATCATGGGTGATATACCGCCACCTGCTCCTCGAGACGCGTCTGGAGGCGAGGGACCCCAGGTTGGCGGGATCCCCCCAGGATTCCCTGCTTCACTCCATCAAATCCTCTCCGCCATCCTGAACCCGGCCTCAGCCGTCCATGGCGACGCGGTCTATTCCCAGGAAGCACTGGATCGCATCATTACATCCTTGATGGAGGCAAACCCCCAGTCTAACGCTGCACCCCCCGCCTCTCAGGTCGCAATCGAGAAATTGCAACGTCGAAAGCTCGACGACGATCTCCTCAGTAGCGACGGCGAGAACAGTTGCAGCATCTGCATCGAGAACATGCACAAGGGTGATGAGGCAGTCGTTCTGCCTTGTAAGCATTGGTTTCACGACGAGTGCGTCACGCTGTGGCTCAAGCAGCACAACACATGTCCGGTCTGTCGCCGCCCCATCGAGGGCTCTGCGCCCCAAGACGCTGCACCGCAGCAGCCAGCCGCTGCTCCGGAATCAAGACCGCAAGGCGCGCAGCAGAGCGGATTCTATCCTGCAATGTTCGTGACCGGACCAGCGCCAGCTACCGAGTCGAACACCCCCCATCGGCGGCAGCCGAGGGGTTGGCGAAGCGCCGCCGAGAATGAAGAGAGGCTCAATGCTATTCGCAATGCTGGTGGCACCGCGTACGCGGGCTCATCCTCGACCAACCGGCGGAGCTCACACTCGCCCCCTCGTCCCCGGGTGCAGACTCCGATGGATCAGGCGTCGAGGGCTACTTTTAGGCAACGAAGCCCTTCTCCTGAGTGGCGATTTGGTCAGGGGAGCCAGCGCCATGGGGGCAACGACTCTCGCGATCGAGGTAGTAACAGCTCCGGGAGCGGAAGCGGAAGCAGCGGTCCCTTCAGCTGGCTTCGGGACCATTTAAGGGGCAATAATAACAACAATAACAATAACAACGGATCGAGGCGCTGAGGCGCTGAGGAGCTAGGAGCTAAGACGAGGTCCGAAGAGGACGTCAGAGAATATGGTGGTTTAGCAGCTTGTTGCTGCACGGGGGCTTCCAGGAGTTGGACGTTTTTGAAGGAAATCATGGATCCCGTGATTGGATCATCATGAATGACTGCCACGATAACTACATCACATAGATTAGGTACAAGTAGATGGAGGCGATGATTTTCCGTTGGCGCCAAAAAGGGAGGAGCCGAGCTCTCTGGTTTATGTAGAATACCCTAGCATTGCACTAGTTGACATATCGAGAGGGCATTGGGCTGGGGCGCTATTGACGGTAATACACACCTTTTTCTGCTATGGATGCATCCGTTGGTTGCTTCTCTTCGTTCCCACTCATTCTCACAGATCTCGGCGAGAGACGTTACGGGCCCGACTGGCGCATATAATCTCGTTCGTCTGGCACCGCGAGGTGTGAAGGGCAACCGTGACGAGCAACATAGAGGGATGGAGATTTGATATGACGAGGCCATACCAGCTTACAAGGATCATCGCTTGCCCGTACGTGCTAGGGCCATCAAGACCCACTGTCATATTGGGGTTAAGATCCTGGACAGCACGCGTGCCGGGGTCGCTAGAGGGGTCGGCAGACAGGGATCGACGGTGTGGTGTCTCGGTGGTTATTTGGTTCAGAACGATGGAGTGAGCACCTAGGTAGGCACTACGCTCGAACCTTGAGATGAGGACAATTACGTTTGGGATCAACAAGATCTTCATCTATCTAGATGCTAGGTCCGATGGGAAGGCATGGCAAAGAACCATCATGCAGGAGCCAGAGATAACCGAGTCAGGGCACGGCTTGCCTGCAGACACGGGTGGCAAGCTGTCTGTCACATCGGAGCCGCCATTCCAGAGTTCTAGAAACACCTGGCCGGTCACAAGAGAACGATTCAGCTGCGCGCAGGCTGTTTCTACTCCACCGCGATACTTACTTGTGCTTGGGCATTTCGTACTGACGTGAGCTTGGGCCGACTGAGTACTCCGTACAGTAGGTGCAGCCGCCGTTCTCCGCTTCTGGGGTCCCCCCGTCCGCCTCGCGGAGTTTAAAACGACATAGCGGTTGGGGAATCGCGCCATTTTTGCCTTTAGTCGATGAGGTAGCAACCCTGAAGGGGGGGGGGGCCAGAAGGCAGTTGTGGTGCTGATTCAGGTGCCGGTGCGCTTTCTCTCCCTCGTCTTGTCTTTCAGTGCGTATCTGCTAGGCACCGGATCTTAAAAGATGGGGCTCTCTGCGACGGGTTGTGGACGAGACGGTGGTGTGGCGGGCAAGGCTCCTTTTAGCTACCTGGTATTTCCAAGCATGATGATGCCTTTGCCTCAACTGCCTGCCTGCTCCTCTCCGCTCTCGAGTGCCGACTTCCTCCACCCATCCCTCCTCTCTTTTTTTTCTTTATTCCCAGCGCTCCAGCCCGGTCGCTTACCACTCCACGCTTAAAAACTTCCACCCTTCCCTCCAATCGCCAGGCGAAAAAAACACACCCCCCATCTGCTTGACCTCTTATTCCCGGGCAGCAGGCCAAAACGAAGGAACGCAAAGGGAAAGAGGAGCTCTTTTTTGTCTGGGGAAACAATACATACCCTTGAATCCTTAAATCCTTATATTCCACACTACTAGACGCAAGTAGCCGCCGGTACGGCCAAGGCGTTTCCCGCCGTTGCCGAATCCCTCGCCGCGCTGCACGCGCGGTGCGTCTCTGGGGATTGGCATTCCGGCAATTGCGCGGGTTTTGCGAAAAGGTACCTTTACAGAGAGCGGGATACAAAAAAAAGCAACGCAGGCAGCACAAGGGGCAATGGAGCAGCAGCAGCAGCAGCTCCTGTCGCCGCATGCCTCCGGCGCCGCCCTGACGCCGAGCTCGGCCGGCACCATCTACGCCTCTCCGGCCCCGAGCCACCACCGGATGGCGCACCACCACCACCAGCACCACCAACCTCACCACCGGCCCTCCTCGTCCTCCGCCGCCGCCAACGCCGCCCCTTACGGCAATTGTAAGAGGGGGGCCAGCGGCGGCGACGAGGACGAGGACGAGTACGACGAGGAGCGCGACGACCGGGGCGCCAGCACCAGCGACAAGGCGTCGCCGTCGGAGCCGCTCAAGAAGAAGCAGAAGCGCAACAAGCCGACGCTGTCGTGCTTTGAGTGCGTCGAGAGGAAGACCAAGGCAAGTCTGCTTCTTTTGTTTATTGTTGCCTTTTCTTGTAATTGCTGCACTTGAGTGCTCTCCGTCGTGCTCTTTTCGTCCTGTTCTGCATTGTCGGGTTTTCCCCAGGGATGAGACCTACACCATCCAGGAGGGTTCTGTCAGCTACCTGCATGGATGATCTGCAAGCAGAGCCGTGGCATGCCACGAGTGTCGCGATGCCTCAAGAGTGTCGTTCGTCCAGCTGTTACTTCCCAAGTCGACGCTTTGTAGGACATCTTGATGTGGATGCCGATGCAGATTGTTTACTGAGCTGATCAGTGGTCAAATGCTTCCTCCCCATATCAACCCTCCGCTATTTCCCTCAAACAGAACGCACAGCACAATGTGTGGATCGTTTTTCATTGTGCAATTGCCTCTATCATATGTGACCCGGAGAATTAATACGTTCCAACAGTGCGACCGTGGCCGACCGCACTGCCTTGCATGTAAGTCAGCTCATGCTGGACAGTACGACAGCGCGAGACTCATCTGACATTCCCACAGGCATAAAACGCCAGACAGAATGCAAGTATGCGCTCGTCGCAAATCTTCTCGAGTAGGTTCCTCTCCGCTAGGTGTAGAGGTACTCTGCTGATCTTGAGCTCAGGGAAACCACACGCACTGCTGCAAATGGACGGCGAATGACCAAGCCGCCCAAAAAGAAGCCGGGTGTTACAAAGTCATCCATCCCCAACATTGCCGACAGGAGCACGCAGCACGGACGTGTGCTGTCTCACGGCTCGGTATCCTCATCGACGGGGCTGCTTTCCAATGTTCCCTACTCGCACCCTACCGCGTCCAATGTCTTCGGTATCGGGTCGGAGCATCCCTTTGCCAACTACTGGACGTGTGAGGGCGGCCTCCCGGAGGTCATATCGGTCCTTCCCGACAAGCTCCAGGCCGACATTTTGCTGAGCCGATACTTTGAGTGTGTTGACCCAGTATACCCCATGCTCCATCGCCAGACTTTCTATGCCGACTACGAGCACTTCTGGTCGCTGAGTCGGCCAGACAAGGACCGATTTGACCCTTCGTATGTCGCCTTGATCTTTGTCATGTTGGCGCTCGGCACCCAGTTTGTGTCCAACACCGCCGCCAAGGAGAGACGACAGACGGCCGAGTTCTACGCATCTGCCAGCAACCAGGCCCTGCGGATGAGCTCGTATCTGAGCACCGCATCCATAAGATCCATTCAGACAATGGTGTTGATTACGTACTTTCTCATCAACGACAACCACGCTTCGGATGGCTGGGCCTTTGCGGGCATTCTGATGAGGCAAGCCTATGCGATGGGACTGCATAGGGATCCCAACATTGTGGCCCCGAATGCCAGCATCTTCGAGAAGCAGCAGCGCCGCAAGGTCTGGCAGGCCGTGCTGCTGCAGGACACGTTCCTGACTGTCCTGCTATCTCTGCCCCCGAGCGCAACGCACACTGATGTCAGCGTCGAAGACCTCTTGACGGAGGACGCCGCGTCCATTGCGCACAGCAACGCGACCGACATGGCCTACATACGGGGCTCGTGGACCCTGGCCAACCTCGTCCAGGAGACGATATGCAGCCCGCGGTCGCTCGACCTGCCGATCTGCACCACGGCCCGCCACAAGTCGAAGCTCGTGGCGGACTTCCGGGCGGTCTACCGCAGCTTCCCGGACATCTTCCGGAGCTGGGACGCCGAGTCGCTCTCGCAGCTGGCGCAGACCAACAAGCGCGTCGTGCGGCAGACGCTGTTCCTGACCAGCAACTACTTCCACAACCTCATGCTGGTGCACGCGTCCGAGAGCCCCGACGTCCCCGTCAACGTCCGCGGCACGCTCGAGGCCGCGCACGACGCCATCACGGCCTTCTTCGTCCTCTTCAACCTGTTCGACATGGAGGCGCGGGTCTGGTGGGTGTTCAACCACAGGGCGTTCCTGGAGGCGCTGTGCATCGGGGGCATCATCCGGGAGGCGCTCAAGGAGCCCGGGGGCGAGGAGACGGTGGCTCGGGACCCGTTGTTTGTGCGGGCCAAGGCGGATATCTGTGAGTCCTCCCATATATGTCGAGGGAGATGCGTCGCAGCCATGCAAAGGACGGGTCGAGGCTAACTTCTAACTGCAGCGCGGATGATTCAGATCATGCAGATCATGGGCGAGGAGGGGTCCGAGGTGGCGAAGACGAGGGTCCAGGTCCTGGGAGACTTCTTGCTTTAAGGGTGGAAACAGTACCGCTGCTGTCGAGAGTTTTAGTGCTGGTGCGTACGGTGTCTGATTATATCAGTTCTGGATACCCAAGTGTGCTGTTTGGTGTTTCTGCCAGACCTTTAGGAATAAATGTTCGTATACAACAAGATCTACTTTTGATTCTGGTTTCGTTTCCCGGGCGGGCATTTTGTCGATGCATCACTCAGGCCTACGCTGCAATGCGGAAAGTGCTTCGGGACATCTGTCATCTCTAGAACCATGCGAGCTCTATTGAGGCCTTTCTGCAGGGAGGTCGGACCCAGGTTCGAGTCTTTCAGGGAGCGGCCTCTGGCTGGTGACATTTGAGAGGTTTTGAGAGATATCCAGCCACAAGCTGTCCTCAAGCATAGGCACCGTATCTCCCCCTCCCTCGCCAGCCCATTCCTCTTTATCTCTATTATCTATTATACCAGATTGTATCGCAAGATGCTACATCACTTACCTCGAGTCGTCATGGGGCTGTTAGGGGAACCGTCCCAACTTTTACCCCTAGCCAAGATGGCAGCCAACATCCTGACCTGGTTCGTCCTCACCATCGCCCTCCAGGGGGTGTTCCTCGGCGAGAGAGGCGTGCCACGGTATTTCTTCTTCACGCTGTATCTGATCCTCCAGGCGTACTACTTTGTCAACCTGTGCGGCTCCGGCTCCGGCTACGACGAGGCGGAGACGTTTCTCGGCTTCGCCATCATCAAGATGCTGCTCCACGTCTCGTACATCACCTTTGTCGAGGAGCGCTACATCGTCGGGCGCAACAGCCGCTGGGACTGGCTGGCGGCGTACAACGCGTGCACCGACCTGCGCCGGGTCGGGGCCGCTCAGGACCTGCCGCGCCGAGACGAGCCCGACACCGAGAAGGGCATGCCCGCGGAGGCCACGGGGTGGCAGAGCGGTGGCTACGAATACTACTACAACAACAACAATGCAAACGGCAGCGTGAGGAACAGATGGGCCACCCCCTTGCCCCCTCCTACGCTGCAGCCCCTTCCCAGACAGCCCGCCGCCACGGCCCGCTCCTGGCCTCGCGCCCGCTTCGTCGCCCTCCGCCTCGCCGAGTCGGCGGCCATCTACGCCCTGCGCCTCGCCATCGGCAAGCTCGCCTTCCTCGGCCACGACGCCGTGACGGCCCTCTGGCCGGGCGCTGCGGACGGCATCGCCACCCGGCGCCGCAGCATCCACTTCCTCACGCGCCTGCGCGAGGTGACGCCCGCCGAGCTCGCCCTGCGCACCGTCTTCGTGCTCGCGGCGCTCCCGGACGGCGCCCTCGCCCTCGCGGGCTGGCACGCCCTCGCCGCGGCGCTGCACGTCGCGCTGCGCGCCTCGGGCCGCGAGTCCTGGCCGCGCCTGTTCCCCACGGCGGGGGTGGTCCCCTGGCGGCCGCCGCGGTGGCGCGACGACGTGACCAGCGTCGCGGCGTACTGGGGCCGGTACTGGCACCGCGTGTTCGCGACGCCGGCGCTGGCCTGGGCGCGGCTGCTGGCGCGGGCCTTGCGCGTCGGGAAGCGGTCGGCCGCGTACCGCGCGCTGACGGTCGGGGCCGTCTTCCTGCTCTCGGGCGCCATGCACGCCGCCGTGCACGCGGCGACGCACCCGCACCGGGGGTGGTCGGGCGGCGGCGGCGGCGGCGCCGGCGCGGAGGAGGGTTGGTGCGGCGCGCGCAGCCAGTTCGCCATGCCGCTGTACAGCTGCGTCGCGATCCTGGGGGAGGCGGCGGGCCGTGCGGTCCTGGAGCGGTGCGGCGGCGGCGGCGGCGCGCGGTGGCGGCTGGGCCGGTGGCGCGGGTGGTACGGCGCGCTGGGACGGGTCTGGGTGTTTGGGTTCCTGTGGTGGCTCGTGTCGAGGATGGAGATGGAGACGATTGTGTGTGGGATTGAGGAGGCCGAGGCGGAGAGGCATGGGCATGGGCATCTCGTCGGGGCGGTCTGGTGAAAGGGGAGAGTAGGGGGTGAGGGAGGGAGTGTTTATATGCCTGGGTTTACAAATATGTCGACGTGTCTGTTGGGTTGCGAGTGGTGAAAGATTGTACGGAGTGTATTTTTGATAATTTGGACTTTCACATGTGTGAGAGAGAATACGGGGTTGTTATTATTATTATTATTTTGTATTTAACTGCATCGAAATGCTCTACGTCTTTTATCGAGTGGTAATATTCGAATCTGCAATTATGTTTCCAGGTTTGCAAATTTGTAAAGATATATCAGCTTTTATTCAGTAATCATTGTGGTACAAAATGCGAATATGAGGGACGATGTGTTACTGTAAGTGATATTGAATAATCGAGGAGACCCTTCAAAATCGTCGTTTCGCAGGCGTGGGTCATGAATCATCAACTCACACAAACACCAGCGAGACTTGTCACCAACTTGGGCCACGTAAACAATCCCTCGCCATTCCCGGTTAAATTAATTATACGAGGCTGCCCGCCTCCAACGAATCGCTCGAATAAGAGCCCACTCCCTTCCCGCCACGGGAGATGTTCAGACAACTCCCCTCCATCCTCAAGGCCGCCGCCAGCCCAGCATCCTCCAGCACCACCACAATGTCCACCGCATCCAGCAGCACTTCTGCCACGCCCGCGCCATGGCGCGCAGCCCTGCTCAACGACATCGGCAAGATGTCCCAGGCCACCTTCACCCTCAGCACCCTGCACCACACCCAAGGGAGTAGCAGCAGTCTCTCGGGGGGCAGCCCGGTCCCGCGCGCCCGCACCTGCATCTACCGCGGCATGTGGGCGGAGCTGCCCGAGGACGCGCGGAACCCGGCCGACCGCAACCCGCCGCTGTACGCGAGCGACCTGCTCACCTTCACCACGGACCGGCGCATGCACAAGGCGGCCGACGTCCTGTCGCCGGGGGGGCTCGGCGGCGGGCCCGTCGAGGCGTGCTTCTGGGCGGCCGAGGCGCAGGCGCAGTGGCGCGTCCGCGGCCGGGCGTGGGTGCTCTCGGCCGCCGGCGCGGACGGCCCCGGGGCGGCGGAGGCGCGGCGGGCGGTGCGGGAGCGCATGCGCCCTTCTTCTTCGTCGTCGTCGTCTTCTTCTTCTGCTGCTGCCGATCCCGAGCGCGGTCAGGATCAGGATCAGGATGACTTGAGCTGGAGCTGGAGCCGCGAGGTCAAGGCGCACTTTGGCAACCTGAGCCCCATGATGCGGGGCACCTTCCGGAACCCGCCGCCGGGGACGCCGCGGGCGGTGGCGCCCGAGCAGGGCCTGGGGCTCGGCCAGCAGGTGGACGGGGTCGAGGACGCGCTGGCGCTGGGCAACTTCCGGGTGTGCGTCATCGTGCCGGACGAGGTCGAGCTGGTGGACCTGTCGGACGCGGCGGACCCGAGGCGGTGGCTGTATACCTTTGTCGGAGGAGGGCGGGGCCGGGGGCCCGGGGAGAGGCAGCCACCCGGGGCCGAGGTGACGGGGGAGTGGGAGAAGGTCGAGCTGTGGCCTTGATGCGTTGCAGGGCAGGGCTGTGCTGTGCTGCTCAACCCGGTTTATTCCAGGGGACAGGGAGTTCTACAAGGGACACGGCGTCGAGTTTGTGCTGCGGCGGCACTGGGAACATCATGTAATACATCGTCATTCTGACGGAGGTGTTTGTCTTGGCTCCCGCGCGTAACAGATTTAGAAAATACACCATATAGACAGGCATCGGATGTATTCCGGTTGTACCACTGCCCCTAAAAACGGAACCATAGTATCTACAAAGCGTTTCGCAGGGCTCAGTTCAGTTCAGCAAATGACACACAGGCTCGTTCGAACCGTGGCACATGTCATGTTGCATTTTACAGGTCTGGGCGATCTCGCTCGCTTCTCCGGCGGCACGAGGAGAGACGACGGGACAGTTCAATAACAGTCAGCTTACAACGTAGCAAAGCTGTTGCGTGTCGGGGTTACACGCTCCGTCAGCGCACTGTTGTGACATTTTCTCTCTGGAGAGAAAGTACTGCGAGAAGCTGTATCCAGCCCGATACAAACGCAACCGAGCTCTTCCCAAGAGACGGAAAGCGAGGAAAAGACCTCAAGTAGTGGTCGTAATATAGCTGGCTCTGCTTTGCGAGTGGTACGACACACACACACTGTGCATCAGCGAAGTTGCGGTGGCCGAGGCCGTGCTGACGACCTGCAGGTTGCATCTCGCGAAATCCCGCGTGGGGTGTCAAAAGCATGGGTTGGAGTTCTTGCTGGTGATGGTGATGGTGGTGGTGGTGGTGGTGGTGGTGGTGGTCATCAATCACAGAGCACAGGATCTCCTGATGGCCCTGTGAAACCGGCCAAGGTGACGGGCACAGCAGGAAGAGAGGTTGTAGGGCTGGGCTGGAAGAGGAATGTTGCAGTGGCACACCACACACGCATGCTGGCCGTCACGGAGGGAGCTCACCCGTCCGTGTAAGCGGCTTCCAGGCCACGACACACGGCCACGACACCACCATCCGACGAGAGAAAGCTCTCACACCCGCATTGTCGCCGAATCCAGCAGTCTCTCGGCCGTAGTCGACAGGCTACAGCATACTTTCATGGTTTGTCGGCACTTTGCTCTTCATTGTGCCGATGTTGAGTGCTTTAGTAGTAGTGGCCCGACGACCTCTTGTTGCTCCGTCGGCTTGCCCAATATCTCACCACGGATGGGGTGGTTAGGTGATGCCAGTCTAGGACATTGTTCCCCCAAGTTTCGACAGCTTTTGGCTTTTGGCTTTGCCTGCCGTCCTCTCTCGTACTTGAAAGGATCCATGCCAGTCGTTCGCTCCTCGAGCGTGCCGTGTCGCGGAACTACCCATCACTTGGCTCGGTGAGATGGAGCGGGTGATCGGTAAAGTTGGACAGGGCTTGGCTCGGGCGATTCAAGACACGTCTTAGATTGCTCTGCCGTCTTTTGGGCACGAGGTTATTGCAAGCCCGTTCCTATTACACTTCCGGCTTGGCCGTGCTGCCGCCAGATGAGAGAGAAAGCCAGATGAGAGAGAAAGCCAGGAGGGAAAGCACCTGGAGAGGCTGAACATGTGAACGCTTCACAGCATAGCCAATACGACCTCTTACCTCCAGGACAGAGTGCTGCTGTTTGTCGCGTGCCAGGATCCTACCTAGGTACGGAGTAGGTACTGAGGGCAATCCTGGAGCCTGGAGCCTTAAGAGAGCCCCTGTAATGCCTGTAGTGCTGGCTGGTTGGGTACCCAAGGACTGGGTCGATCGGTGGGGGACAGGCAGATGCAACACAACCTCTGATTGTGATTGTGAGGTGTCGAGCCTTGAAACTCCCGAGCGTCGTCCTGTCCCCCAGAAGAAGCATGCCTGCTCCTCCCCCAACCCCGCTCCGCCTTCGCTGCAACCCAAACACAGTACTTTCGTAGTTTGCTGCTGCAGTCCCGACTTTTGTTCGCATCACGGGCTTGGCATGCGAGAAGTTGCTTGCTGCTGTGCTTTGTTCTGTTGGGGACCGAGTCCGGCGTAGCGAGAAGCTGTCGCGGCGAAGACCAAGTTCTAGGAACATGTCCATCATGAGAGATGAGAGGGTGAGTACATACACTTAGGTACTGAACTACCTTACTTGTCCGATACAGTACCTCATTGCAAGTAGTTAGACGACTTCTCGACGGATCAACGAAACCCCAACCCTCGGCCAGTCGTGCCCTGTTTCTCTCACATGCAACATGCAACAGCTGTGCCTCTGTCCCGCGGCGAGAAAGCAGAAAATAGTCCCCGGTCGAGGGCGACCATTTTGATTAACCCGGCCCAGGCTCACTGATCAGGCTTGGGGAGGATTGGCGACTGGGATGAAGGGTCTTGGAGTACTTGTCCGGAGTCGAGCAAGCAGCGACCACAGGCGTATGTCCTTGTAGTTCCTCCGTACCTATCAAGACGCGGGGAGCAGGGGCCTACGTGTCCCACCAATCTCGCACCGCCAATTCTTGCATTATTCCATACTCCGTATCTCTCTCCCCAGCTCACTTCCTATCTCTGGCCCAGCCTCTCTCTCTCTCGCCTCTCTCGCCTCTCTCCCCACAAGAGATAGATGGCTCGTTTGATAAGTTCCTATTCGGGCAGCCCAAAATCACGCATACTCAACGAGATGTGCAGCACTCACTTTGCCGCGTCGCGAGGAGATGACACCAGACATACCCCAGCATGAGCTCGGTAACCCGGCTGCTGATAGTGATTGCGCTATTTGTTAGTGTCGGCGAGCCTATCACCCACGCGAGCATTGTGACAGGGGTTCAATCCATCTCAAGTCGTCACCGACCGCACAAAGCTGGTACAGGGACCAGGCCTCTAGTACAAGTAGGTAGACAGACTTGGTCCAGCCCAGCCACTTTCAGTCGCGCGCTCTAGTCGCAAATGTTGGAGAGGGCTCCCGGTTCTAGGCTAACGTCTCGTGGGCGGCAAAGCGACGGCGCCATTCGTGCACGAGATAACTGCTAGGTCCTTTAGTGAATCACGAGAAAAGGGGGACGACGGGTCCATGATTCACAGACAGCTTATCTTTGGTGGAGAGAGTGTGGCCCACAAGGATACAGAGCGAGACAGAGAGACAGAGACCGACAAGACGGTGTGTGTGTGCAGCAACAGGTTTGCTGGATCCTGGAGAGCAGCTTGGCTGCAGGACGATGGCATAGTAAGTACTCCGTAACTGGCATCGACAGCCTAGGCCGAAGCGAGCAGCGGGTTGACTGCAGGCCGGACCTTGGGCCTTGGCCCTTTGGGAGAAGCGGTGGGCAAGAAGGAGACGTAGGTAGGTCGAGGTGCCATCTCATCCCGCACCTCGACCCCGTTTTGTACCTAGTGTCCGCCTGCAAGTGATGCGCATCACTGTCGCTTACTTGTTACTGTACATGGCCATGGCAGCACACAAGGACGACAAGACAAGACAGTACGTACACGCTCGTGCAAACTGCTGGCTCTGTGGCACGACCTCCTGCTCCGGAAAGGGAGGTGGATGTCAGATGTGGTGGGTTGGGTGGTGGTGACAATGAACGACCTGCCCTCTCCTCTCCTCTCCTCTCACCTCTCTTCTCCTCTTCCTCTTCTTCCCGTGTCTCTGATCCATGCAAGGTAAAGCTGAGATAAAGAAGGTGGAGGTGACAGGAAGGGTGGTGTGCGCCTCTCCTTTCGCAACACACCTCCCCTCCATCTCGCCCAAGGACACATGCATGCACGTATGCATGGTGGTCCGAGATTGTAGCTTGTCTGTACCAAGTTTTCCCAGATACCGTACCAGACAGACCCTCGAGTCCGCACGAGAGGAGAAGCGCCACCACCCTCTGTTGTGGTTTGTACCTTAGACGAGCTAGCGCTAACCTTGCTCTGTACTTGTACAAGTACGTGCTGGGCTGGGCGGGGACCAGGATGACCATTGGGTGGCACGCGGTTCTTGTTCGCTGCCAGCCTGGGCCCAGTAGTGCCAAGTGCCATCAATTAGTGCATCCAGTCCCCGTTTTTCTCCACGACCAGACCCTGGGCTAGTTATCCTGGGCTATCGCTCGCCTGGGCCAGTGGCCGCCTCCAGGTTTCGTACCCGACAGCCTGTGCCAGCCTGTGCCAGCCTGTGCCACCCGACCTGCCTTCTCGCTGTCTTTCCCCGAGGTCCCCTGTCTCGCCTTGCCGCCTCTGCGCCTGCCTGCGCCGCCATTTGCTCGTGAGCTGGACCCTCCCGCCGACCAACAAGTTGTCTTGTGCCTATCATTCCCCAGTCATTATTCCATCTCATAAGCCAGCCCATCGTCCTTTCGCACCGCCGCAGACATTCCCACAAATTCCTGGCTTCCCCTTCCTCTTCTCTGCTCTTCTTCTTCTCCCTCCTCACACGGACAAAGGCCGAATCGTGGACTACACACACGTACAGGATTATACTCGAATCGGACCAGGTAGACGCACGCCGCCAGGGTCTAGTCCCAGCGACTCGGCTACAATTGCATTGTCTCGAGACCTCATGCAGCCAGCCATAATATACTTTGCGGCAGCAACCTCACGGACCACACCCACGTCATAGCACCGATTCTGCCAGCTCCCAAAAAATCACAACTACACGGGCTCTCGCATTCGGCTCTGTCGACGTCAAGCTGTCGCCTTTTACGCCCCCGACCCTCGAACCCAATTCCTCAATCCAATGGTTCCACCGAATAATCACCAGTCGGAACTCTCCTCGCCTGTCACGGACTGAAGCCGCTCCCGACACCCCGCTCGTCCCTCTGCGGAGGTTGACGGGCGTGGCCTAGTTGTTGCGCCTGTGCCTGCGCCTGGCCCTGTGCTTGTGGTGTCTCCGGCCCTGGATACTCGATCATGTCGATCTACTCGAGTCCGCCTCCTCTGCGGCCCTTCTCCGCCGAGAAGCCTACCTTGCTCGTCTGCTGGTGGATCACAATCTTTTGCACCTCCATCATCCTGCTGCGTGTAGGCGGCCGCTATGTCCGTACCGAGCGCCTCTTCCTCGAGGACAAGGTGGCCGCCCTGGCCATAGTTCCTCTCTTCCTGCGCATGGGTGCCGTCCATGTCATTCTCATCTACGGCACCAACAATGCGCAGTTCGCCGGCGCCAACTTGACAGACGTCGAGATTCACCAGAAGAGCGTAGCGAGCGGCCTAGTCATCCTTAGTCGCATCCTCTACGCCGCAACGTGAGCTTACTTCCCCCCTGATACTTTTCTCTAGCCATCCCCTATATGCATATGACAGCTGCTGACATGGCGGCTTGCCTTTGACAGACTATGGACCTTCAAAGTCGCCATTCTCGAGTTCTTCAAACGCCTGACTGGAGTATCATGGAACCGACACTACGAAATCACTATCATATTCATCCGATGCACTCTCGGGGCCACCTTTGCTGCCATTGTCGTCAGCAATCTGGTCGAATGCCGCCCCATTAACCACTATTGGCAGGTCTTGCCCGACCCCGGCGGCCAGTGTCGGCAAGGCTACGCCCAACTCATCACTATGGCCACCTGCAACGTTATTACAGACCTGCTCTTGGTCTTCTTCCCCATCCCTATCATCCTCCGCAGCAAGATGACCATCAAGCGGAAAGCCCAGCTCGTCTGTCTCTTCTCCCTTAGCCTGGGAGTCATCGCTGTCACGGCCTATCGCGTCCCGCTCATCCTCCGCAACCACGGGCGCCAGCAGACTCGTTCGCTGATGGCGTCCGTAGAGATCCTCTTTGCGACAGCCGCCGCCAATGCTTTGGTCCTGGGCTCCTTCGTTAGAGACCGCGGAGTCAAGAAGAGGAAGTTCAAGTACGGCTCGGCCACGGCGGATAGCATGGAGCGCACGAGCAGTGCGGGAACCCGCAGACCCACGGTGCAAAGGCACTGGGGTAGCGACGAGGACCTGGTCCGGGATATCGGGCTGGGTGTCGCTCCAGACCTGCGGGACGAGCCTGATTCGCCTAGCACCCTGAGCAACGCCCACAAGTTTCGCCCGGCGCCGCATGCCAACGTTCCCGAGGACATGCATCTGTGGCGCTTCCCCTCGCACAAGAGAAAGATCGAGACTGCCAGAAGCGACGACTCGCTCCTCGAGAGAGACCAGCTCTCGACTTCGCAGAGCGGATCCACCGCCACTCCCCGCAAAGTTTCCTTCTTCGATGTCGGCGGCCTCCTGGACGACGAGGCCGGCAGCAGCACCCGACGCAGCAGCACTCGCCGCGACAGCCACCGGTCCAGCGTCGGGAACCACTCGCCCACCAGCATGCCTTCCCCTACTATACCTGCCGGCACGAGTGGTCTGCGACGCGGGTCGCAAGCCCTGCTGCAGGATCTGGGCGGTCTGCTCGGCCCTAGGTCGGTGAGCCCGAGATCACGGGCTAGGAATCCTCACTCTACCGAGCTGCAGCCTATACCGTCCGAGTCACACGCCTCGTCGCAGCAAAACATCGACAACGCGGGCCTGGAAATCAGGCTGATGGACCCTGGAGGACTACTCAGTCCTCATAGGTGATCACGTCTCCATTTTGACGATATGCTGCATTGGGCTTATCCAGCTGGAAGAAAACACACACACACACATCATCATCACATCTTAACGACCATGTAACAACATACTGTCTCAATGAGTTTTTACGAATTTTCTTTTGGAAAACATACCACGGAAGCACGGAAGGGAGGATATTTTGAATTTGGAAGGGCGGGACACTGGATTTACGGGGGGAGCGCAGGTGTTCTGGGCTCGGGACGATGTGAGAATCTAGCATTCTTGGGAGGCAATCTAGGTGGGAAGGAAAGGGGTTGTTTTTAATGGCATAGTGTCGCAGTAGACACATTAGAGCCATAGCATGTTTTACGCGGCGCAGGTTGGACTGCTTCGTTTTCTTTTCTATATACCCAATCTCCGCGGCTCTGATATCGAGCCTCTACCTAGGTGCCATCTGCTACCTCATCACTGCCTCGGAAGCCTGCCTATTAGTAGGCATCCTGATAGTCTCAATACAGAACAAATATTTGACCTTTAAAAGCTCGCTGGTAACGCCATGTGACTCTGTCAGATCGATATCTAGTCTGACGAAGGAGTTCTCTGAAAGCTCTGAGATAAGAATATGCCACTGGCAAGTATCTCATACTTGAACGTTACAAGCATGTTCCGTTTACAGTTGATCTGTGTGTATTAACAACACATGGCTCATCTTGTTTTTCATGTGCCTGCCCGTGAGATTCCATGTGGATTCGATTTGGTCTCCAGTATGCTACAAGAATCAAGTTTCCCTTGTATCCCTCGCCGGTGAATGCCTTCCAGTTTTATTACAAAAACGCCGTTTTCATGAAGAGAGTCTCGAAAGAAAAAAAAAAAGGGAGACGAAAGTTGAAAAAGGAAAGAGACTCGTTGCAAAGAACGCCGCTTCCGCCAACCACCCCCCTTTAACGACAAAAGATCAACAACCACAGGCCCGCCGCGAGAGAAAGAAAGAAAAAAGCACTCCCTCAGACACAGAGCCGGTAGCTGGCGTAGCGGCCGGCCGTCTCGCTGATGCGGATGATCTTGACGACCTGGCCGCGCTTGAGGCCAAAGTAGCGGGCGACGGGGTCCTTCTGCAGGATGCGCGGCAGCTGCGTCTCCTTGAGGCGGTAGCGCTTGAGCAGGGCGGCCTTCTCCTCGCGGCTGAGCAGCACGTGCGTGGGCACGAGCTCGTGGTGCGTGATGTTGACGAGCAGGTCGTCCTGCATGAAGCACTCGATCTGGACGAGCTGCGAGGTCGCCGTCACGGACTTGCGGGCCTGCGCCGACAGGGCGCCCTGGGTGACCATGATGCCGGCCTTGAAGTTGTTGCCCGAGCAGTGCTGCACGAACCGCTTGATCTCCTTGACGCCGATCGACGACTCCTGCATGAACTCGACCCAGACGGTGCCGCACTCGGTGGCCGGGTCCGGGTCCGCGGCCGTCGGCGGCGGGGTGAACTTTTTGATCATGGCGTCTGAGGGGCGGGCGGAGAACTGCATCTTGCCGCGGCTGGTGTTTTTGGTTTATCTTTGGTTAGCATACTGATGCTGTGCTCTCTCCCGCTCTCCCTGTGTGTCTCTCTCCCCCCTCTCTCTTTTGTTCTCCGACGGTGCAAACGTAGGCACCATGCTTTGCAGAATGGAAGGACTCACTTTGGTGTGCCGTCGCCATTCGTGTATTCTGATGCGAACTTCTCGAAACTGATCTTGACTTCCTCCTCGGCCAGCTCGTAACCCTGCCCGTGGATAACCAACACGTTAGCCCTGTAACTTATATAAAACTGGCTCGCGCTCTTCGTACCCGGTCCTGGCACATCTCGTGTACCGTCCTCCACGCCCGCCACAGCTTGCGCACCTCTCTGAGGCGCGCCTCCTGGTCGGCGGCTTCTTGGTCCACAGCAGACATCGTGTCGGCGAGGTCGTGACGATGCTAGGTGCTGGTGCAAGTTTCGCCCCCTGATGTAGCGCCCCTTTTCTTTCAATCTGTCTCTGGGAACGGGAAGAGGGACTCTCTGGGCGTCGAGGTGTTGAGAGAGATGTCTTTGTTTCGTGGGTTTTCTCTGTTGCGCCGACGAGCTAGGGTCGTTTCTCAAGACCAAGCAAGGCTGGACAAAAAATTGCTGGAGGTTCCCTTTGACTGACTGGGTACGGCGGACAGAAAAGATGGGTCCGTGCCTTTCAAGCCACAGGACACAGGACTCTCACACAAGCCACAGAAGTGAGGGACAGTGGTCCACTAGCGCAAGGGCGGGACCGCGGTCGGAGCGTTCGAGGTTCGAGGCGAATTGAGCCGCTTTTCTTTGTATCTCTCTCTCTCTGGCCTTGTTCTGAGGATCCCCTAGGCTCGCGTGAGTGGACATGTATGATTGGCCCAGGTATCTCTCGGGAAAGGGACACAACTCTGCCCCAAAGGATCTGGGGAACCGCACATCGGTTCTGAAATGAGCTCGAGTGAGCCACAGCTATCCTCCAGGGCTCACTCACTCAGGGTCCCGTGTGTGCCACACTGCGCTGCAGGCCACAACCTACAGGGGATGCTACAGCCTGCAACCCACCCACACATACCACAGTCTGGCCTGTGACTGGCCTGTCAATCCCCCCCCTCGGCCCAGCCTAGACTCGCCCAGCCAGTGGGAGACACATATTAAATTTATACACAGGGCCTCAAAAAAATAATATACACCGTCGCTGAGAACGGGGAGGGAATTTGTCCGTCCGCCTTCGACCACCTTCACCTCTAGCTGCACTTCTCATAACCATCCACACTCGGGTCTCCCCTTGACCAGAGAGGTTATCTGTTGCTTCATTGCAGTGATTCAATATCCTTCCAATTGGATCCTGCTTCTTCTTTCCCTCCTCGTATCTCTTTCTTCCCTATATATCTCTTTTCCGTCTTCCTCCTCCACCTCTCTCGCAATGGCCGAAACCGCTGCTGCTCCTGCCGCCGGTGCTGCTGCCCCTGCAGCTGCTGCCCGGCCCGTTAAGCCCAATGAGGAAGAGTTCAAGCAGAAGCTGGAAAAGGCTCAAAAGGAGCACAGTGCTGTGATGGAGCGCTTCGTACGCCCCCCCTCGTGATCTCCTCAGGACTGTGAATAGTGGCATGCGTGGCTAACCAGACATGTCTTTCTCAGAACGCCATCAAGGCCAAGATCGACCTCGCTCAGCCCAACAAGAACAAGGACCAGCCTTCTCCCACCCAGAAGCGCCGCCAGGAGCTGATCGCCCAGGCCAACGAGATTCGCCAGAAGCAGGCCGGCGGCAAGAACGCCCGCACCTCGAAGCAGGACCAGATCAAGCGCCTCGACGAGCAGCTGCGCAGCCGCATCAACGAGCAGAAGAACGCCCGCGGCAAGATCAACTTCAAGAGCGCCGAGGACGTCGACCGCGAGATCGAGCGCCTCGACAAGCAGGTCAGCACCGGCATGATGAAGCTCGTCGACGAGAAGAAGGCCCTGTCCGAGATCTCCAACCTCCGCAAGCTGCGCAAGAACTTCTCCCAGTTCGACAACCAGCAGAAGGAGATTGACGACCTGCGCGCCAAGATCAAGGCCATCAAGGACTCGATGGACGACCCCGAGGCCAAGGCCCTGAGCGAGCAGTACAACAAGATCCAGGCCGAGCTCGACGCCATCAAGGCCGAGCAGGACGAGGCCTACAAGGGCCTGTCGAGCCTGCGCGACGAGCGCACCAAGCTGCACAACGAGCAGCGCGAGAAGTTTGACGCCATGCGCAAGCTCAAGGACGAGTACTACGGCCAGAAGAAGGCCTACCAGGCCTACGAGCGCGAGGCCAAGCACAAGGCCTGGGAGCGCCGCCAGGCCGAGCACGAGCGCTACGTCAAGGAGAAGAAGAAGGAGCGCGCCCAGGAGATGCTGGCCCAGGCCGCGGACCCGGCCTACCTCGACGAGATCCGCCGCGCCAACAGCCTGCTTCACTTTTTCGACCCCTCCCACAAGGAGGAGAAGTCGGCCCTGCTGGCCGACAGCGGCCTGACCGCCCAGGCCACCCGCAAGGTCGACGACTCGGCCCTCAAGGGCACCCGCCTGCTGCGCAAGGAGGACCGCGAGGACGACTACCTGCCCGCCGTCAAGAAGGGCAAGAAGGGGAAGAAGGGCGGTGCCGCCGCCGCCGCCGCCGCCTCCGAGACCAAGGGCTTCAGCTGCCCACCCTCGGTCATGGAGGACTGCTCCTTCATGGGCATCGACCCGCCCATGAGCTCCGCCGACGTTCCCGCCGTCATCGAGAAGGTCAAGGGCAAGCTCGACCACTGGAAGAAGGACCAGGCCGCCCAGACCCAGAGGGTAAGTCTAGAGAGTTTTTTTTATCTACATGCATACCCCCGTCTTACTAACATGCCCGGTGTCTTGCAGAACATTGAGAAGGCCAAGAAGGAGATTGAGAAGATCGAGGCCAAGGAGGCTGCCGAGGCCAACGGCGAGGCCACCGAGGCCAACGGCGTCAACGGCAAGAAGAGCGACGATAAGGCCGTCGCCGAGGTCACCTCTGAGCTCAAGGACGCGTCGATCGAGGACAAGAAGGAGGAGGGCGCTGCCGCGGCCGAGACCGAGGCCAAGGCTTAAATGCTCTCTGGCCTGGTTCTCGCTCCGGCTTCCTTTGTCCGCCAATGCCACTGTCACCACAATCGTCGAAGGAGTAGTGGGGGGAAGGGGTTCAGGAGAGGGGCATGTGATGTTTCTCTTACCGGAAAAGCATGGGTTGGTCAAAATGTCCAGGTAAAAAGTCCTTCAAAATGGGGGGGCCTCTTTTTGCAGAGAGCGCAGGAGGATGTCCTCTTGTTTGTTTTCTTCTAGTCTTTTGTTTTTCTGCTAGATGAATCGGGAGGACGGGCGAGCGAGAATGTGTGTTGTTTACAGGTGTTTTGTTGTAATTGAGAGAAGAGAGTCACAATCCTCTCCCCCACCCCCCCCCCCCTTTTAGAGACAACTTCGGGACTTGCAATCTAGCTTCTTCTTGCAGGTTACTCCGATCATTGAAAACCAGAAAAAAACGCTATTTAACCCCCTCTACCGGTGGTGTCAGCCTTGCGTGTGTCTCTTGATTTGCTTCGGTTAGCACTGTCGAGGGGGATGTCTATTCGTGGAGAGCAGGCAAGCATTACGCATCGCTCGCTAGGCTCTTATCGGGCACACGTGCTGTATGCATAGCCTGATGCCGGAGCTTCCCCCTGACGTGAAATGAGAAACAATAGGAGCGGGAAGATTCGTCATGTTTCTCCCAACAGGAGCAGGATTATCATTTTTTCCATCCCATCGGTGTCATTACGGTGTAGCTATGCTTGGTACATACATACATATATCCCGGCTGGTACCCTCGCGAGTCTCAGCTGTAGGCAGGCAGTCATAGTCTCATTTCTCGTCTGCTCGCTTCTGGCTTCGTTGCCGTGTGACAAACACCCTGCTCCTTATCTCCCGTACCGTCCTCATCCTCCGCTCATCGACAGGAAGAGTCAGTCCTACAGGTCATGGGAGGGGTAGAAGGAAGCAGTAAGAAGAGGCTGAAGTCTCAAGGAGGAAGGGCTGTGAGAGAATCTGAACAAAGCCCCGACAAAGTCCGTCCAGTTCCACCGGACTCGGGGGCCAACGGTGATGAAAGGGAAAGAAGAACGGACGAAGAAACAAAAGCAGACAGAGTGATGAAGATAGATAGAAAAAAATAAGAAGAGCCGCACAAACGCCCAGCGGAAGACAAAAAGGGGGGGTTGGGGGTTGCCAAACTGGGAATGCCGTCTAGAAACATGAAAAAAAAAGGTATAATATGAGAAATGCCGCAGCGCCCGCTATGCAACACGCCCAGTCTTTCAAAACAAGAAGATACTCCCCATCGCCTGCCTGCCCTCCCTTCCCTTCCCTTTGACCCCCCTTTTGATCTTCCATGCAAAAAAAATAGGGAAAAAAAGTATTCTTCGTTGGAACGTTGATATGATGGTTGTGGATCTCGTAGACTTCGTAGACATTTCTTTCGTTGGTCAAAAAAATTACAACAAAGGGAAATACAAGATATGTATCTTGGTCGAGTCGGGTGTATGGGCGTGGTGTGAAGCCTGGTGGTGGTAGTTTTTTCTTCGATTGTCGGCGGGTGGTCGAATAACAAATAGGACCTGCATATTTGGTCGGGGAACAACCCAACAAGCTCCCATTTTCAATACCCTTGGTAGAACGACCCCGGCGGCGCGTGCGGCGGCGCCCTGAACCCGCCGCTCCGCCGGTCCCGCGGAGCGGGCGTCCTCCGCTCCATAAACGGGCCGGGGGCCATGGCCACCGGCGGCGTCCTGCCGCGCAGCAGCGGCTCGGGCGGCAGGCTGGGCGCGCTGGCGACCGTGCCGGGCACGGCGGCGCTGTTGCGCCTCGTGCCGAGGCGCTTGGTGCCGGCCAGCGCGCTGAGCGGCGGGTCGCGCACCGAGGGGTCGTCCTCGGGCGGCAGGGTCAGCTCGACGAGGCCGTAGAAGTACTCGAGCACCTCCGGGTAGCGCTGCACCGAGGCCTGCCAGTCCTCGTCGATGTGGCGCTTGAGGGCGGCCTCGGCCTGGTGGATGTCCGAGGGGTGCGGCGCGGCGCGGTAGTACCGGTAGGCGTCGGCGTGGATGCGGTCGATGACCTGGCTGTGGGCCTGCTTGCGGCGCTCCGTCAGGAGGCGGAAGTACTCGAGGATGTAGTCCTGCGCGTGTTCCCGCACCCACGTCCTGTGAGGATGATTGTGTTAGCTACCTTGCAATATCGTGTATATGGGGTACATATATATATATATATATATGCACAAAGTTCCAGCCATGACTGCTTATCAAAAGAGGCCAGGACTGGCTGAAGATGTTCTGAACAACGTACCGGATGTCATTGTAGATGGACTGCATCACCCTCTGCTCGGCTTGCCGGATGGCCACCTCGAGACCTTTCGCCTCGCACTCACATTGGGCGTTTGCCGGCGCCCGGCATATCGCACAGTCCGGATCCATTCTGACGACGGACTTTCTGGTTTTGTAGTGTCTGGTATACATGGTTTAGTGTGTGACGGGGTCGAGAGACAACGATGTCCGGGACCAGGTTCGCAACGACGGTATTTAGGAGGAATAAGAAGCAAATATCTAATAATACAAGCAGGGTGCTGCCCCGATGGGAACACTCATGCTCTCTCTTCGGCCGTGACGCTGGACCAGCCAGAAACATGCGGGAGACCATGTGAAGCAGGACGGGTGATGGAGGACAAAGGAGGCTCCGAGACGAAAGCGGTCTGGGGAAGCAATGGGAGCAAGAGAGAAAGGGAATGTGTGAGAAGATGGGGACAAGGAAACGAGATAAACCCACCTTAGTAAGAAGCAAGACGCAAGATAAAGTGAGGATGATAGATGGCGTTAGAGGGGTACCCCAGGGGGGAGACCACTGATACGTTGCTAGCTCGTTCTTTCGTGCAGTAGCCAGCAGCAGGAGATGCTGCGGAGAGATGCTTGGAGCCGTCCGCGTGAGGAGAGGGATGGATATGGACGAGGACAACAAACAACACGGCAGGAATGCCGGAGTACTGCGGGAGACTAGCAGCAAGAAGACAAAGAGGGATCGGAGGGGGCCAAGACACGCACGACAAAGCCGAGTTGCGTGATGCCGCAAAGAGGGAAAAAAAATTGCCGGGGGGGATGGGAAGGACAAGCACGTTGGTGGTGGCGTCGTTTGGCGGAGAGGTTGCAGGACGAAGGACGCGATGGGCAAAACGCAATGTAGATGTGGGAAGACGTGGGAGCACTCAAATGCACCGGAGCACGCCTCGTGATGATCCAAGAGGGTCGAAGCCTTTTCTCAGTGGTGAGGCGGGCGTTGCGAGGGCAGCAAGCTTAACCACGTTTGGGCTGGGTGTCTCTGTCGTGGCTCGAATGCGAGCCACTGTCTAGACGGTCTCGATTGCAGCTTGCAGCAGCCCAATGGACGGCGGGCAGCGAGCATGTATGTATATATGCCCTGCTGCTGGTGGCTGGCCCGGAGTTGGTGTTGTGTGTGGGTTGAGCTGGCCCCAATCGACGACGTGCTCTCTCCACCGCCCGATCTGTCTTCCGGTGCGGGCTCGGCACCAACCAAAGGGGACGTAGTCCGGGGAAGAAGGGGAGAAGGAGGTGGGTAGATGCAGAGCTGCCCACAAGGACCTTGCAAGGACAGCCACACGATCGGTCGTCTTTCGTCCAAGTGAATGTGAGAGAGGGCGGGGGGAAACAAGCTCCTCACATGAAATTCGATATAGCCAAGACCGTTCGTGTCAATGGGAGGGAAAAGACAGAAGAGGCGATATTATGTAAGTCGGGCACAAAAAAGAATTCTAGGAATGCATGGGTGGGTGCTCATGCATACAAGCGGAGGACGAGGAGGACAAGTCAAAGTTATAGCCATGCAAGACAGCACACTAGCCTACAGCCGGATGGCTCGACTACCTCAACCTTCCAATGTGATGGGATGGGATGGGCTGGGCTGGGCTGGGTCGCGGTTGATTAGGCCTGGGATCGGGCGGCCACGCATGCAGCTCCAAGCATTGTACTCTACACGAAAGACAACCTGCATATATTGGGAGGACGAAGGAGAGAGTGAGAGGAGAGGAGAGAAGAGGAAGGGTAAGTAGTGCATGAACCGGAGCAAATGGACGGCAGAAAAGGACGCCGGGCGGAAGTGAGGAGGCGGGCGAGCTGTTTAGAGAGTGGGGTGCTCTGATGCGGATGTGGATGTGATGGCCGACACCAGATCATCACACAAGAGACCAAACAAAGCCGCTGCATGTCTGGCGCGGCTGCTCACCGCATCTCTCACGCATCCGGTGCCTCTCGTCCTTTCGTGGCAGCAGGCAGGGCGCATTGAGGCCCCCCGGGCACCATCAGGCCTCGGAAAGCTCTGCCTTGGTTGTTTCCCAAGTATAAAGATGCTTGTCGCCTTTCCATCTACCGAATGAATGGCCAGGCCGGCAGGATCCGAGGAGCTGTCTGTCCGTATCAAATTGATTTGGTGAGGCATCCATCAACGTCGTACAAATGGCACAGCTGCTGCTGCAGCTTCCTCTCGGTCAGCCTCTGTGCTGCCATTCGTCGCCATGGCCCAAGGCAAGGCAATGGCTGAATGCTCCATCCTGGACGACTTCAGATCGATGCATTCGAACGCAAGACGGAAACGAGGGTCGGGCCCAGTCCGGCAATCCGTCCACAAGCTTGAAGGCCGTCTGTTCTTCTTGAAGACCCGCTGATTTGGGACCGATCCATCCTCTTGTTTTCCCCCTTTCCTAGCTCGGGTCGGGTGGCACCGTCAGCCTGTTCTTATCTTATCAGAGATTGGCTCGACCTAAAATTTCCCATGTCACAGGCGCACATGCAGGAGATCAACTGCTTTGCCCTGTGCTTCGCTCAACTGACAGCTCTCCGGCGCAGGTCGCAACCATGGCCGCCCGCTGCTCGTCTTCGGTTCCCTTCTTTCTTCCCTTCCTCTACCCGTCTCTCGTCCGTTCCACCGCCAGAAGTGCTGCCCCTCGCATCAGCACTGCGTTCCGACAAGTGCGCCGTCACATGAGCGAGGCGCAACCTCCACCTCAAGCCACCAGACTCGACCCAACTCCAGATGACTACGCGATATCCACGTTCGCCGACAAGGCTCAGTTGACAGTGTACGCCGGCGCCGGCGGTCACGGCTGCATATCTTTTCTCAGAGAGCTCTACCTGGCAGAAGGCCCGGCCAACGGCGGCGATGGCGGGCATGGCGGCAACATCTACATCCAGGCTGTGCATGGCGAGACCTCCCTGCACAAGCTGGCGCGAAGGAGATATATAAGAGCGGAACGTGGCAGACATGGCCAGGGTAGTGCGAAGAATGGCCGGCGGGGCGAAGATGTCATCCTGACTGTGCCCGTCGGGACCGTGGTCAAAGAGATCAGTCGCGATGACCCGGAGACGGAACAAGTCGCTCTGGTGCAGGCCGCTAGGCGGCGGGAAATCGCTCACCGCGACTCGGAAGAGGAGGACGATGATCTTCCGGACTTGGAAGATAATCATTTTCGGCAGAAGTGGTTGCTCTACCCAGGCATGTCGAAATCGGATGCCAAAAGTATCGAGCTGCCGAGGCTGCCTCGCCGGCAGCGCTTGTATGCCCAGCCTGCAGCCCCAGTGCATCTCGATCTTTCCAAGCCTACCCAAAGGCCAATACTGCTGGCCGCCGGCGGTGTTGGAGGCCTCGGAAACCCGCACTTTGTCTCAAAGAAGACACCAAGACCCATGTTTGCTACCAAGGGTGAAAAGGCCATGTCCATGACCCTTGAGCTCGAGCTCAAGCTTCTAGCTGATGTCGGTCTAGTCGGTCTGCCCAATGCTGGGAAGAGCACTCTCTTGCGCGCAATAAGCAACAGTCGAGCACGGGTGGGCTCCTGGGCCTTCACCACCCTGCAGCCCAATATCGGCACTGTTGTTCTGGATAACAACAGGGGTCGTCCAATATTTAAGAGCTACCGAAGAGAATCGGATGAGAGCTCGGGGGTGGTTGGTGAAGAGGATCCTGAGGTGGTCCAAAGGACTAGGTTCACCGTTGCCGACATTCCTGGCTTGATTGAGGGAGCGCACCTCGACAAAGGACTGGGTATTGCCTTCCTCCGCCATGTTGAGCGCGCTGGTGTTCTCGCTTTTGTGATAGACCTGAGCGCCGGCAATGCAGTCAAGGCCTTGAACGCCCTGTGGAACGAGGTCGGCCTATATGCCCAGATGAGGGAGGACGAAGAACGGGACCGAGAGAGAGACGCGCGCATCGAGTGGAGCGACAGCACTGACTCTAACCCAGCCTCGTCGTGGATGCCGGGTACCATGACTGTTGCTGACTACCCTACCCCCCCAGAGAGCGTTTCTGGGCTGCATATTGCAGCCAAGCCGTGGTTTGTCGTGGCTACCAAGGGAGATCTGCCCAATACCCAAGAAAACTTCAAGGGGCTGAGAGAGTACCTGGCTGGCATCACACGCGGAGATCTTCCACATCCGAGCGGTATCGAAGGAGCCTGGACCAAGGATTGCGCAGCCATCCCGGTCAGCGCGATCAACGGCCAAGGAGTGGATCGGATCGTGCACTGGACTGTAGGACTACTGGATGCTTGAAGACAAGCACATGTACAACGATAAATGTCACATCTTGTAAGATTAAATAGAATATAAATACTGTTCCGTACCTGCCTACTTTCCGTGTCCTGATCAAGGTCAAGCTCATATGTCCCAGCTTGAGGCTTATCGTTATCAATCCTGTCACCGAACCTTATCGCATATCTTAGCGCAATTGAGGGGCAGCTACAATGCTGGACTTACACTCTGCGACGATTTTTTTCCTCGACTACCATTTCTGACCAGAGCGCCAGCCTGCGAGTTACTGAACCGTCCTGTTCTGACCACAGGCGTTTCCGTTGAGAACAATTGAACTTGCCTGCGCCAGAGCAGCAAGAAAATGGGTCGCGGAAAATTCAGGGTATGTGCCATTCATTCGGCTTAGTGCCGCCAAGGACTGTTGTTAACTTCCACAAGGGAAAAGGTAGAGGTGGACGAGGCGGTGGTGGCCGCAGCGGCGGAGGAGGGCGCGATCGACCTGGCTACACCAACTACCAAGCGATTGTGAAGGAGCATGAGAGGCTCGAAAGGTACTACAACGGTCTTCTCGGCCTGGACGACGGCCCTGAGAAGCAAGCCTTCTGGGAGGCGCTGAGGAGGGAGCTGCCAAACAGCTTCCGCTTCTGCGGCTCCAAGGGCCACGCCCTTGCCGTCAAGCGACTCCTGCAGACGCGATACATTCCGGAGATCACAAAGATTACTCACACCGACGGCCAAGCTGTTGAGCCTCCCAAGCCAGTCCCGTGGTATCCCGACAATTTGGCCTGGGACATGACCACCCCCAAGAACATCGTTCGGCGCTTTCCTCCCTTCGCGGCCTTCCAGAAGTTCCTCGTGTCCGAGACTTCTGTCGGCAACATCAGCAGGCAAGAGGTGGTGAGCATGATCCCTCCTCTGTTGCTTGATGTCCGGCCTGGCATGGCTGTGCTCGACATGTGCGCCGCCCCGGGCAGCAAGGCAGCTCAGCTCTTGGAAATGGTTCATCAAGGAGAGGAGGGACGTATCCGCAAGTTCTTGCAGCAATTTGCACGAGAGGAAGGTCTCGAGGTTCCAGAGATTGCGGCGGCCAACGACAATGTCGACATGGATGCGGATCCTAGCGATGACGGCAGAGCCACGGGCCTCCTGATTGCCAACGACGCCGACTACAAGAGAAGTCACATGCTGATCCATCAGCTCAAGAGGCTCTCGTCGCCCAACATGATCGTCACCAACCACGATGCCACCCTTTTCCCCTCTCTACGTCTTCCGTCCGACGATCCCAAGGCCGGCAAATACCTCAAGTTTGATCGGATTCTCGCCGATGTGCCCTGCTCGGGAGACGGTACTCTGCGGAAGAACATTGCTGTCTGGAGGGAGTGGCAGCCCGGCAGTGCGCTGGGTCTTCACTTGACGCAGACGCGGATTCTTGTCCGCGCCCTGCAGATGCTCAAGCCCGGCGGCCGGGTTGTCTATTCTACCTGCAGCATGAACCCTGTCGAGAACGAGGCCGTTATCGCGGCAGCCATCGACCGGTGCGGCGGGCTCGAGAAGATCGACATTGTCGACTGCAGCAGCGAGCTGCCCAAGCTCCAGAGGAGACCGGGCATGACCGAGTGGCAGGTCATGGACAAGTCCGCGAGGTTATGGAACAACTGGCAAGAGGTTGAGGAGTATACCAAGGCGTCAGCAGACGGGATCGCCCCCGGCAAGGTCCTCGACACCATGTTTGCGCCCCCTCGAAAGGGCGACGGCACCGACATCCCCCTCGAGCGGTGCATGCGGGTCTATGCCCACCTCCAGGACACTGGTGCGTTCTTCATTACTGTTCTCGAGAAGAAGGCCGAGTTCAAGGCCAGGCCCGAGGAGAGCAGGAAAGCAGCGCCCAGCGCGCCGGTCTCGACGGGCGCTACTCCTGCCGCTGCCAATGGGGAGAATGGCAACGATGCCGGGGCAGCAGCTGAGGTCAAGCCCGAGCCCTCTATTAAGGCCGAAGAAGGATCCAAACCCGAGCCCACTGTTAAAGCAGAGGAAGCGGAGCCCACTTCCAAGGTAGAGGCTGATGTCAAGGCTGAGCCGCAACAGCAAGGCCATAAGAGGCCTTTGGAAGAGGATGAGGCCAATGCCAGCGCTGAGAAGAAACAAAAGCTCACTGAGAGTGAGGAGGTCGGAGACATTGTGGAACTGCGGTCAAGCAATGGGCTCAGGAAGAAGCCCGAAGGCCCTTACGAGGAACCATTCAAGTACATCTCGCCAGAACACCCGGTCGTCCAGGATGTCGTCAAGTTCTACAGCCTGTCTTCTCGATTCCCCCGAGACCGGTTCATGGTGCGCAACGCCTTGGGCGAGCCGGCCAAGGCTATCTACTACACAAGCGCCCTTGCTCGGGATGTTCTGACCGCCAACGAGGGCAAGGGCGTCAAGTTCATCCACGGCGGAGTCAAGATGTTCATGAAGCAGGACTCTCCGTCTGCCGAGGTGTGCAGGTGGCGTATCCAGTCCGAGGGCATGCCGATTCTCCAGGGCTACGTGGGCGCCAACCGGGTGGTCCACCTGCACAAGAAGGAGACGCTGAGGAAGCTGCTCATCGAGATGTTCCCCAAGATCGACGAGGCAGAGAAGGAGGGACTCGGCGAGATCTACGACAGGGTCAAGGAGATCGGCATGGGCTGCTGCGTGCTGAGGATAGAGCCCGAGGAGGGCGAGGAGGAGATGGAGCCGACGGTGCTGCCGCTGTGGAAGAGCTTCCACTCGCTCAACCTGATGCTGCCCAAGGAGGACCGCTCCGCCATGCTCCTGCGCATCTTCAACGACACGACCCCGCTGGTGAACCACGGTCTCGGCGGCAAGAAGAAGCCCCAGGACCCGGCGGCGGAGACGGAGGGAGCGGAGGCTCCGGCGGCGAACGGCGAGGCTACTGCTGCTGCTGTCGCTGAACCAGCAGATGACAATGAGCAGGCCATGATGGACGCAGCCGAGGATGCTCCTTCTGAATGAATTTGGGGATTTTGAATTGTGTTCTCGTCACGAGATTTTCAAACAGTTGGCCAGGTCAAATACAGCCGAAGCAGAATACCCTCTGAGCTAACACGGATGTAACAACTTTGCTATCTAAATAGATTTGATCGGAGTTTTGGGCCGGCATATCCTTGTAACATAACATACTCCGTATATGGCTCGTTTGTGAAGGTGGCAGACTCATACCTATCGTACCCGAGCAGATAGGAATGTAAAAGAAACCTTACTTTCAGCCGGAGCAGATGACTGTTGGCATGCGGCGGCGATTTGAAATGGCGGATGTGGAGCCCCGGAATACCTTGGGTACCTATTACAGGCATCTGTGTTCTGGTTCGAGCAGCCAGCGGGCACTGAGGTACAGCAGATCCTGAGGAGCATTTGGGGAGAGCACAACCTGGTTTCAAATGCAGTCAAAAGTTGGTGATACTGATTTCCCTCCACCCAAACTCGTACAGCATTGCCGACACTGTGACAGCGGGAGGCGAAATTGATCATTTGGAACCCAGGGAAAGCAGGGGGGTTCATCTACCTGCATGGTGCGCACTCCTGTCGGTTCGACCATAACATCTCGTATTGGCCCTGCAGGGCAGGGCACATGCTCGGGCCTGCATGCCTCAATATTGTTCTCAGAACACGTTTTTTCTGCCGTCACAGGACAGCGGCACATAAACAGGCCAACAGAACCAACAGGCCAATACCAATGTCTTCACAGCCACATTTACAAGAGTGTTGAGTGTCTCACCCTACTTGTACTTAGAGCAGAGAGTAATGATACAGTGGCGTCTTGGCTCTCGACTGTGTGTTTTGTTCTGGGCGAACGGGTGGGTGTCCTTGGAATTCCGCACAAAGAGCCCCCGTCCCCAGTGACCCACACTGCACGTTACTCCGTACATTCAGCTGGCAGTGGCCGCGCCGGCTGCTCTCGCCTGCCTGGGAACTCGAGCATTCTTCTACAAGGCAGTCAGGTACGGGGCAGGCATGAGGTCGCGCCTGCCAGCCTCCTCCTCGTCAGGAAGGAGCAGCAGGGAGGGAAAGCAGGATTTCTGCTGCTGTGTTATTTACAGCACCTTAGGTGCGGTACCTGCTTTGACGCGTACCAATCTCTGGGCGTGCTGTTCCCTGATGGGACAGCAAGATCAGGGAAAAGAAGAGATTTCAGTGCATGACGTGAGGTCGCATTGTCGACTTCTCGTATTTTCCGAGTGCTTCGACAGAGCTAGGTACCAACATGAACAAGCACGTACGCGGCCCAGTGGATCCAGACTGGGCGCTTGGGGGATCCGCTCGCCTCGATCGCCCCGGGAGCAGAAGGGGGCTCCCTTGTACCACGCCCGCACTTTGTGGTGCTCGAGAACATTCGCTGAGCTGAGGACAACTGAGAACAGAAAAAGGACCCGGTTTATGCAACCATGGTCTTTGCTAAAAATGGAGAAACATCGAGGCCAAGCAGCGGATCATGGATGGACGAGAGGGTGTGACCTCACTGATCACCCGCAGAACCGGGCTTTGGCAGAAGCTTCTGGTGGTGGGCCCTGTACCGGCTCCAGGCCCAGCAAGTCCACTCTTCTCGTTGTTCGCTCACTCATCAGTACCTGAACGTGGGGATCCGTCTCTGTCGTTGTGCGCTTTTTGATGCAGGGGGTTCAGGAGTCGACAGGTCCCAAACCCGCCGGCCCCGTCGATGAGCCGCCCAACCGCCATCAGACCTTGAAGTGTTGGTGGTGTGGCTTTCGGGACGGGCGAATGATTGGGGGCCGCTGATGCTCAGGGCTTGCCACTAGCGCAAGGTACCAACTGCCACCACGCAGGGGGGGCGATCGCTGCTGTTTTGTTGCTTGTGTTGGCTTGGCTGGGCTGTGGATCTGTTTTTTGCGTGCATTCGGGGTGGGTGAGGTGGACTCTTGTGGGCTGTTTAGAGCGTTTTTTTTCCCATCCTCGATCCGAAGCTTGCCTTCCCGGACCAGAGTCCCCCATGTCCCATGTCCCATTGACAGCCCCCCTGCTCCCATGTTTCCTGCTTCCTCGTTTCTCGATGGGGCCGATGATTGAACGAAAGGGTGGGTAGACGTACGTACAAGTAGATGATGGATGGTCTCTGTGTGGTTCTTTCTCTGTGCTCGCTATTAATAACCTGACCTCTCGTAAACACTTACCACCGAGCCCACACTCTTGATCTTTCTTTCTCTCCTGTTCAACTAACTCACAGTCGTTTTAACACACTTGCTTGCTTCTTTGTTCCTTGCTGTGTGTACATTTGCTTCCCATTTCTGTATCATAACAAGCCGCAAAGCTCTCTCTCGCTATCAACCAACAAGAACAACAACAACAACAGGTGGACTACGTCCCATAATCATCAAGATGCGTCAGACTTCGACCCTCGTGGCTCTCGCCGCGACCGTCTCCACGGCTCTGGGTGCCTTCCAGGGCTTCAACTATGGCTCGACCTTTACCACCGGCGCTCCCAAGCAGCAGTCTGACTTCGAGGCCGAGTTCAAGACGGCTCAGGGCCTGATCGGTGCCCCTGGTGTTTTCAACAGTGCCCGTCTCTACACCATGATCGTAAGTTTTCGACGTTACCCTCTGTGTTAGGTCTAGATCAGCGTAGCTAACCAGACTATCACAATCCACAGCAAGGCGGTACTGCTAGCGGCGTCATCTCTGCTATCCCCGCTGCCATCAGCACCAAGACCAGCCTCCTGCTCGGTCTCTGGGCCTCGGCTGGCGAGGACATCTTCAACAACGAGCTCAACGCCCTGAAGGCCGCCATCTCCCAGTACGGCTCTTCGCTCGGCCCCCTGATCGCCGGTATCTCCGTCGGCAGCGAGGATCTGTACCGCATCTCCCCCACTGGTATCCTCAACAAGGAGAACCCCGGTGTCGGCCCCGACGTCCTGGCCAAGTACATCAAGATGGTCCGTGACGTCGTTGCCAACACCCCCCTGGCCAATGCCCCTATCGGCCACGTCGACACCTGGAACTCGTGGGTCAACGGCTCCAACAAGGCTGCCATCGATGCTTGCGACTGGATCGGCCTGGACACCTACCCCTACTTCCAGGACACCGACGACAACACCATTGAGAACAGCAAGAACCTGTTCAACGCTGCCATGCAGGCTACCGAGGGCGCCATCGGCGGCAAGCCCGTCTGGGTCACCGAGACCGGCTTCCCCGTCAGCGGCAAGAACTTTGGCAAGGCCGTCCCCTCGCTCGAGAACGCCAAGACGTACTGGCAGCAGGTCGGCTGCCCCATGTTCGGCAAGACCAACGTGTGGTGGTACACCATGCAGGACGCCTCTCCCGACACCCCCAACCCCAGCTTCGGCCTCATTGGCAACCAGCTGACCACCACCCCGCTGTACGACCTCTCGTGCAAGAACGTTGATCTGTCTTCGTCCACCAGCAAGTCGGCCTCTGCCTCTGCCACTGCTACCAGCTCTGGTTCCGGCTCCGGCTCCGGCTCCGGTTCTGGCAGCTCTCAGACTTCCCAGGCCGCTTCGTCGACCCCCAACCCCACCGAGGGTGCCGGCAGCCCTGGCGCGAGCAACGCTGTCCCTAGCTCGCAGCTCTCGATCGAGTCCTCGGCCCCTGCCACCACGCTCCGCCCCATCCAGACTGGCACCGGCTCTGGCTCCGGCTCTGGCTCCGGCTCCGGTTCGGGCTCTAGCAACGGCACCGTGAGCACCGGTAGCCCTTCGAAGCCCACCACCGCCCCCAGCAGCGGTGTCGCTGGCATGCAGTCTGGCTCCATTGGTGCTGCCTTTGCTGCCGTCATGGCTGCCATCTTGGCTCTGTAAATTCATAATTGCCTCCCCGACAGAGGTTTGGCTTTTGTTTATCAGTACAAAAAAATGGCGTCTTGGGGGAACACAGATTATCGCACCACGTCGGCACTCGATTTTTGTTTTGACCGGCCGTGCGCTGCACATTACGACTTTGTAATCATATGAGGGAAAACAAGAGCAGCACTTATGATATAGACTGGATGCATCACTTTTTCTTCTTCTTTTTTTTTTGGCCCTGGGGTTTATGGTATCAAATAGACTTATAGCATGGTACAAGGACGTACCTGGAATTGGGCCGACACACTCCTTTGGCATCCTGGCATTATTAACTAGCTGTTCGTGATAGAGAATAGCGTGGTCTTCCCCACGGGATGGAAGGTCAATACAAACACTTTCTGTAATTCATACGGTTTGCAAACGTGTGGATGTGATTTCACTTGTTCTCTGATCTTGTAACTACCTACGTACTTATGAGATGCGTGCATTTGGCTTCTTCAGTGGATCGTGGCTACTACGTCCAACCTTTGTCGGAGATGTGCGCCTGCCAGCTACATTACATATGCAGTAGTCCCATTGCTTTGAGACTTCAGAAAAGCTGAAGTTTGTCTCCTCATTCTCCTCGTTCAGTTCCAGCTCGAGCTCCACAGGCCAACACCGATTGATATCGATAAGAGCTTGCCCACGAGCTGAAAACATACTCCGTAAGCCAAGCAAACACGGTGGGGGAGCAAGCTCGGAACTTGGTAGTACCTTACCTACCTAGTACTTGTAGTTAGCTGTTAGCACCACGGTAAGAAGCGCGTGCTCTAGGTACCAAGTTTACCCCTGGCTCCGTGCATTCCCTCTCCATTAGACGTGGCCACCCTGTCCCAAAAATTACTTGTATATGGAGGACAGCGAGCGAGAAATACCCGTCCCACGGTCACGAGAGCTCCCTCCCATTTTGCCAGAATTGAACTCCCCCGCAGCAGCAGTCATATTCAATCCGTTGTTATTACCTATAAGGACGCCGAACTGCCCATCATGCCTGCTGCCGGGTCCCGCCTGAACCGGCTCCTGCTGCTCGTGCTGGTCTTTGGAGCCTCGCTGGGCATCGCCCATGGCGCGCACAAGTCGCTGACCCTCGAGGACCTTGATGAGAAGCTCCAGGTAAGGACGCCATTCCCCTTCCCTCCCTCTTGGCAAGGACTCACACCCAGGTATGATCTATATTTGCACGAGCTAATTCCTACCTTTTCACCGCAACCACAACAGTCATGCTCGGTCGTCAAGCAGCTCAACGCCGACAAGGCGGCCCACGCGCACGCGACCGGCTCGCTGACGTCCAAGATCTTCGCCGTGCTCTTCCCCGGCAGCCCGGCCGTCAACGCCATCCTCGCGACGCTCTACATCTCGGGCCCGCCCAACTTCCTGCTGGCGCTGTGCCCGCCCAACATCGACCCGGGCTCGCTGTCGGTCATGGTCGCGTTCGCCGTCGGCGGGCTCATGGGCGACACGCTGTTCCACCTGCTGCCCGAGATCTTTGTCGGCGAGGACGAGCCCGACCGCGCGCGCTTCGTGCTCGTCGAGCCCAACCGCAACCTGCTGCTCGGCGCGGCCATCCTCGTCGGCTTCATGACCTTTGTCGCCATGGACAAGGGCCTGCGGATCGCGACGGGCGGGGCCGGGGGCCATGACCACGGCGGGCACTCGCACGGCGGGCACGGGCACGACCATGCTGCTGTTGATCACGCGGCCGCGTCGGCGTCGTCGACGGCCGTCGAGAAGCAGAATGGCAAGGGCGGCGCCAAGAACCGGAAGAAGGAGGGCAAGGCGCTCGTCGAGGAGACGGCCAAGGCCGCCGAGGCCGGCAAGGAGCTGAACCCCAGCGTCAAGCTGGGCGGCTACCTCAACCTGATGTGAGCTATACACCCTGCTACGACTTGCAAACATACCAACTTCACACATAGCCTTCTTTCTTCTCCCCCCCCCCGCCCAAGATCGGGCGAGATGTCTGAGCTAACACCTTTGGGGCAGCGCCGACTTCACGCACAACATCACCGACGGCCTGGCCATGTCGGCCTCGTTCTACGCGTCCCCGACCATCGGCGCCACGACGACCGTCGCCGTCTTCTTCCACGAGATCCCCCACGAGGTCGGCGACTTCGCGCTGCTCGTGCAGTCGGGCTTCTCCAAGCGCGCGGCCATGGGCGCCCAGTTCGTCACGGCGCTCGGCGCGCTGCTGGGCACGCTCATCGGCATCGCGATCCAGGAATTTGGCGGGTCCGGCAGCACTGGGCCCGACGGGCAGGCTGGCGGCCTGACGTCGGGCCTCTGGGGCACGAGCCTGACGTGGGGCGACATGCTGCTGCCCTTCACGGCGGGGACGTTCCTCTACGTCGGCACGGTGGCCGTCATCCCGGAGCTGCTCGAGACGGGGCCCGACAAGGCGGTCGAGATCCGCAAGACGCTGACGCAGTTTGCGGCCATTGCCGTCGGCGCTGGCATCATGCTTTACATCTCGTGGCACGACTAGAGGGGCAGTGGGGGCCTGTGTGTTATCTTCTTCTCAAGATGTATGAATCTGTTGTTTGGGGGGTGTAGTATGTCGTCGAGTCATCATATCTCTTGCCATACTAGAATCGGATAGAGGGAAAACAGAACACGGGGGAAACTTCAATATGCATACTCGAGACTGGATCAACAGGTGTTTTTTTTTGGGGATTTATATGGGGTTCTATGCATTAGAAAGAAAAGAATGGTCAAAAAAGGAGTCCTCGAAGCATTGAGATACCTGGGAGCATAGAGCAGCGGTCTCTCTGCTGGGAACTGTCAAACATAATGAACGATTTCAAGAAGAACTATCAGTTATTTGTGTGTATGCCAGAGCGAGACAGCAATGGCATCGAGGATAGTCGTGTCAAGCTGCACTGGACCAACGTGTGTGCAGGTGAAAACATGTGAGTTCACAGAGAATAGGTATCCAAGAGGGTCAAAAGAAAGCAGCAGTTTACGCCGGATCAGAGCAGAAGATTTTTTTTCCCCCTTTACCCCCCCAGTGACTCAAAAATTCTGGATGGCGGTGAGTTGTTCTCCGATCCGATAAATATCCAATTACTCCGAAACTCCAGAACCCGTGTCGTGTCGTGTAGTTGGAAGGCGTGCGGCGCCTCAGCCCCGAGCTTTGACTGGGGGTCATCCATCCACTGCGGAGCTCATAATACCCGCTAATCGCAACCAAAGGGCGTCGTGAAGCAGAAGAAGATCCAGATTCATGATCGTTTACCTGGAAGCGGGTACGCTAGGTGCAATTCCAGGGCAAGCCAGCTGCAAGTTCCAGAGCAAAGCTTGAAAGCTTGGCGATCCTCCGCCTCGCGGCATCGGGGGGGGGAGGGCTGCTAGGCTCCGTGGAGTTGTTTGTAATGACTCCCGCGATATAAGCGGACACTTTTGATTTGCAGTTTGAAGAGAGAGAGGATTTGGGGCATCGCCCGTGGGGGTTACCGCTGTGGTCGAAGGAAGGTCCGAGTCTTCGATCCTCTTGCATGTATCTTAGGTACTCCTTCGTTGGATTATCAGCCCAGAGCTTTAACCCTTTGGAGTATATGCTTGGTTGACAAGACTCTGGAATCCGCGGATCGGCTTGCCCTTGGGAGAAAGAGAGGTGCAGTTGCAGCGGTGCGTCTTGCGTCCTCGGGGATTGCAGCCAAGGGCAACTACTCCGAGCAGTTCGGCGCAGTGCATCTACTCGTTCACAGATTTCACGGACCAGGCTGCAGTTAAGGGAAGGCACGCTCCGGTGCCAGACCTCCAAGGGAATAGATGTGCACGCCTGCCTTACCGAGTCGACATCCGTCACAAAAGTGCAATCTTATTTTCCTCGCGAATAGCGCTTCCAAGGGCAGGAGGGAGGGAAGACCTCTTTCCCGACTAAAAGACACTGCTTATGGCTCAGGCGCGGAGTCATACCGGCGAAAGTGAGAAGAGATAGATGTTTACAAGTAGTGAGTGACACTAGCTGGTCTCATCAAGGCGTCCTTCGAAAGGCGTAGGCTTGACATGTTCCCAAAAGCCGATAAAAATGGGGCTCGCTAGCAAGAAAAGAAAACGGTGGGTGACTCCAGTCTCCACATTTCTTCCCCCAGATCGAATCGACCGTAACGAAACCGAACAGTACCGTTTCCCTTCATCGCTGTTCAGGCCGCCCTTCCTACAGGTAGAGTATAGGTAGATTACGACGACGACAATGATGACAGGCCTTTATTTGGCAATAGAGCGACCGCTAGGCCCTTTGCGTCAGCCCTACAGGAGAATGGCTCAAGGCTAATTGTTCCTTCTGTAAGACCAGACGAAGCTTCCCAGTCGCTATTCAGGTTTGACTTATCTAAGCCGGGAATTTGTAAGCTCTGTTTAGTCAGGCAGCACATCAATCATTGTTGCCAACCCATGATGCACACCTATCTGGCCGCAGAGAGAGAGTGGCTACCCCAGAGTACGATCCGTGTGAGATGCCAAGGCAAATACTCTTTGATTTTGATTCAGAATCTTGCCAGTCTCCCCGAAGCGGAGGATCAAAACAAGCAAGCGGTAGCGAGATCACCCATACGGCCATACGGGGAGGAACCCGCAAAGCTGCTCTGAGAAGGAAAAAAAAAAAGGGACTTCGCACGGGGTTCTGCTGAGGCGCGATATCGGAGCGCCGAAGGCCGGGCTCCAGAACCCCGTAACCATCATTACTCCGTCAATTTGCGTCTGCTTGACGTGTGGCTGGCCGTGACGCTGACCCTCCCTATTGGATGTGGTTTGGGGCCACGATTGGCCTGACCATTCCTCGCCCATGATGTATGTTGCATCTGCTTAGAAATGGTAGTGGTGGTGTCGCGCTTTGTCACCCAGGCCAAGGTGGACGAGAGACAGTGGCTTTGATGCAACTGATTCAAACAAGTAAGCTTTGGGCTCGCTCTGTCTCTCTCGTCACCGGCTCTACCAGATTGGTCCAGATGATTACAACAAATTTAGCATACGCCATGCTCCGGGAGGTACATATCCCGACAGATTGGCTTGCACACGGCTTGTGAACCTTAAGCTGGGACATGTGCTGTCAGCTTGGGGCCTAGCCGTGAATGGCGGCGGCAGGGCCCCAAGTTCTAGGCCTTACGAGTCGTCGTGGCCTGATTGAGAAGTACCAGTTGCTTGGGTTCAGATGTCTTGCATGCGGGTACAAGGACGGGTCATCAATTGGGAGGGACCCCTTACGCTGCCATGGCTGCCTTCGTCTTGTGGGGGAGGGAGATCCAATGCCATTGACACGGAGCTTCTGACATGCTCTATTGCACTTTTGGTTTCCATCGCGACCAGAAGGCACTGGAATCAGCATTGTGATTATCGATATGTGACTCTTATAAGCCACAGGCGGCCCCGCTTGCGTCGAAATGCGAACGTGAAAGGGCGTGAGAAGGCGCTTGTGGTGAGAAGTCTTCGAGGCATGTCAATTGAGAGCGGAGTTTTGAGAATAAGGCGCGATTGACATCGATGGATTGGAATGGGGCCCCTCCCAGTGGATGCAGCCAGGGTCTCCTGGGGCCTCGGGGGGGACCAGCAGGTGGTCCTCGCTCAACTTTTAGCCTGCACGACCAGACATGGATGACTCCTACCGGTGCTCACCGTTCCCACGTGGCGCCCAAACGCTGTGTGACACCCGGCTGACTGGGCTAACAAAGTAAAGGTGTCTGATCTGATCTGTATGGGAGGATGTGGGTGAGACCTAGTCCTTCGAGGGAGGGACAGCCCCCTCGTTGGTAAAGTATGTGAGGGCATGTGGCCCCCTCAAGGTAAACCGGTTTCGCAGGCCCGGAAGACTAATAGCAGGCTCGGGTTTGGGTGCCGACTTGCATCACATCACATCTGGGCAAAGCATCACAAGACAAGGCCAAGCCAGCCAAGGGGCAGGCGTCTCGATGGCCAGTAGCCATCTCACAATTTCCTCTCTTTCCTTTCATTTCCTCACCTAACTCTCTAGACAGAAAAAAAAAATCATCGGCGCAGCTAGCTTTAGCGAAGCTGCAGGCTCGGCATGGGGTCGTTTTCTCCATCCCAATCCCGCTATCGCTGTTGGCATCGCGAGGGGCCAAGAAAACGGACGCCCAATTGGGATATTTGGAGGAGAAAACGGAGGGTTGGACCCAGTAAATCGAATGCCGCATTTGTGCATTACTTGGAGCCCCACCGTGGCCTTCCCATGTCTTGTTTGACGCTGCACTCCACGCACTCCACACTGCTCCCTTCGGGCTACAAGCACAAGCGCCAGGCAGACAGGCTGGATGGCGCGAATTGCACCAAGTTCCCATCAAGCCAGCCAAGTCATCCATCCACCGTTCCTGTAAGGCCTGCTCCTGCAGTACCCTCCAGTACAATCCATGATGCCAATCCCGCATCCCTCTGTCGCAATGGCTGCCGAAATGTACTTTCCAATGAGTCAGATGGGTCCTGTTGCATGTCAAAGCACCGTTTCGGGTGCTTTGTCACCCAGAGCTCGCTCGATCTGCCCACGCCCTGCTCTGCTTGCTTCCTCCCAGGGTGACAACCATCACGCAGGACATACATAAGATCGTCGCGCTCCCACCTCCATATATCTCAGGATGGCCTGCTTCCTCATTTCTCAGGTTCAACCATCAATTGATCCAATTGTCGTTCATCCTGTATAAGACTCCAAGAGTGTGGCTTGTGATATCGAGTCAAGCCGTGTTATTAGTCCATCCGACCGGTGTTATATTTACACTTACACCCTGAAACTCTATATTTCTCCTCAGTCCTTGGCTGCCTGCTCTCGAGTTCATATACAGCTTGCGACTCCCATCCTTTTTTCCCCCGCATGACTCTCACTATCAACGACGTCGTTGCGGCCGGGCAAGCCTACTCGAACCGACACAAGATGCCTTCCAACTCGAGCGCCAGCCGCACAGGCACCATGGCTTCGAGGAAGACGGCTTTCCCCAAAACCCTGATCGACATCCACATTGACAACCACTTCAGCTCCAAGGTCTACACGTCGGGCTCGCCGATCTCTGGCCATGTGACCATCACGCCGCAGAGGGATGTCTATTTCGACACCTTCCAGATCGTCCTCATGGGCGTCACCAAGACCCGCGTCGAGGCCGTCGGCATGCCCGTGGAATCGACTCACATCTTCCTCAAGATGGCCATGCCCATCCCGCAATCAGAGTACCCCGTGCCCCGGGTCTTCGAGACGGGAGTGCCGTACACCTTCCCCTTTAACTTTGTCGTCCCCTACCACCTCACCATCTCCTCCTGCAACCACGCAACAGACTCCGGCCTGGTCCACGAGGCACACACGTGCTTGCCGCCAACTATGGGCGACTGGCCGAAGGACGACTTGGCGCCCGATATGGCCCAGGTCGAGTATTCGATCAAGGCCAGGATCTTCCGGGAGGGCGAGAATCCCTCAGTCCCCATCAAGATCGTCGAGGAGTCGACGCCGATCCGCATCCTGCCGGCCTCGGCGGAGCAGCCGCCACTCAACATCACCAAGGAGGACCGGGCCTACACGATGAGCAAGACCAAGTCGGTGCGGAAGAAGCTCTTCTCCGGAAAGGTGGGCAAGGTGACCGCGACCGCGATCCAGCCCGAGGCGGTGCACCTGACGCCCGACGGCCTCGCCATCTCGGACACCACCGCCCAGGTCATGCTCAACTTCGACCCGGTCTCCCCGGACGTCACGCCGCCCAAGGTCACGGCCATCTCGGGCAAGATCATCGCCACGACGCACTACGCCTCCGGGCCGATCACCTCCTTCCCCAACCTCGGCAGCACGTACGAGATGGGCGGAGTCGACAGGCGGAACCAATTCTCCACCTCGGTCAGCCTGTTCAACACGACCCTCGACAAGTTCAAGTGGACGCAGTACCTCACGCCGGAGCGGCGGGACTCGGGATACTCTAGCGACTCGCAGTGCTCCGACGGCAACAACAACACCAACACGAACAACAAGGCAGCCAGCTCGAGCTCCCCGCTGTGCCACAGGGCGACGCTCCAGGTGCCCGTCAAGCTGCCCCTGGGCAAGAAGACCTTCATCCCGACCTTCCACTCGTGCATCGCGTCGCGGACCTACGCGCTGTCGCTGAGCGTCGTCGTCGGGTCGGGCTCCACGGCCACGACGCTGACGGTCACGGTGCCGCTGCAGGTCGCGGCCGAGCTCGACGGGCAGAAGGGCATGGGCCTGCCCGACTTCGAGACGGCGGTCGAGGAGGCCCAGGCCGACGAGCACCTGCGCCCGCGGATGCTGTCGCTGCCCGCGGTGGAGTTCCAGCACAGCGGGGACCTTCCTGGGTATGCGAGCCTCGTCGGGGCGCAGCGGCGGAGGGCGACGGCGAACTGAAACTTTGTTGGGAGGTTTTGCCGGCTGACGAGTTTTTTTTGCGGGTTTGTTTTGTCTTTTATACATGATACCTCTTTTCTTTTCCGATTGTTGTTTTCGGAACAGGTTGTATTTTTTTCCTGACTACGTTCTTGCTGTTGACGAGGCTGGGCGGGGTTCGAGGAGATGAGCTCACCGCGCGTTGGAAGCTTTGTCTGCTGGGAGAACATTAAAATTAAGGTGATGTGTTACGAGGCATGGGCGGGTCTTTATAGAGGCATACTGGCGTTGATACTGGGTTTTGGCCATTCTATAACGGGACGAGATTTTGATATCCCTCGATACCCACGATAATTTGTCTGTTCTGGATAATCAGTTTGTCAACCTAGTAGTTTTGAACACTACTGGAATAAGAATATTCTGAAGTAATTATTTCAATTTCTTCCTGAAACCCAGTGTCGAGTCGTCATGATTGTATTTTCCATTGGATTTTATTCCTCTGTGACGGCGAGGTCGTATGTTGGGGGTGGAGGGAAATGAGCGCCGGAGTGGGCCGCCGGAGTTCCCCGGCCGGATGCCGGCAACAGCCCGGGGCTTCCTCCGGTTGACAGAGACCGTGATTCTCTGCCGAGTGGGGCTACAGTGGCGAGGTCTGGGACAGAAACTGTGCGCTCAAGCTGCAAGTCGAACTCGATATTTGTGGCACGTCAAGCATGTATGTGCATGACGATTGCGTGGACTGGTAGTACCGGAGCCATGAGCTCTGCCACGCCTGGCGGTGCCGGGGTCGTCAAGTTTAGACTCGAATCTCGTGTGAGAGGCTAAATATAGATCCGCGCAAAAGTGACACTGGACCTCCCCCAGAGTCGTTACGCCTGGTACCTGTTCTTTGCGGTACCTGTTGGAAAGGGATACATCTGAACGGCGTAGGCCAACGCCGCGGCCGGTAGATGGATCAGATCATAGGTGCAGAGCTGGCATGGAGAGGTGGAATGAGTTGAGAGCAAGGTCATGGTCCAGATCAGCAGACGGGTTTAATGAAAGGCGAGCGATACTTGACTATCTATCCACCGAATACAACCATTCTAGATCACGGGATGGATGATGGCCAGCAACAATATGCACTGTGAGAATTGAGGCATCAAGTCTTGACGAGGGAGCTGATTTGCGGGACCGGGAAACGTGGCTCTGTATTCGCGCAAGGTTACCCACCTAGCGGAGTCAAGAGCATGGACTTCGTATTGGGACCCAGTTGGCAGAGTATCTGTACTTGTAGATAAACATGTCTCCCCTTATGTAAATGGACAGAGTGCCCTCTCCCATGCAACTTGAAGCAGGTTCCGAATCTCTCTACAACCCTATCATGGAGGATTGAGAAGTTTCGATATTTGGCTTCCTAGTAATTAAGGTTGAAACGGCCCTGTGAGAGTGGGCAGAAGGCGCAGTGGAGCACAGCGGGCGGTCCTGCACTACTTGAACAAGTACGGGCGGACGTATGGCACTAGGAAAGGGGAGCCCGCATTTCCTCCAGGCGATCGAGCATCAAACCACCTTATCTCCACGTCGCGCTGAGTAAAGGGAAAGGGGCGACCACATCATCCCCGGTTTCTTCTTCGGACATACAGTCACCGCAGTTGAGGATTTGTCGTCAGACTCGGGTACTCCGTACCGATTACACTCGCTTTCTCCCAGAACCATTGAACGCCTTCGTCCCTCGCATCGCCAGCCCGAACTGCTACGGCTTATCGGCTAGGTATCCATCCTCGTCGCGACGCCAATTGACGGATCGCCTGTGCAATATAGCCCCCCCTGCTCTGCTGCCCTGCTGTCCGCCTCCAGGATTCAGGTGAGACAAAGGACGAAAACCGCCGTGGATTGACAACCGACGGGCCCTGCCGCTTCTCGCCTTGGCTGGTCATCCTCTGTCCTTGGGCACGCGCCGACTTTCCAAGAACTCATCTCTCTCACTGATGCGGTAGCAATTTCGAGCTTTGGAGCATTGCGACGGATCTAAGCAGCACCAGGACCGCCACAATGCATAGCACCGCGAAGGCTGGCTCGCGCTGGCTCGCCTTCCTTTTGCTGCTCTGCACCGCGCAAGCCTTTTATATCCCTGGTAAGCATTGCCTTCGTTGCCGCTCGAGGTCGGTCGTCGTCGTGGAGCTAACTCGGGGCCCTACAGGCTGGTCGATCAAGAGCTACAAGGACGAAGAGCAAATACCCCTGCTCGTCAACAAGGTCTACTCGGACAACACCCAGCTTCAGTATGCCTACTACGACCTCCCCTTCGTGTGCCCGCCCACGCACAAGCGCCGGTCCGGCGGCATCCTCAGCGGCCAGAGCATCTCGCTCAACCTCGGCGAGGTCCTCCGCGGCGACCGGATCACCACCTCCGACATCGAGTTGGCCATGCAGCGCGACTCCAAGTGCAACTTCCTGTGCAACCAGGAGATCACCAGGAGGGATCTGAAGCGCGCCATCGAGATGGTCAAGGACGGCTACGTCGTCGAGTGGATCGTCGACAACCTGCCCGGCGCCACGAGCTTTGTCACCGTCGACAAGACGCGCAAGTACTACGCCGCCGGCTTCAAGCTTGGCTTCACCGACACTTCCTCCGGCAGGCCGCGCTACTTCTTGAACAACCACCACACCATCGTCATCCGCTGGCGAACAGCCCCCGGTAAGGCCGGGCAGAGGGGCGAGAAGGTGGTTGTCGGGTTCGAAGTCTATACCAAGAGCATCGGGCCAAGCAACAGACGAGATGAGACCGGCTGCCCCACCAAGCTTGACGACATCGATGAGAACTTTGAGCTGTACATGAGGTCGAACAAGACCCGCGAGTCGTCTGCCGTGTACTCGGACTCGTCGTACTACCAGGAACAGGAAGACGAGGCTCTGGACGACGATGCCAAGATGACGATCCCTTACACGTACGCCGTGTACTTTCGGGAAGACCCCACCATCGATTGGAACCGCCGGTGGGAGCCGTACTTTGTCAACCAGGAGGAGGGCTCGAGGATCCACTGGCTTGCCATCGTCAACTCCCTCATCATCTGTGGGCTGCTCACCGGTATCGTCCTGATGATCATCGCCAAGACGATCAGGACGGACATCAAGGGCTACAAGGACGCCGCGGCCGAGGAGAAGGCGCGAATCAAGCGCAAGTCCAAGACCGGCAGTGGCTCCCGCACACCCAAGGACAAGGCCCCTGGCTTGCTCGAGCAGGAAGTGGAGGGTGACAACGATGCCGACGTCTCGTCCGATGAGGAAGCCCTGGAGGACGTTACAGGGTGGAAGCTCCTCCACGCCGATGTATTCCGCGCTCCGGTATACGGCTACCTGCTAGCGCCATTGGTCGGTTCCGGGATGCAGCTTCTTTTCATGGCAGTCGGCCTGGTCCTGCTGAGCGCCGTCGGCATTCTCAACCCCAGCTTCCGGGGCGGCTTTATCAGTTTCGGTGTTGGGCTGTTCGTGTTTGCGGGCCTGTTTTCGGGCTACTTCTCGGCGCGCGTCTACAAGACGTTTGACGGCCAGGACTGGCGCCGCAACACCGTCGTCACGGCCATCCTGTTCCCGGGCATGCTCTTTGGCATCGTCTTCTTCCTCAACCTCTTCGTCTGGGCACAGGCCTCGAGCACCGCCATCCCCTTCGGCACCCTCATCGCCATCGTCCTGCTCTGGCTCTGCATCCAGGCCCCGCTCGTCTACGTCGGCTCCTGGTACGGCTACGTGCGCGCCGGCGCCTGGGAGCACCCGACCAAGACGGCGGCCATCCCGCGCCAGATCCCGCAGCAGGCGTGGTACATCAAGGGCGCGCGGTCCGTCCTGCTCGCGGGGCTCATCCCCTTTGCCGTCATCTTCATCGAGCTCCTCTTTGTGTTCCAGTCCATGTGGCAGGACAAGAGCGGCTACTACTACGTGTTTGGCTTCCTGGCCGTCGTGTCGGTCATCCTCGTCGTCACCATCGCCGAGGTCACCCTCGTCACCATCTACATCCAGCTGTGCTCCGAGAACTACCGCTGGTGGTGGCAGTCCTTCCTGGTCGGCGGCGGCAGCGCCGTCTGGGTGTTTCTCTACTGCGTCTGGTACTACTTTGCCAAGCTGCACATCACGGGCTTCGTCAGCAGCATGCTCTTCTTCGCCTACAGCGCCATGGCGTGCTGCGTGTACGGCCTGCTGACGGGCACGGTCGGCTTCCTGGCTGCGTATGCTTTTATACGCAGGATCTATGGGTGAGTTTTTTTTTTTTTTCCTCCCTTTTTTCGGTCATGTCTTGTATTACAATGTGGTTTGGTGGTGACTCCGACGCTAATCTGATCTTTGTCTCATCTCCCAGCGCCATCAAGGCTGATTAAAGCCCTGTCTGTCTTGTCTGTCTGATGGTGTTGTCGCGCTGCCCGCGTTTACAAAACCGGAGAAAGCGATGAAAAGAGACAGAAAGTAACCTAGTGAAAAGAACTTTTGCATAAACCCCGGCGTAATGTTAATAGTGAAGAACAAATGGGATTAGAGAGGCAACAAGGCGTTTTTTTTCTCTCTTGGAGGTCTGGCTGGCTGGATAGGTGTACGGTTTTGGAAAGCTGAAGCCGAGCAAGCAAGCATAACCCAGGGACTGACTGACTGGGCGACTCGCCGTGGGCTGCTGTACTGAGAGCGTTGTTTTTTTTTTAATCTTGAATAAGAAACAAATTCATATGCTAGCTATGCGCTGGACCGACCTGGGACCAGGTGACCGCGGGCCTTGACGACTGCTTGTCTCACGGACCAGTCACTGCAACCAGCAATAGTCGGTAGCATAGGACTTTTAAGTCCTTCTTTTGGAACATCTGATTCGATCTATCTATATTCTGTGCTTCGATACAGAAACCATTCATTCCGACAACATACCCAGCCAGCTGACTCTCTCTACCTACCTCTCTACCTCGACTTTCACGAAAACACAAAGGCAACGCCCATCCGGTCCACAGACACCGTCATGCTGTAGGGGCTCTCGAGCACCGCCACGTCGAGGATCGAGTCGAGGTGGCTCCGCAGCAACTGCTGCTGCTGCAGCGAGATGACAGTCGACCGCGGCGGCCGGGGCGTCGCGCTCCCGCTCCCGCTCCCGCCTCCCGGGGCGCCAGGAGTAGTCGCCGCCGCCGCCGCCGCCGCCGACGACGACCTGCTGCCCGCGCTCTTGCCGCCACCGCCGCCACCGGTAGTAGTACCTGCCGCCCGCGCCGGGCGCTCCGTGTTGACCGTCATGGCGGTGGTGGGGTGGCCGGCCGCGTACGTCGGCCGGCCCTCCTCGGGCGCCAGGCCGCTGTACACGGCGCTGTTCTCGACGCGCGCCAGGTCCCAGAAGCGCAGCTTCTTGTCCGAGCCGCCCGTGACGATGAAGGCGTGCCGCACGTCGCGCGCCTGCTCGTCGGGCGGGGCCGCGGCGCCGACGGCCATGGCGCGCACGCCGCGGTCCGTCGCTGCCGCCGGCGTGCTGCCGCCGCCGCCAGACGTCGTCGGCGGCGGGGGGTCGACGATGTTGGTCGCGAACCGGCCCAGCATGCCCTCGGGCTTGTCCTCGTCCACGTCCCACGCCTCGTAGCCGCCCCGGGGCCCGCCGTCCTTGTTGCTGCTGCTCCCGCCTCCTCCTCCTACCCCGCCGACGCGGTAGACCTCGCGGCACAGCGTCTTCTCGAGGTCCCAGACCGTCACCTCGCCGCCCTGGCCTGTCCCACCTGCGACGCAGAGCCACTTACCCCGGCCCTTGACCGGGTGCACGGCGAGCCGGTAGACGGGCTGCTTGCCCGGGAGGCCCCACCCTTTCAGCCGCATGCGGAAGCGCAGGTCCCAGAGGTCGAGCACGCCGTGGCTCGTGCCCAGCACGAGCCAGTTGCGCCGGCGGTCGACGGCCAAGCACGTCGGCGTGCCGTGGCGGACCGGGTTGTCGAGCACGAAGAGCAGCGTCATGGTGCGCAGGTCGATGCCCAGCACGCGCGAGCGGTCCGTCGCCAGCACGAGCACCGACGCCGCCTCCTGCTTGAAGTGCTCGCACCACACGGCCCGCTCGCCCTCGGGCAGCTGGTACTCGCGCAGCAGGCGCAGCTTGTTGTAGCGCGGCGACGTCGTGCTGCTGGCGGCCGCCGACGACGGCGACGCCGAAGACGCGCCCGACGCCGAGGTGCACTCGACCTTGACCACGTGGACGCTGCCGTCGCTCGCGCAGCTGATGAAGCAGTGCGTGTTCTCGATGAAGCACAGGGCGAGCACCCTGGCCCCGGGCTCGTGCCGGTGCGTCTGCCGCGCGCGGTGCGTGATGTTGCGCTCGAGCCTGTGTGTGTCCCAGACCTTGACGCAGCCGTCGTCTCCGCCGGTGATGAAAAACAGGTGGTCTGGAGAAGGGACGACGCGGTTGATGGCGCCGGTGTGCTCCGAGAATGTCGCGACCAGCTTCCCGCTGGGCCGCCAGAGCTCGTCCCCCGACTGCCCGTTGAGCCTGCTGGCTCTCCTCCGGCTCACCGGCGTGACAAGGGGGCCGAATTCAGCAATGTCGTGAGGGTAGTTGTCGGCGTACATGTTGTCCAGCATCTTGAGGACACTCGGGTCATTGCCCGGGTACGTGTGATTGGAACGGAATCGCAGCCTGCCAGCCTCGGTGCCGTTGTCGTCGAGGACGGGGCTCCTGGCATGAGGCGTCGCCGCAAACGGTCCCTCGACCTGGCCGAAAGCATTAGTCTCGGTCGTGCCGGTCTCGGGACCAGACTTGGCGCTGTCCTTCCTGTTGAGCAGGCTGATGGCGCTCGACTGGTGACGGATGGTCCGTCTAGCCGAGTAAGGAGTCTCCTCTGTGACGTCTCCGTCAGCAGCATCCCGCGCCGGTGCTTTGCCCTGCGCGGCTGAGGAGCGTCGCGACGTATCCCTGGACGAGTCGGGAGACAACAGGCGATTCGAGGTCGGCGACGCGAGCTCCTCATTGAGAGAACGACGGCCGTCGGTCGGGCTTGGTGATATCGCCTGCTGGCTGCTGAGTCTTGATCTGTGGGTATTGAACGCAGCCCGCTTTCGCTTCGAGAGAGGGTCGTCGATCGTCATTGAAGCGTCTTGTAGAGCATCCTCAATCGATCGCGGTGGGTTCTCAGGCTCGAATATCCCCATCGCCGACGCTTGCTTAGGTGGTTCCTCGTCAAAGAGGACGGTCTGGGGTGTGATACCGAGCGCCCTCAGTGGAATGATATTCCCAGGCTGGGGCTGGCCGCTATCCACCACCTCATTATTATCCCTGGGCTTCGCTCTGCTCAGGCGCCAGATGTACTCTCGGAGGACCATGAGCTTGAATTCATCTTCGGAAGCGAGGCCCAGATTTCGTAGGCGATTGAGCCACTGCTCATCCTCCTCGTTCCTCGCCACTTTGCTCAGTGACTGAGAAGCTATGTCCTTCCTGCCCTTCAGAGGCGACCCAGACAAGTACCCCCTAGCCTTGGACACAGACTTCCAGAACACCCCTCTGTCCGTCTTCATGGCCCACATAAGTACCTGATCATAGACCGGACGCGGCAGGGGCCGCTTGAGGGAGTCGAGGATGGAGAGCTCGGTGAACTCGGGAATGATGTCCGGGGTCAGGTAGGGCGCGACGAGCGGGAGGAGCATGCACCGCTTGTCCGCCGGCGAGAGGTACTTGCCCGCAGCGGCAATAAACATGGCCGCCGACTCGCGGATCCAGATGTTGGGGTGCATTGTGAAGCGCGCGACATGCTCGACCAGGTTCCATATCGACGCTTTGGACAGCAGACCCAAGTTCGCCAGCTCCGCTAGCGAGTGGAGGGCAGCATGCACGACGTGCTCCTCCGGGTCCGTGACCACCTGGATCATGAGCGGCAGAAAGAAGCGCTCGAGGCTGACGTTGCCGAGGAAGGAGGCGATGCCCACCACAGCATCGAAGAAGGCGCATTTCAACATCCAGTCCCGGTCGTTGAGGTAAGTATTGAGATGTGTCAGGATGATATCGTTGGCCGCGGCCGTTCCGAAGAACATGCAGAGCTCTGGCACGGAGCTGAGGAATGCTCTCCGCACATAAGGATCGGGATCCTCGATGAGGATCTTGGTGTGCTGCTCAAAGAGCTCAATCAGATCTTGCTGTGCGTCATCAAAGAGCCTGTCGAAGGCCGTATCCACGCCACTGCCGGGCTCAACTTCGGGATCCGCCATTCCCAGAGAGCTGTCGCCCTTCAGTGTGGCCGCTATATCCAAGAACCTGGAGGCCGACGTCGCCAAGTTGCCTAGACATGAAGCATATGTGGCCCTGACCAAGGCGCTGGGTCTCTCTGAGCCGCCCACGAGCACTACTTGCATCCGCGGCAGGATGTACTCAAGGAAGACGTGGGAGTTGACGGGGCTCACGAGTTTGATCAGACTAAGCAGTTGTGTAATGGTCCTGACTGCAGCCACGACAACCATGTCTGCTTTGTCGTTCAAGAGGGTCATCAGATACGGCAACACTCGATCGAGCTTGGCTTCATCGGTAAGCCTCTCGGCAAATGCCAGGAGGACGTCACAAGCCCGGATCTTGGAGGCCGAGCGGGCTGTATTCCTCAGCGACGAGACAATCAGCGTAAGAAATATTAGAGTCCCGTCATCTCCCGGCTGCCGAACCGCTGCCGATACGTAGTGCTCGTTGTTGGGGATATTGAGGCGGACGGGGAAATGGCCCAATCCCAGGCGAGGAGCAATCTGCTCCACGGCGGAGTTGCGGTCGTCCTGATAGCCCAAGAAGTATGAGATCTTGTCAAAGTCATAAAAGACACGATCTATCCTCTCGTCGGCCTCGCCGAGGTTCCGCGTCGCTCCAGAAACGGGGTACTGGCCCGATGATGGGTCGGTAATGACCTCCATGTACTGGTGGAGGAAGCTGAAGAAGTAATCGGGAAACACCTTCTTCCTCCAGAAGACGAGGTACTCCTCGGCGCTGTACCGCTTCTGCGGGTCGAGCTGTATCATGGACGCGATCATCTCGCGCAGGTCCTTGTCCGGTATCCTGCTGAGGTGCGATATGGCGGGGTCGTACTCGCCGCGGCGGTACTTGTACAGCTGGCTGAGGCTGAAGATGGGGGACTCGAGGAACAGCTCGGCGATGACGCAGCCGGCGCTGAACACGTCCATGGCCCAGGTGACCTTGGCGTCCGGGTCGAAGTCCTCGCCGGGGGCCACGAAGCGCTCCGGGGCGAGGTAGCACGTCCTCCGGCCCGAGGTGTCGAAGAAGTAGGAGAAGTCGGCCGGGTTGTCGTCGGGCAGCATGACGGGCTTGAAGGCCGACGAGAAGTCGGACAGGTACAGCCAGTTCCACGAGGTGACGAGCGTGTTCTCGGTCTTGATGTCGCCGTGGTAGACGTCGCGGCTGTGGCAGTCGCGCAGCGCGCACAGCAGCTGGAAGGCCAGCCATTTCTTCTCGATGTCCTCGAGGAAGGGCCTCGTGCTGAGGCGGTCGTAGAGGGAGTTATAGAGGAACTGGCGCACGAGGTATCCGTTGGTCTCGGTCTCGATGACCCGTTGGTACCCCAGAGCGTTGGGGATCTCTGCTAGAATCTTGCGCTCGTCTGCACAGCAAATATATCAGCGCCAGCCTTGGATGCATGTCCACATATTGGAGGGCCACGGGCCACTCCCTCCCAGCACATACGTAAGATCTTGCGCTTGTACTCCCGCAAAGCCATGGGCATGTACGGCTTGATCAGCACCTTGACCAGGACGACGCCATCATGGTGACGGGCGCGGATGCTCTTGAGGAAGCGCGCGCTGCCAATAGACTTCTCGTACACAAGGTCGCTCAGCTCCGGGACATCGATGCCTGCCGAGCCAGCTGACGGCGTGGTTAGGGAGAATCCCTGACCCATTTCAAGGTGTAGAAGCTCTCATCAGGGAGCACTATCGTTCGGAGGGAGCGGCCGACGGCGAATGATGGGTCATGATGCGCTTCCGATCGCCAGATGCCGTCCTCCAAAGGCGTATGATGGTTTGTTCAGGGTAACAAGGGGCCGATCTCGAGCCTTCGATTGCCCGAGAAAGAGGGGGAAGGTGAAGGTTGTCGTTCGTTCGGATCGTCTGGATTGATGAAGCTCTGTGAGCCTAAGTGCGGCACGCGGCGAGCTCACACGCCATAGCCATAGCGCGCCGGCGGTCATCCGCCTAATTGACGTAACCTTAGCGGCCCAGATTACCTGAGGTCGCCTCGCGATAAGATAAGGCTCGCTCGCATACGCACTTGGAGGACATGACAGCAACAGGACTGTTTCCAACAATCATGCAGCTGTCTTGGTCAGCATGTTTTTTAGGTCTTGTCTCAATGTCAGATCAGGAAGCGGGCTTTCATCGCAGCTCACAGACTCTACCAGACTCTACCTACCTGGTACCATGGCGGGGCTGACACCCAGGCAGGTCATCACCATATCACCATGGCAGGACAATACAGCTAATAAGCTCACACAACTGCCTGCAACATGCAAATGCAAATGCGAACGCAATCAGGCGCATGTCAGCTCCGTGGTTGTTATTCAACTAAGTAAACTCTGAGCTCTTCCAGACAAGTCCGGAGAGAGACGCTTGCAAGAATATAGCAATGCTACATGAAGTAAGCTAACCCCCCCAGGCTTTCTCCTCTGCAACAGAGCAGTCGACCATACACCTCTCTGTTCCCCGAGCCAACTCAACAAGGCCTCAAGTCACCCCAACTCTCCAGTTCCCTCCTCCTTTTCCCGTGGTTGCGCAAGGTAAAGCTGCCAGCTGTCGAGAACTGGCATGCCTCTTCGCACCATCTCCCCTTTTTTCTTTTCCAATAGTAAAATAGTTCCAAGTAAACCGGGTATATAGAATAGACATCGAAGTAAAAACAAGGGTTTGTGCGCTATGGGTTCGAGAGTCATAGGCAGCGTATGAAGAGGATCAAAAGGGCCTTTCGCTTCAACTCAAGCTACAAAGTCTAGGACGTGATACCAGCAGCTTCGTTGTTCGTTGCCAGGCATCCTGGCCCTTGAGATAGCTCGGCCTTCACCGACCCAAAAGGGGAGCGCGGAATGCGAATAGAAATTAAGAGGAGCATCGTCTGGAAATTGAGACATTAAACGTGTCGTCGCGAATATGCAGGATTCGTGTCTATGTGCAGAACAAGAGGAACGAGGAACACACGGCCGTGAACTGCCGACAGGAGAGGTGGGCCATGTCGAGTATGTACGTGTCGAGCGGTAGAGTCGGTGTTCGACGAGCGGTCCGCGGCGTGTGACCATCGTAGAGGGTGACGAAGGAGGCGCCTAACTCCGAAGCCAATGCCAAATCAAACAGAAAAGTCTTGGAGACGTTACTAGAATCGAGATCGATTCACCGAGTCGTAGGCATCTCATGAGCCGTGCATGCCGTGGTGTGCGCTTGATCCGGTCTCTGTTGAACCGTCGCCTTCTATCGTCTTCCTCCAGTGCTCGGGGAGGCAGACACAGACCAAGGGGAAGGCCTTGATCTCGCCGCTGACGGGAGGCGATTCGTCGCGGCCCCGTCCGGATGTGTTGGAGACACCGCTGTCTCTCTGGGCCTGCCGCCGTGCCTCCCATTCCTCCGCCCGCTCGTCCATCATGACACCAGTCGCCCAGCCATCGTCCCAGATGCCGACGACCTTGAGCATATCGCCCCTGTCCAAAGTGAACTCATCGGCAGCACGCGGCTGGTAGGCCCACAGGACAGCCACCCGGTCTCCAGGGTGGATGTCGTCCTGGGAGTAGTAGTCTTTGAAGAAGGGCAGCTGCTCTGACTGTTGGCTGGCCATGCCTTGAGGGGATGACATGCCTCCACTGGTGGGCGACTGAGGATCTTCGCCCGCCAGGACCGATCCACTCGAAAGCGAGCCGTTTCTTCGAAGTGCTGACGCAGGTGGCGGTCGCAAGACTCCCACAGCCCTGTGTTCTGAATCGGGGCTGTCGCCAAATCCGTCCGACGACGAGTGATCGTCAGCTCCTCGTCTCCTCCCTGCCCCATAGCCGGCTGCGGCACCGACAGCAGCAGCGCCCATACCGTGACCGTGTCGGGACGAGGCGTCTCTCGAATGGCCATTGTGGCCATTACCCTCCAATGCTGACATTCTCGCGATACGACCTCCTGGCAGGACCGAGGGGTATTGCTGCGCCGAGGATGAGTTGGGCGCGCTCTGGGCCATGGGTGGTGTCTTCCTCGCCGGAGATGGCTGGTTGAAGATAGATCCATCCTGACTCTTGCCCCGTCTGCGTCTCAGGCACAGAAGACACGCAAAGACCAGGGCAGCAAGCAGGCCAGCTCCCACAATGGAGCCCACAACAATACCAGCAATCGCACCTCCAGAAAGTCCACGGCTTCCTCCCGCTACAGGCGTTGAAGTGGTGGTCGCCGTCGAGGTCGGCTCGGGCGCCGGGAAAGTCATAGTCGGGATGATCGAGGGCAGGACGACACCGGCGCATCGCTCCTTGATGTTCGAGTTGTAGCAACAAGTATCCGTAGAATTGATGCCTCCAGACGAACAATAACCACACAATCCGATTGTGCTGTTTCCATAACCACAGTTCTCGGGCTCGTTGCTGATGCCCTGGATGCAGTTCGACAAAGCATTCGCTGGCAGAGCACAGTTGATGAAATCCGCTCTAATCTGGGGCTGGACATTGCTGCCAGGATTCGCGCACAGCTGGGGGTTCGCGACAACCATGGCTTCGCTCTGGGCGAATTGGGCCTGTATAGAAGAGTTAGGACATGGTCGACACGGAATTTCATGCTCTCTGGCCGACTTACGCATGTCTCTGCACAGACAGGTCTGGAAACCTCTGGCGACAGCCTGCATTCCTCAATCGACATCTGGATTATAGCATTACAGATTACGGTAGTGGAAAAGCGAGCATAGTGATCGCTTGTGTTGGAGAGGTTGATGTTTTGGCATCCGAGGAGAGTTTGGTACCTGTGATCATGTCAGTTGGCTTCCTACCAGTGGGGGCATCAGTGTAGGCGTACTTTTCCTGGACGTAACTCGTTTGCACGTATGTTGATAGCTGGTCGTCAAATGACTTTCTGTCCTTGACGAACGAGAGGAAAGGACTGGAAGAATAGTCAGCACTGCCATGTACCTTGGCTTGAGGGAGGGGTAAGGCAGCTCTTTCCACAGCACTTACAAATGACCTGTCAGGTTACTGCTGGTCGAGATTGAAGCCGATTGAAAAGCGTGACACATCTTGCTGCCCTGGAGCGGTATGCAGTTTTGTGCCATGGCTAGCGGAGCTGAGGACAGCGCCGCGAGAAGGAGTGCCTTTGAGCCCATGGTGGCCTTTCCTCGCCTCTTCGCCTCGTTCCGCCCCCCTAAGAATGCTTGACTGTCCATTGTCGACTTGGTCTCGGCCTTGCTGTGGCTCGAAAGGTGTGACAAGCTGTAGAATCCGCTGGTCTGGTTGTCCTACAGTTGTGGCGTCTTCATGATCATCAATTCGACAAGGTTTGGTGCATTATCCGGTGCGAAGCTCAAGATCAACGGTGGCAAGCAGAGACTAGCCCGATCTTGCTCGGACAAGACAGTCGTCGCGCGTCGAGACAAGGTAGCTGGTAACCGTGCTGGGTGCTCCGTGTTGCTGAGGGTTGGTCCCTATCTCCCGATCCAAGAGACCGCCGCGCACCAAGCAAAGGGCCAGAGAAGTAAATTGCGCGCGAGGCAAGAGACTGGTAGGTAGAAGACGAGACTGAATGATTTTGGGACCACACCGGGGGCGATGGAGGTCGGGCCCGGGTGGGTATATCTGAAAAGAGTGGATTTGCAGTTGGAGCAGCAGGTGCAACGAGAGAATGGCTGGTGTATGAATGAAGGTGTGGGAGGCGACGGCGACCAAGGCGCTGGCTCGGCGGCGGTGGGAAAGCGGTGCCGTACTTGGTCGCGACGGACGAAGTGCCTCTGGGCGTGGGTGGATGTATCCTGCAGGTTGTTTCTGCCAGGTCAATGCAAGGTCGAAAAGCCTTGGACCTGTCAGGTAGGGGCGGAAAAGACTGTCTGTGGGTGTGTATGTGCGTGTGTGCGTGGTGCCTTGCTTTGGCGGGTTGCAGCAGCGGGCGACTAAATTAAAAACAAAGACGGAAAAAGAGCCGAGTAAAAGAGGACTCGAGGTCAGGACAGACCAAGAATGACGAATGAGAAGAAAAGAAGGGAGAAAGATCTTATTTTTGGCGCCGTGCAGATCTATCCAGAGAATTGGAGGAATTGGGTATCGGACGGGAGATGTTTCTCTCACGGGAAGGGAGAGAGAGCACACTCGATAGGCCTCACGGGAGGAAGAGGAGAGAAGAGAGGAAATTGGGCGGGATTCAGAGCGACCGAGTTTGACGAGGAAAAAGGAGGAGAGAGAGAGACGGGGGTGGTGCGGACCAGCTTCAGCGACACAGCAAGCGACACGCAGTGCAGGGAAGGATGGGAGTACTTGAAATTGACCAGGGTGGTCTGGTCTGGTCTGGCAGCAGTGGGAATTGATTCAAGAGGAAGAAGAAGAGCTGTGCATGCTTGTGTGTTATGTTGTGTTGTATACACAGCCCAAGCTGGCAGGGTCTTGTCTTCTGGGGGGAGGAATACAAGTAGAATAGAGGAGGCGGGGAGGACGGAGCACAGAGCAGTGGAGGGCACTGTTTTCCTGCTCGTTGCCTTCTCACACTCTCACTGCTGGCTTGCGCATTTTCGGAAAGCCCCCGATAAAATCGACCTTTGACGAAATTACACTCAAGAGTTACCCGGGACCCATCGGCCATCGTCAAGCCAATGCTGCACGGTCGCCATGCCGAAACAAGCATGGCCAAAATTAAGGTCGCAGGGGACCCCAGGACACGGCCAGGGTTTCACTTGCAAGGGTGTCCCCAAGATGACACAGGCACCAAATCGCACGGTTCAACTCTGATCGCGCACCAGTCCCAGAAAAGCCGATCGGGAGAAGAGAAGAAAAGGGAGCCATTGACCGGACACAGCCTCTTATTACTTCTTGTACACGATGTCCATTAAGTCGATCAATTCTGCAGGATTTGTGCTTTGTCTTTCAAACGCATTCAAGATGAAATGGGTATCTCTGCTGACCATCTCCACCGCCTACAGTCGAATCTCAAGGCTGCATGCTGCATGTCGCTTGCGCATTGGCGTCAGGCGAGGGATGGACAAGTTGAGAGCAAGAAAGAAGCAAACATGGAGTCGCCATGGATGCAGGCCTCGTCGATCTCTGGCCGGCAGTGGTCCCCTTGCATCTGACGGTACCGTCGTACAACAAGCCTCTTGACCTTGGCTTCCCCGATACGAGGACTCGTCATCAAAGGCCCGGCGAGGTTTGGCAAGTTCCGTCAGGCCAGTAGAAGGCGGCTGAAACGAGCTTCTTCAAAGGTGCATTGAGGGGATGAAAGACGTTGAAATTCGCGTGGAATGAATGATTCACCATCACCACAAAAAGCGCGAGCGCTAAAACAGCGGGTTTCGGGGCGGGCAGTCGAGTCAGTCTAGGGGAGTCTAACGGGCGACGAGCCGGAGCGAGACCACGATGGATGATGGATCCATTTTCCATTCCATTCCCCGGATGCGTGGGCAAATATTGTCTCAAATGTCAAAAGCTTCGGCCACGGCATGACGCTTCTCCTCCGACACGCGACGCCAGCAGCCTTTTATGGGTACTGAACGGCTCCAACATCACCACATGGCAGGCAGCTAGAATACAACAAGACATCATGGCCGCAATGTGTTTTGAAGAGGGTAACATATCTACACCTCTGCGCTTCTAGAAACCTTGGCCTGGCCAGCACTGACCAATATAGGTCGTAAAGGGTATAAGATTTTGTTTCACCAAGGCCTTCCGTATGTCCAACGGTCAACTCGAGAAGATTATATCCTTCCCAGACAGCTAAAACTACCAACGACGTCCCTGTCTATATTGTTTCTGGGTTCTGGGTTCAAGGTTCACCACCAAAACAAGGATATCCCACATGGGTCAGTATTGTCCGAGCGATAGCCTCACGTCTCACGCTCCTTATTGGCCGCGGGCATCCGACTGCTATGTGCTAGATGGGGCATCCTCCCGTCCTGGAGCGAAATTGATGGTATCCATTTTGGGGATGGCCTCACTCTCGCATCCGGCTATTGGCTGGACTGGAAATGAGATTGCTCTTGATCCGGCGTAGGTAGGTCGGGTCGATATTCTTAGCAGATAACTACAAGTATGTACAAGTACGGGTAGCATTGCCGGGCACAAAACGTGCGCTGCTGAAAGCAATGTGCCAAGTCTCGCCCTCTCTTGAGAACAGGGTTGGAAGAGAGATCTCTCACGCTCTGAAGAGGAAGCACGCGGTAGCTCGTGATCTCGGGACTATTACGGTGCGCGTTTGTCTCGCGGCACTTGGCGTGCAGCTCGCCATCCTTGTTCCTTGTTCGCCATCGAGACGCGCACGCATACCTACGTACAGATCATGAATACAACGACGGAGGTCCAGTCTTCACGGAGACCGTGCGGTGAGGGATAATATGGCGCAAAGGCCAGAAAAAGAAGCATCTTGACACGATTAAGCGCCGAGTCGAAGCCGTGTTCAAGGTCGAGAACGCACGGCGAGCGCCTGGTATCCAATCCCGTGGGAGCCTTCTCTCCCGTCCTTGCGGGAAGGAGGCACGGCAATTCGCTGGCTCTCTCCCGTCCGTACTCTAAATTTGGGCCTGACAGCCGCCGGAGGAGGGTGCCATCGCAGTATTTTCCCGACCGTGGGCTGGCGAAGGGCAAAAGGCTTGTCCTCTTTTTTTTCTCCTCAAGAGTCCGTGCCAAACGGGCGGGCACGGCACGGGTCACGCCCATTGGCGTGGCATCTTGGATCTCTTGCCCGCACGATAGGTAGCCGACAGCACGGCTTTCGAGGTGAACTTGGGCGATACATCAAATGTCGCAGGTGGTACTTTCGTCGACTCTAGATGCTACATGCCCGCCTCTTTCTGGTGTTTTGTGTTTCTATTTCGCTCGACTGAGATCGCAGGTTGCATCTCGCTCAGACCTTCTCGCAGAAGCGAGTCGGGCCTCGATTGGAGAACCTCTCTCAAGACCTTGCCCTGGACCGGCAACAGGACCAGGTAAGGTCACCCTTGGCTGACTTGTTTGGCCATTACCCCAGAATATGCATCTCGTAGGACCGAGGCTGTCGTCATGATTTCGAGTCAGGAAGCGGCAAAGAAAACATATCGAGAACTGAACGGCATCTTTCCCAAGCCTCCCTAGGAACCCGGTGATGATCCCGCTTTGATGGTCTGTGTGCCTTTGTGAGCGAGAGCCACGCGAGCCCATTCGCCACACCTGATCGCCCGCCTCCCATCAAGAGATGCCAGAGTGCGGGGAGGCGCCCAGGCGCAAGCCGTCTCCCGTGTATTGCGCGCATGAGGTAACCATGCAGATCATGAGCTCTCCGACTAACCAGTCAGGTCCGACATGATGGGAGGCCAGACTCCTACCCCAGGCACTTCTCCCGGGCTTCCGGGGGTTCTTCACACACACGTGTGATAGCGTGATGGAAGCATCTTGACATTTGTTCCATGCAACATTGGCGTTTTCAAGTCAACAACTAACAAGCAAACACCAGCGCCAAAAGTTGCTAGTTCAGGAAATGCAAAGCGACAGGCAAGGATTCTGTGTGAGAGGAAAACCCCTAGACACATCGAAGCACGCTCATTCGAGACCGTCTACCCGGGTCTAAGCCTTGAGTCCATCTATGGTAGCCGGATCGCGTCAACACGAACTCGGCTCCGGCCATCTGTCGTCCTTGGTTCGCTTAAACCAAACAACGGGGCCCAAGCCCGATAGCCGTTGGCCAGATGGCAGATGGCCTGCGCGCGCATGCTCACAGGAGATGCGACTGGACAAGAAGAACACTGTCCGCATTGAAAGTGTAAATACTGCTTCTCAAGACATGGCAGGATCTCCGCACGCGAGCCCATCCCTCCCTTCAACTACTCTGTAATACCCCTGGGCCCTGCTTGGACCGGGATGGTGTTTGATCTGTGGTGTGGGAGATCATGTTCATGCCTTCGTGGATTTATGCGTGTGCCCGCACTACGTAGGACCCCCTCCTCTTCTTTGCGACGAACACAAGCCTCCCCAGCTTCGGGGGAATATGACCTAAAGTGACAATTAACAGTCAGGGTATGGCCTTTCAAGAATGCCTTACCACCTGCACTGTCGTGCAGTCCCCTTCGCTCGCCACCACGAGCAGTGGCTTGCTGCCGGAGCCAATTACGTCTGCGCCTCAAGATCGTCTCAGCCTCAACACGGCACGGTACAGCTGTTGCTGTTGCTGCTGCTGCTGCTGCTGCTGCACAAAAAGCATGAGCCGCATGGGCTGCATCCCACCGGGACGCCGTGTCGCTCCCTCCTTGGGACCCTGTGTTGCATGAAACCAAGCCACAACCAAAACCGATTCGAAGCATTTCCTCAACCGCCGCGTTCATACACAGTTAAGACAAGATAGAGATCCTACGCCGTCGTCTCGTGGTCCCAGCTCAAGTTGGCTTCAAAAGTGAATACAGCTGCGAGGCCCGGTCAGCGGAGAAGTCGGGCAAAACACCCGTCCGAAAGGGCACTGCTGTGTTGATACAGCAGAATTCGGGGTCTTTGAAGTTAAGCAGGTTCAGCCGCGAAGTACCTGAGCACAAGGTGCGACAGAAGTTCCTTCGAAGGACGTTGTCCTGTCTCTAGGTCCTTGTACGAGGCAGGTCTGGCTACACCCAGTAGCTGTACTCGGGCATGTTCAGGGACCGAGAATACGGACTAGGGTGAACTCGTCACACCTGGACATGCCAAAACTCCCATAAAGGAATGTAATCGCTGGTATGGTACACGCGAGTCACTATCTCGTCCTCCATCAACGCTTCCTTGATTGTTCTAGCGGAGGCCACGTGCAAACCAGACGGCGTTCAAGGATGCCGTCGAACCAGATAATCACAGAAGTACTGAGCAGGCTCGGGTCATAATCGAATTTCGGTCGTTGGACGAGCAGTCAGCATAGACATGACAAAAAAAGAGTATATCTAACTCTCGGAGAGCCGAGATACACGAGGCCCGATCGAGCACAAATAGGATCCAAGGACAAGATCCTTCGATATCGCCCTAATGCTTAGATAACGAAGGACTATCATTCCCAAGACAGATGCTCTACTTGTAGGAAGCTAGGTCATCGTCACGTCACAGGACAGTTGACAACCAGAATGGCGGGACCGTGGGGCCCATGCACGGCAACAGCCTTCGCATGGCTCAAAAAGGTAAACGAAAGGGGGTGGGAGGAGTTAATCATCAGCTGCCCAACTTGACAGAATAACTAAGCACATTTCATTAACATGTGCGTAGGGCTATCAGCCAGCTCGGAGGTCAAGCGACGCCCAGCTGGGGCGAAAGTCTATTACGTCGGTCTGATCGGTCCTTCGCGCTCAAAAAGCACCGATTAATTGACACGGCACCGGCGGGCCAAACGGGCCAACGGACGCTGGGCCGGCGCCCTGTTCTCCCTGCAGCCAATAGGGCGCTGTCGCTCTAGCTTCGAAGTAAGCTCTAAACCTGTCCTCGAACTTTTTCTCACAGTACTTCCGTGCTGGTTCGGTCGCTCTCTGGTCGTCATTCCAATCGATTACCAACGGGCGTAGCCCGGCGATAATGCTTGGCTCACGCCGACGACAACAACAAGGGGGCACGCACGCACCACTCGCTTTGGCAAAGCAGCGAAGACGGCATGCGGAGGAACAGATCGTGGCATCGGTGATTATTTCTGTTTTAGATTTCCAATAGTTAGCCATAATCTGTGTGAATCCATCCATATATAAGAAATCTTTGTTTCCTCGGCCCACTCCATATTGTTGTCTTTGCTTGACAAGTAGTAACTAACAACAGTAACAACAACGTCTTTCACCCTTGGGACCATATATTGTGGGAGAATTCTTCTCTTCGGAACCTCGACACTCAAGACATACTCGCATGGCCATATCCATATCCGCTTTTGCTGTGTAGGAGGGGTTGCTGCACCGACATATCGGACGGACATACAAAATCACACGACTCGCTTCTACGTGGACTAGCTTGAATCGACTTGTCACAATAGTCGCCTCGCATTTTCACCTACCGGCCAAGCTCTCGCACAGGGCGGAGTGAAGCTCTCCAGGACATCGAATCGACGCTCCCGAGTCTGCTGCCGAACAACACATCGCCATGTCCGGAGCTCCAAGCCCGCCGGGGGGCGGTGTTACTGTAAGTCGTGGTCCTCCTGCTGTGCGTTCCTGTTATCTCGTACGATGGCAACACCTCGCATGCTCTCGACGCACACGACATCCCGCAGCTTTTTCCATGTGTTCCATGCTGTGTCATCATGGCACAAAGCAAGCAGACAGCATATACGAAAAGGAGCTGCATTGGGTAGAGTTCCCGCGAGCGAGTTGCCTCTCTCCCCCCGAACATCCTCACCTGACCCTCACACCTAGTCTTGAATAACACCGATGATCGACTAACACACATGCCCTCTCCCACAGGCGCCCAACGGCCAGGCCATGCCCCCGGGGCCCCCTTACTTCCCCACCATCCCGCAGGTCGGCGGCATCCCGACCGTCGGCGTCGACGTGCCCATCTCGGCCGTCCTGCTCGCCCTCTTCGTCTGCTCCGCCGCGGTCAACATGACCATCTTCCAGGTCAACCGGCGGCGCGACCACAAGTTCGTCTTCTCGGCCCTGCTCTTCGGCTTCTCCATGGCCCGCATCGTCACCCTCGTCATGCGCATCGTCTGGGCCTGCCGGCCGGCCAACGTGCGCGTCGCCATTGCCGCCTCCATCTTCGTCGCCGCGGGGGTCCTGCTGCTCTTCATCGTCAACCTCGTCTTCGCGCAGCGCGTCGTGCGCGCCTACCACCCGCGCCTCGGCTGGCACGCCGCCCTGCGCCTCGTCTTCCGCCTGCTCTACGCCTGCGTCGCGGCCCTGCTCGTCATGGTCATCACCGCCACCGTCATCACCTTCTACACCCTCAACCCAAACACGCGCCGCATCTGCCGCGACATCCAGCTCTTCGCGGGTACCTTCCTCGCCTTCCTCGCCTTCCTGCCCATCCCCGTCGTGCTGCTCGCGGCCCTGACCCCGCGCCGCGGGGGCCGCCCCGTCGACAAGTTCGGCCAGGGCCGCATGCGCACCAAGGTCGCCCTCATCCTCTTCACGGCCAGCCTGCTGACCCTCGGCGCCGGCTTCCGCATCGGCACGAGCTACGACCTGCGCCTGCGGCCCGCCTGGTTCCACCACCGCGCCTGCTTCTACTGCTTCAACTTCGTCATCGAGCTCGTCGTCGTCTTCACCTACACCGCCACGCGCTTCGACCGCCGCTTCCACGTGCCCGACGGCAGCTCCGGGCCCGGGGACTACACCGCCCGTGCCGCCGCCGCCGCCGCCGCGGGTGGTGCCGGTGCCGCAGGCGGCCTGCAGCGGAGGAAGAGCTTCGCCGACCGGGTCAACACCGAGGCCGACGTTTTCGGCGTCGACGCCGACGACGTGGCGCCGCCGCCCGAGGACCGCGAGCGCGAGTGGGAGGAGCGGGCGCGCAAGGAGCTCCGGAGCCAGGGCGATGACACGGTCTAAGGCCTTGAAATGCCTTTGTCACCTTTTCCCTTTTCCTGTTACAGCCATCCATCGACATTATAGACTCGTGCATATAGGGGGTTTGGGATTTGGATATCTGAGATGCATCCGGATTGTATACGGGATGGAATGTAATCGCACCTCATTTGAAACATAGAATAAGCATAATGACACAAAATCAATCTCAATTCCAAGCCATCTGGCGCCAAGTATTACGTTCATGTGCCCAGCAATTTGGCGGAACCGCATATTACCTTTCTATGGTACGCTTGGCAGCATTTATGTTTAGGCCGGTTTCTACCTCCGCCATGGCTTTCTCGTTCAACATGGAGTCTGTCACGATAGGGGATTACGTACACCGTCGCACAAGACAAGAAGATCCACACTTGGAAACATGCAACAAGAGACAACGAGTCTTGGGGAAGCAGATACTCTCTCGATCATTAGTCTAAGTCTCTGCCATGACCAGCGTCTATCGGCGACACGTCTTCCTTCATCCCTAGGGCCACCCAGTGATCCATCCTCTGGCCCGCGACCCATCGGCGCCTCCTGATGCAGAATATGGACGACTCGTACATGAAACAGCACATCTCCAAACCACGAGTGGGCTGCGTGGCGGGTGGAGGACACTGGGGATCTGGCCCGACATGACCGTCTCGAACCTCTTCGCCGTGTACGTCGACTTACAGGAAGTAATCGGGAGTGCCTATCAACACGAGTTAGTCGCTTCAACAGCTGCCGTATATGGTCGATGTGACTTACGTCTTGAAACCATCGGCTCCCCGGCCCTTGGGCAAGGATCGAACTGCAGGCTACGAGTCTGTTAGTCAAAAATTGTGGCACTTTGATCATGATAAAAGAGACGTACAATGTGTACTTGAGATGCTCGTCAATCTCCATGATGGCGGCCTGGTTACCGCAGCGGTAGCAGTAGTTCGGTGCTGCAGCGTTATTAGTGAGTGATGGGCCCTCGGCCATTTTCATGATTGAAATTGACTCACCCGAGAAGATGGTGACAACGTTGCGGTCCTGCGACCAGTTGTATCCCTCCATGACAAGCTGGTGGGCTCTCGCGATCAGAGTGAGACCGTTGTTGTGATTGAATGCCTCGGAAATGTCCTGGCCAAAGGTGTAACCAGCACCTCTGGGTGAGATGCCCCATCCGCACCTATCATCTGGGTCAGACCAGAGCAGGTCGCACATCGGTCCTTCGTGAGGGACTTCTTGGATTCTATCGAGGGCTCGAATGTTGTCGAGGGTATCAATGCTGGGTGACAGTCCTCCGTGCAGACAGAAGATCTGGTTGTCGATAAGGGCGGTGAGGGGAAGGTAGTCGAACAGGTCGGTGAAGTACTTCCAGACGTTCGCATTGCCGTACTTCCTCAGGCACTCGTCGTAGAAGCCGTAGACCTGTGTGATCTGGCGGGACTCGTGGTTGCCGCGGAGGATGGTAATCCGTTGCGGATACCGGATCTTGAGGGCCACAAGCAGGGTGACTGTCTCAACAGAGTAGTAACCTCGATCGACGTAGTCGCCTGGATCAAATCAGCACGCTGTCCTGGATACGGGGAGAGACAACACCATGCGCGCAGACATACCCATGAAGAGGTAGTTGGTATCGGGGTTGGGGCCGCCAATCTTGAAAAGTTCCATCAAATCGTGGAACTGACCGTGAATGTCGCCACAGACAGTCACAGGGCATTTCTAAGTATCGGGGTGAGCACGTCGGTCGCGACGGGAGCGGGAAGAAAAGGTAGCACATACGACTGGTTGTACGTTGGATTCCTCTTGAAGAACTTCTCGGGCCTAGATATTGCAACAAGAATGTCAGCAATGAATCTCCTCTCGTCCGTGGACAGACACGCGACGAGATCCGCCAATGCGTCGAACGAAGCCACGAAAGCGCGGGCGCAGGGCACGCTCGAGTAGCCCTTGGATGTGAACTGACCTTCTCGCACAGCCTCTGCACATCCGTCTCCGCCAGCTGCTTGCAGCTCATCAAGCTCTCGATCCATCCGTCGAGGGTGGGGATGGTCGCGGGCTCGAGGGCAGGCTGGCCGGACAGCTCCGTCGGCACGCGGCCAACATCCTCCATGTTCGTGTCCATGATTGAATCGCGACGTTGATATCGCGACGGGATTAGTGTGATAGGGTATCGTGGGCTGGCCTGCTTTACCAGCCGCAGGGTCGTCGATTGTTCTGATGGTCGGTCGGTCGCTTCCCAGGTAATGACGTTGAGTTTTTGGTGGCGTGCCTCAACTTGGTCAGTGCTCTGCACTTTTGAAACCGTCGCCTTGTTCTAAAAAGCCGCGCTCGATGGGATTCTGGAAGATCGTAAACAAGAAAAGTGCAAGGAATCGTCGAGTCGTCGTCACCTTGGAGGATGGGGAGGCAGGGAGAGTGATATCAAACGTCAGTGAGGGCAGGGCTGGGCTGTCGGGTTTGGGGTGGGCTATTGTTGTTTTCACCTTGTCAAACCTCCCAATGCTGAAATTGCGGGAGGCGCTCGCTTACGTTAATAAACCAGGAATGCCGCAAGGCGCGGCGGTCACAGCGCAATTGGCCAGAGAGGGGCAAAAAAGGGGGCCACTCAGTGTCCAGTGCTGTGAGCTCGAGCTGCGGGGCCTACTGGAAAGCTGAGCTCTAGGTCATTGCAGGCGGCCGACTAGGTACTCCCCGCATCAACCTCCAAGCTCTCTGACCGAGGACCATGACTCAAGCTCCTCCACCACTCTCGTGATTTCACTTTCCGAAGGGCCAACACGTCAAAGGGTAGAAGCAGCATCTGTATCAAACATCGTTAGGAGAAGCATAGTCCCATTCTCGTTTTCTATAGAACCAGACGTAAGAAGTTGGCCAACCACTACGACAATGCACACAAGGACTGTAAAAGCTCCTCCATAAATACCTAATCGCTCACAAATACACATAGACACAGGTATCTCTACTGCACATATATACATACTTCACAACCAAAACCCCGTGTCCTTCAAGATGGAAAGACACACCTTACGACAGACCCAGGCCCACAGGACTAGAGGCCGGCGACTGCTTGACCAGGTCCTGCCCAACCATGTTTCTAAAGTCAATGCCGACCTCCGACAGCATGCTCGCGTGCTCCCTCGCGCGCTCCATACACAGCGTCCATACCTCGCCGCCCTGGTCCGTGCCGCTGAGCTGCCGGGCCAGGATGACGTTGAAGGCGTCGACCTCCTCCTTGGCCCACTTGACGCAGGCGCTCATCATGCTCTGGGGGAAGCAGCTCTGGAAGCAGCTGACCGTGTTGCGAATGATGGAGAAGTAGATGAATGAGAGCTCCCAGATGTACAGGTGGAGGTCGCCCTGAAAGATGCACTGCCTAGAGGGGAATCAGCGCTGTCTGAGCCTTGTAGAATACCAATCCTGGGATTCTTACCTGGTGCGCTTCTGGATAATATGGCTACGAGCCTCGAGATAAGCCTCTCGAGCACGGTCCTCGAACCCAAGTCTGGTCAGCCAAGTGACATTCCGCATCGCCTTGCGCTGTTCGTTATGCGTATCAACCAGCTCGCGGGTGATGAGCGTGGCTAGCTTGGAGCAGCGCTCCTCCACCTTGAACTCGATAAAGTCCTGGGCAACGGCGTTGTTCTTAAGACCCCGTGCCAGGCTCTTCAACTTCTCCACCCTTGCGACCGAAGGGTCAAAGCGCTGCAGCGCAATGTCAATGTCGAGCTCATCCATCTGTCCCTCGACCCAGCGGAGATTCTGCTGCTTGCCGTCCACTTCGATGAGCATGTCTTTGATGTCGGACAGGGTTTCCAAGAGATCCGTCTTCTGCAGGAGGCCAGGGTCGCGAGAGGCAAAATAGTTAATCGTCTCCTTCGCCTTGTTGTTGGCCTCCATCTCAGACTGCAGGTTCCTGCGGAGCTCCTCTACAGCCTTGCGAATGTTAAGCATCAAAGCTGCCTTTTCTGGATCCTCTGGCTTCTCGGTTCGGAAGATGACCGTCTCCTGCCCGACTCCACGAACCATGATGGCATCGGCTAGCTTGTTCCTCCCACTGTGCGATTCGCTCGAGCCTGCCATGTCTACCACCTCGATATCGAGAAGAGGCCAGCACCGGTCGGCAACAAGCTTGGTCATGGGACCGCGAGCATCGGCGCCTGGCCCTTCCACCTTTCTCTTCTTGCGGGACGCAATGAGGAGATGGTCGTTGAGCAAGAAGATCTGCATGGAGCGCCGAGACCTGTAGGTAGCGCTGTCGAGCTCGATCCAGGGGCCTGCGTTCTGGACAACATGGCGCCCAAGAGCGTTTGGCAGGAACTTCTGCGACCCCTCCACATTCTTGTACAGGGCTTGCATCTGGGAGTTCCATAGCGCGGTTCTGTCAGCCACAGAGCTGCGCTTATCGCGCTTGCTGAGGCCCGTAGAGAAGCCAGCGCCGAGGTCCGGATTGTCCGAGTTGGTCTGGGACGATGCAGACCGGAGAGCGGTGGTGTTTGTTTTCAGTTCTGACATGAGGTTCCTCAAGGCGCGCATCTCGCCCTTGAGCTTTTCGGCCTCCTTGCTGATCTTTATAAACTGGGTGCGATTCTGGTAGACGCTCTGTTGGAGATCGGTCGAGGCTCGGCTCTTGAGCTTGCGCAGCGACTCTTCAAACTCTCGAATCTCATCTTCTGTAGCATCGCTCAAGATATTGGCCACGTATTGGTCGGCAACCAGCTTTGGGTCCCGCAAAGCTTTCACGTCAACTGTAGGAGCAACACCCCCTCGCGGTGGCGGCGGGCCCTGTCGCCGGTCTCGAGATGATTCGTACTTGTCAAAGGACGGAAGGGCTGGTACGGGAGGAGCGAACTCTGACGGAATCTCGTTAAACCTGGCCGAGTATCGTCGCTTGACCAGGTCGGAGGTCTGCACTTGTCAGTATGAAAAATCACCTCGAGGTGATATTGAAACAGACTACTCACTTTTCCTCCAGGCTGCATGGCTGGCCTCGGACGAGGGGCCGGAGTCGAGTCAACCATGGGCCTCCCTGCACCACCGCCTCCTCCTCGTGGGAATCCAACTGGTCCTCCATCGTTGGGAATTGGCGCTGAGATCTGCTTCGGAGCGCTGATGGTAGGCCGGCCCTTCCTCTTCCCACCACTCCGTAAGGAGATCTTGCTCCTTTCTTCAGACATGGTGCGCGTGTCACACAAGTGCAACTACAGCAACAAACAGCCTTGCTGCTGTGTGAAGTAGGAGCAGCGGTTTGCCTTCCGTCTTGTGTTGACTTGTATTCTCGAGATACTGAGGTCTCCGCCTGGCGCGTTCGTCCCCAACTAACGTCGTTGACGTTTCATACACGGCGACAGGACGCTTGGACCTGGGGAGAGACACGCCAATCTGGAGCTCGGGTGGGTAGTAGGGAGAACGCAGCGTACTACTTTGATTGGATTGACTGGCCTGCGCCCCAGGCCCACTGCACAAGTACTTGTAAGATCGGCCAATGCCTTTTCCGCCGCCGACCAGCGCTGGAACCCGGCTCCTGCCCTGTGCGTTCAGCGCCAACTGCCAGCCAAAGTTAGTAGGTAGGTACAGTTTGGTACCCGATAAGGCACGCAAACGGCCGATAGAAAGAATTTTGAGAGATGGACCCGGAAGCTGGGCCAGGATTGGAGGAGAGCTCAACTTTCCACTGCCTGCCACTGACGTTGTGAAGCTTTGTAAAACCACCCTTCTCGTACCACCTGCACTCGTCTCCGGCATCCGGCAACAGGAACCCTTTTCTGCCATCGCTCTTGTCACGAACGAAACCCGGGCAACAATTGCGAAGTTGTTCTCTCCCTCCGTGGCCTGTCCTCACTCTATTGTCAACCCCCTTTGATCACAATGGCGTCGTCACAAACCACCATGATCGTAACGGCCTCTGTTGCCGCGGTTGCGACCGGTCTTGTTGGTGAGTTGGACTCTACACAACTACATGACGCCTGCCTTTTGGCTCTGTCGCACTGAAGGGTTTCATGTGCCATTTGTCGAAAGTGCTGCAACAAGCAACTAACTCGATGCGTTTCCCCCGTCCAGCCTATGCTTTCTACTTCGATCACCAGCGACGGAAGAACCCCGAGTTCCGTCGCAACCTGCGTCGCAACGAGAGACGGCAGATCCGGTCAGAGAAGGAGGAGGCCCAGTACCAGTCCATCAAGCAGCGTCAAGCTATCCATACCGCTATCGACGACGCCAAGGAGGAGGGCTTCCCCACCAACGTCGAGGAGAAGGAGGCCTACTTCCTCGAGCAGGTCTCGACGGGCGAGACCCTCGCTACCGACCGTGAGCATCGCCACAACGCAAAGGAATTGAATTTGAAGACAGCATTGCTGATTGCATTCACCCTACAGCTTCGCGAGGTCTGGAGGCTGCTCTGCACTTCTACAAGGCCCTCAAGGTCTACCCTACCCCTGGTGACCTGATCAGCATCTACGACAAGACCGTCTCCAAGGTATGGGTCTCCTCTGCGTCTTGTAATTGAAACTCCTGAATGAAATTGGTCTGACATAATGCAACCAGCCCATCCTCGACATCCTCGCCGAGATGATCGCCTACGACTCCGACCTCACGGTTGGCGCCTTCCAGGGCTCCAGCGGGATCCCCCCCGAGATGGAGGCTGCCATGTTCGGTGCTGGCGCTGGCGGCATGCCTCCCACCGTCGGTCTCGACTAAATCTACCCTCAATCTCAAAAACCAGACGGGGAGATATGAATTCGACCATGAACATAATCGCCCTTTTGCAGCTCTCCTCTCGCTCTTGTAACGCAAAAACTCATTGCATCAAGTCATTTCTCTCCCGTGGGCCTAGATGCACTGGTCTATTGGGAGGGTTGCAAGGGGGACGATGAACCACCACTTGTATACTACTTGATCCGGGGACGGACGGAATTGACAGAGGATGGCGAGGGACGGGAACGAAGGCACGCTGGAATTTGCCCGGCGTCTTTGCATAGAGGACCTACCTGTAGAAACAACTTGTACATTCATTGCGGATGGGGAGGGGGGAAAGAAGGCAATGTGGGCGCGGTGGCACGCCTATCGAGAGAGAAAAAACACACTTATTTAATGATGTTGCAAAAAATATGATTTTATTATTTCCCTCTTATTCACCTCGGCATTCACTTTAGGTGGCTTAACCCTCGATGGCCCTGCCCTTCCTGTCGACGCGCGTGTCGCGCGGGTCGAAGCCGCCGTTGCCCCAGGTCGCCCACTCGGGCGTCGCGGGCCCCATGTACTCCTCGGGCGTGAACTCGCCGTCGGGCCCCCTCTCCTCGAGCAGGGCGAAGAACTTGTCGTAGTCGATGACGGTGTGCCACCTGCCGTCGACGCGGAAGCGCTCGCTGGCGATGAGCACGCAGCAGCTGTGCGCGTGCTCGGCCGCGAGGCCGTACCCGAGCCCGCGGCGCTGCAGCTCGGCCTCGAGCGCCGTGACGAACTCCTGCACCTCGTGGTAGAAGGGCACGTTGCCCATGGTCAGGCCGGCGCCGGCCGACGTCGAGGTGCCGCAGTAGGTGACGCCCTTGATCTCGACGAAGCAGGGGAGGGCCTTCTCGACGAGGTCGGCGTAGCCGGCGACCTCGTCCTCGACGTTGAAGCCCTTGACGAGGGTGAGGCGGAAGACGGTGCGCTGGCGGAAGCGGCGGGCGCGCAGGACCTCGAGGCAGCGCTGGAAGCGCTCCCAGAAGTCGCGGTGCAGGGGCCGGTCGATGCGGCGCAGGGACTCGCGGTTCGAGGCGTCGATGGAGACGTAGAGCTGCGTGACGTGCCGCAGCGCCGCGAGCTGGTCCGGGTGCTGCGCGTTGCAGACGAGGAAGGACGAGATGCGCTCGGCGTGCAGCATGGCGAGGAACTCGTTGATGTGCGGGTAGAAGATGGGCTCGCCGACGAGCGACAGCGCGCAGTGCCGGATGCGCATGGCCTCGGCGAAGCGCTCGGCCCGCACCCCGGGGACGCCGCGCATCACCTTGATCTTCTTGTAGTGGTTCTCCTTGACGCCCGCGAAGATGAGCTCGGGCGGGTCGACGACCCAACGCCAGTTGGTGCCCACGGGGTTGGTCCCGTGGCGCCAGCAGAAGACGCACTTGTTGGAGCACGAGAGGGACGGCGTCGTCTCCATGCACTGGTGCGAGTTGATGCCGTAAAAGGAGAACTTGTAGCACGACCCGCGACCGCGCAGGGCAGACTTTGTCCAGCGGCATATCTTGACGCCGGAGTGTGAGCCGACAATGGCGTAGCCCTGCTTGGTCAAAGACTTGTATGTTGGTGATTCTTTCGGAACCATCTCCTTTGGCGCTTGGGTCGGTGCCTTCTTGGCCGTTCGCTTGCCATAGGAGGTGAAGTCGACCGCGACGGGGGCCGGACCTGACTCCTTCTTGATCATCCTCCCCAGATCTTCCAGGTCATCAATGCGACCTTGCTGCTTCAGCTTGCTCATATTTGGCACAGAACCTTCGTCGAACAGGACCTCTCCGTCGTCATCTTCTGCTTCCTCTTCATCGTCGCTCTCAATGGGATCCCCGGATCCGACTACACCTTCGCCGAGCGACCCAGTTTGAGATACGAGACTCAGCACATCGACAACACCAGATGACCACTCGGCAAGTCTTTCTTTAAAGTCGCCCTTGGAGTCGCCCACGCCTAGTGGATATGCTCTCTTTCGGCCGGTCAACTTGGCCATCCACTTGTCAATCTCCTTTGCCTGAAAGCAGAAGCCCTCGTCCTCTGTAGGCCAGCCCTCCTTGTCACCTAGTCCGAACACTGAATACCCGAGTATCGGGGCGAGTGCTGCCGTGTCTATCCTGAAATCATGATGCGTCTCATTCATGTGCTCAAGGAAGGTGTCGTTGATAGTGTCGATGTTGTAACTCGGGATGAGGAAAAGGTAGAAAGTGTCGACGAAGCTGCCATTGCGTCCTTTGATCTTGGGTGGGGTGATGAAGTATTCGTCAAGATCTACTTCTGCAAGATCCAAAACCTGTATCGGAAGGAAGCTTGCGCCGGAGGTCGTGTCGATGCCGCTCAGAGCCTTGTCGAGAGTCTGCGCATACTCGGATGCGACTTTCTGAGTGGTGGCTGTGATGGACGAGAAGAATACCAGTACTTGGATCTCCTCGCTCCTTGAGACCTCCTGAATTTGAATAGTTTTGTTCGGCTTGTTCAATTCGCCCTTGATCCTCCGCGGTCCATTGGTTTTGCTCGCCGCCGTAGCTTTGGGCAACTCAACTACCTTCTCGTCCAGCTGTTGTTCTGGCTGGGGCTTTGTGTCCTGCTCGTAGATCTTCGGCAGCACAAGGAGTTGGCCTCTCTCCTCGGTGAGGTGTAGGTATATGAGCAACCCGAACAGGACGAAGAAGGTCGTGAGGATGATGGGCGTTCTGTAAGCGTGCCATGTTTCGATCGCAACTGTCCCAAGCGCATAACATTATTAGGAAGTCCGTGCCAGGACAGGTACGCAATGAGGGACTCACCATGCGTGGCATCCTGCAGAAATGAGCCGGTGGCCCAGGATCTGCGAGCGTCTGCCATTGCCACGAGAACGTTGCACCACTCACGACAGATTATGGGACTACACGAACCGCAGTTGCATGCCGTCCACAAAGTCTGAAAATCCGGAGCACGAATTTTGACCCCACTAAGACTTGGAGATTGATGTCCCCGCGGTGTCAACGGTGGGTCGATTGCTAAACCGTCAACGCTGACAGGCGGAGCGTCAGGGGTCCGCAGTTAACCACCAGATTTAGATGCTCCCGTGTAAGCTGCCGAAAGCAGTAAATCCATTCTGGTTTGACCTCAGGAGGCTGGCAATTGGTTACGGTCTAATCAACATGGATGCACTTTCTCTTACTTACCTACACATACATAAGACTCCCACTATCTTACCGTCTCAATCAAAAGGTTCTCTCTCCTTTTTGGGCAAGTTTCTGGTATGGTGTGATATATTCTTATCCATACATGCAGAGGCGAGTGTTCCTTGTACGTATGAAGAAATAATGATGTAAAGCATAGTTGCCACCTCGGCCATTGTCTTTTCGAACTTCCAGGTTGACGGTTCCTGGGAAAGGGACCCTGGCGACGACCTCTCTGCCCGCCTGGTCATCTTGCCCTTGCCCCTCAAGATGCATCCTGTAAATGACATTGTACGATTCTTGTACCAAGCCTCTCCCGAGCTTGCAGGGCTGAGACAGGGGAGTTGGCCGCTCTTGTCTGTGTGCCATTCCTAGACTCCTGTGAGTGCTGGCGGAGGAAGAGCAAGGGCTGAACATTATATGAAGAGAAAACGCTTACGAGTAACCCCCCCTTCTGTACAAGCTTGGGAAGAATGGACCGTTACACGTCGAGTCCGATATTGGTTGTCGCATACTTACTGACGGTGAAATTTGCCCCCTTTACAAAGACACTGTGCATTGTCGGGGTTGTGTTGATGTGCGAATCGAGTTCGGTCAAGATCCGGTAACACGCACCGACTCTAGACCAGCGTTCCTTGTAAATGTGGTGTCGTGGATTTCTATTTGTCGTGGCGTTCTGATGTAAATGTATATACATACTACGAGAGCCAGGGGCGGAAGATAGGGGATATCAAGAACTATCTCCAAGTTCGAATGACGGTGTGTTCGATTAAGATACTTTTTTTTCCCTCCCCGGAGAAGAGATATATCCTTCGTGGTATCACAGCGATGGATGAGAAATAAAAAAAAAAAAAGACAGAGGCAAAAAAAGCTTACCAGGAGTCGAACTCCTGGCTACGAAAAACCCCCATCGAGATTTTTCATCGGGGGGAGGAGGTCAGCCACATTGGTTCTGTGGTGTCCTTTCCTAAGGGGGAGAGGAATAGCAAGTTAGTTTTGTGGAATCCACGTTAATTTGTCGCGGTTAACCACTACGCCATTCGCCATCCCAACCCCCTATGGAAATAAGGCACTCTGTTTAGAATGATAAGGGGTTGTCGCCTTTGGTGGTGGGGTGGGAGGGAGGTGAGTCTGAGGGTGAGGGCAGGTGAATCATAGGGTGGTGTGTGCTTCCGACCTAGCAGTTTGTTGGCCCTCGCATCTGAGCCATTGTGATGAACACTACCCAAGATCATGCCGTCCTATCACAGCCACCCTGCTGCTCCTTGGGCCTCAAGTCCTTGAGGCAAGGAGCGTTGAACATCTCGCCAGAAGCAGCCTGCATCGTCGTCCGGACAGCAACCACCGTCCACAGCAGGACCACCGAGAGGGAGAAGATCTGATCGAATCAAGGAGACCTCGTCAGCAACAAAATTCTGGAAACGGACACACCCTCCCCCCCAACACAAAAAGGGAGAGAAACAGGAAGTATCAGCAACTCACGGTAGTCAACACCCTGAGGAACCCGCTCGACAGCTCCTCCGCCATGAGGCCGGTGCACGTCGTGAACACGCCGAGCGGGAACGTGAACCCCCACCAGCCCATGTTGAACGGGAACCGCTTGATGGAGAAGATGGAGATGAGCGCAAAGGTGAGCCAGCCCAGCGCGGCGCCCCACATGCACAGCGCGCCCACGACGCCGAGCACGTACGCGACCTCGCCGCCGCGCATCGGGTCCACGCCCACGGCGCCGAGCGCCTGCGCCCGCGGGAACAGCTCGAGGCACACCTTGCCCAGCTGCTGGATGCCGAAGCCGCCCTGGCCCAGGGGGCCGACGGGCAGGAAGACCGAGACGAGGACCTCGCGCGGCGGCAGGTCGTGCACCTGCAGGCGCAGCAGGTAGATGGCGAGGATGTAGAAGGAGAAGAACTGGCCGAGGCCCATGAGCACGTACGAGACGACGACGGTGGTCACGGCGTGGCTCGCGTTGGGCAGGACCTCGGCCACGATGCCGCCCGAGGCCGACGCCACGATGACGGGGACGACGGGCAGGAGCAGGGCGGCGGTGATCTGGTCCAGCTGGCGCCTGTGGTGGTGGGCGCTGAGAATCAAGCAAGGCGGAGTCCAGTCAGTCAACCAGTCTGGCCGGGTATATTTTCTCGAGGAGAAACTTACGCAACGAAGGGGATGGTCAGGCAGCAGATGGCGGAGACCGCTGCGTCGACCCACCAGAGTCCCCAGGCCAGGTAGATGAACGCGTCGCCCCATGGCGCGCATACAAAGACGATCATGTTCACGATGGCTTTGTGTCAGGATCCAGAGTCAGCAACGGGGTTCACGGACGGTGTTTTAGAAAAAGCACAAGGAGGACGATGACTAGTACTGACTTGCAAAGCCCATGGGCAGGCAGCCCAGGAACAGAGACTGGGCCGGGTGCTTGAGCATGACCACAAAGATCTCCGGGTACAGCAGGTACCGCGCCACGGTGATGGCGAAGAAGACGGTGAAGAGGACGATGTTGAGCGCGAAGAAGATGTACGAGATGACCTGGATCCAGTACGCGTTGTACGGCAGGTTGTGCAGCAGGACCGAGACGATGCCCGTGCCCATGTTCACCGAGAACCATCTTGCAATCGCGGGATGTCAGCGGGCCCCGCGATGATCTCGACGGGGGAGAAGACTTACGACGGAGTGAAATTTCTCACGATCCTGCGCCAGCCCGTGTTCTCCTTGCACGGCTGGCCCGTCGGCGCGAGGTTGTCGGCGCCGGCGCCCAGATCGCTGGTGCAAATGTCCACATCCGTCTCGGCCCCTTCCGACTCGAAAGACGGGTTGCCGGGAGACGCCATGGTGGACATCCGGCGCAGGGGGATGCTGTTGTTGGGCGCCTGCTGGTCCGTCCTGGAGCACGTCCTTGTGTCCGACATGGCTTGTGGATGATAATGCTGCAGTTGCTGGTGTCTCTTTGACTGTACACTGACTGAAGAAGGCGGTAATGGTTCTGTATATCGTGTGCCTGGGCCCGCGCCGTGACGGTGACGATGCTAGCTTTCCGTCTCCGAAAATTACTCCGGCCCCCTTCGCTCAGTGACGAATGTGTTGGCTGGACAAAGCAGGAAAGTGCGATGCAAGATTTGGAGAACCCAGATCGTGCAAACAACGGCCGTTCACATAAGGTGTTGCCGGGCCTTTATCCATCCGTGACTGCTATGAGAATGGGAATGGGATGCTGACTCTCAAAATACGAAGCTTAAAACATTGACGCATGTGGTCCACCAAAATCGGCGGCGCCGTCCGCCGGGGGCGAAGCCGAGACCCGGAGCGACCCACCCGAAGGCGGGAAATTCTCGAGTCATCTGGTCACGGCCTGGACGGTGACTTGATCTGCACACAGTCAGCAACCATGGTTTCATTGCTGCCACTTGCCGAATTTCAATTGAAAGGATTGTATTCAAGAATCAAAACTAGGTCTTGATGAAGATTATAACCCAGATGACTCACTGGCACGTATGTATTCGATGTTTCTCTTCTGACTCTTGATAGCTTTCTTCACCCTGTGTGAATGCATCCAGTTCTGACATAGAAAATTACTCTATAAAAAGGTAGTATTGTTATGTTTTAGGACAAGAGAGAAGTTGAAGAGTTGAAAGGTGGCTCAAGTGACAATATCTATTCTACCTAGGTATTCTGCATCCCAACCCAGGTGTCCACATGGGTTCAATCGGCGATTGCCCGTCAAGGCGCTAAATCGCGCTGGCCCAAGACCATTTCTGGGCACCACCAAAGATAACGGGCATTGGCCCGGGCATTCGCCGATTGAACGGGTCGGCGGGCTGGACACATCATATCAGTTGAGAAAGGGGGGGTACAACATGCGGACGAGGAGTACGATATCAAGAGGCATTGCGTCATGGGCAATGCGGGCTTCCAGCGCCGCGCACCTGTGACCTGCTTCGCTGTCTTCATTCGACCAACTTGTTCCCAAGCCCCAAGGATTCTGGCGAGAAAGCTAATTCCCTTTTAGTTCCACTTTGGCATCCAAGCACAGTAAGAGAACCTCTTTGTCCCGCATCCATTCACCGGATGTTTGCAATTGAGAAACGGCGACTAACACCAAGACAAACCCCCATCAGGGATCGCCCTGCAACGCAAATGATGGCTCGTGGAACTCTATCGACGTGATGTGCGAAGGTCGCAAGGCCGAACGGGTGTGCGCCCGCGTTGGGTGAAAGGAGACGATAGCGAGCCTTTTTGCGTGCGTGCGACAGCGCGCTTTCACACTGTATGGATAGATATGTGTGTTCCTGCGACGCTGTGGAGGGATCACACCAAGCCGAATTCGGCAGCAACCCTCGCTCATCGTTGGGCGACTCCGGTCGCATCCGAACAATTGCGGCAAGATAAGACGTAGACTGGCAGTTCTGATGGGGTCGTATGACCATGGGCCTCGCGGCTGCCCAGAGCCCATGCCATCCTGCCTGCCCCCATCCGATAATCGGGTCGCCGATTGAATCCCCCCCTCTCTTCCGCTGCGCTCGACACCGCCATTCCATAGCCAAGGGCCATCCTCATATCATGGCCACGTCCACACCTAGATACCCTCAAGCGTCCAAGGCGGTCAACATCAACACCATCCCCCTATCATAGCATCTTTCATCATCGTGCCCTAGAGTAATCCAACATGATGGCCGTCGACATCGTTGCAAGAAACGCCGTGGAGCCGCAGAGCCCCATGCAGGCCTGCACCCTCGACTCGAATCGGTTCGAGGATCTCGTCGTCGCGTTGAAGAAGGCACTGGGTCCATCGTCCGGCCTGACGTCTGATGATGTCGACGTAGCACACCTAATGCGCCTGATGGAGCAATACCAGAGTGCCGAACTGGGCTGGGTAAGGTTCGCCATGGGAGATGCCAGTCGTGGCTATACCCGGAACCTCGTTGACGAAGGCAATGGCAAGAGCAACCTGGTATGTCGAGGCCCCCCCTTCAACCATAGACCAACACACTTGTGTCTAACCACAACAAACACAGCTCGTGCTTGTCTGGACGCCAGGCAAGGGCAGCCCCATCCACGACCACGGCAATGCACACTGCCTGATGAAGATTCTTCGTGGCAACCTGACCGAAACCCGCTTCGCCTTCCCCCAGGGTGATCAAGAAGAGCCCATGACAGTGCTGTCTGAGAGAGTCCATAAGGAGAATGCCGTGGCGTACATGGCCGACGAGCTGGGAGTGCACCGAGTCACCAACCAAGGGAGCGACTTCGCTGTTTCCCTTCATTGTGCGTAGACCCGATACGCTGGCCTCCTCCCTCTTTGCGGTTGTGAATACTGACACTGGCCAGTATATACGCCACCCAACGTTGCCAAGGGCGGCTGCAACATCTTCAATGAGAAGACGGGCAAGAGCTCCCACGTCGCCAAGTGTGGCTACTACTCTGCCTACGGGCAGCTCTTGAAGGAGTGAACGAAACAGAGAAGAGTAGCAGTGGAAGGAACAGGAGGAGAATGCGGTCCAATACCGTATATGTCATGACCGTTATGAAGTCTTTCCTTGTCATGTATCTCTGGGAATCGACGAGCAAGTAATTTCTGCTTTTTGGGTATCTCGAAGGACAGTGTCCGGTGCTAATGAATAGAGCGCGTGGTGCTCAACACCCGCCGCTGGCAAAGAAGTCTCTTGAATATACCGTTCATAAATGACCAAGGAAGGTCTTCATGGCCACCTGTGACGTCCAAGTAGAGGAATGAGGTTGAAACAGAGGAAATGCGGCTCAAAGCAGAGGGCAATAGACATTTAACTGCCCATTCTACCCCCAGAGAGATGCCTATATTTGGCTTAGCGTGGATGGCGTGATTTTTCGCAATGGCCCAAATCTGGTGGATCGCGAGACCGACAGCCGCCGGTCCCTTCGCGCCCCCCCCCAAAGCACACACTGGCGCAACCGCACGCACCCACAATACACACGCCCTATATTAATGCCTAGCATGCCGATCCGGCGGCACTTACACACAGGCATCCAAGAAACGGGATTGCTTGATGTTGATTTTTAACCTTGTGCAAGTCCCGCTGCTACTCGGCGTAATCTATTCCTACCTGGTGGGATCTGCATGCCTTGACATGCTCTGAGCGACTGCCGCCGTAATAGTGTGCTTGACCCGCGAGCCTGGATTGTTACTGAGCTCGTCGCCTGGCTGGAAACACTACCTAATGTAGGCCTCTTCACAGTGTGATAACAACACCGTAGATATGGTACTGAGAACGTGAGAGCCAAAACACCCAGGGACGAAAGCGCACTGTTCGTCTGTGAAATACAGAGGAATGCACTTGCCTCCTGGATGCTGCGGGTGAATGGTGTAAGTGCGAGCTTTGAAGAAACCATGAAGCCTGTTTACTCTCACTCCAGGGGCGACACACTGCTGCCTCGACCGTGTCGTTTAGCCCGCCATTTGACGAGAGATGAAGAGCTTGTCTCGCTCGAGACTTCCGTGGTGACCTGGACTCGAAGACTCATCTCCTTGCAGGTTGCTAGCATCGATTTGCCAAGTCTGACAAATCCCAAGACACCTTACCTACTTACAGTTGGTCAGGTCAGCTGGGAGCAAACAGGGCACTTCTGGGAGCAGCAGGGTGCCCAAGGGCAGGCAGAGCTCAATGGCGGCGGTCCATGACTCCTCGACAGAACCCAAGCTACCTCACATATACCGGTCGGAACTGAAATAAATGGCCATGGTGACAAAGAGTGGAGTTGTATTTCGTCCACCAGACCTCTACACCACTCGAAACTGGAAAGAAGCGGTACGCCTATATTAACAAGCCCCTATTCCTATGCAAATTTGCCTCTTATAATGCCTGTAATTCGATTTTGATACATCATTTTAATACATTTTTGTTCGTTGTGGGGGTATTCCGTCTTTTTCTTCCGCCGTATTTACTCGTTGATCTTGGCCAGAATCCTGTAACAGCACATGTTAGCCCGATGTTCCCGATAACAGGTGGGCCACGCATGGCCAGGCCGTGGAGGGTAGAAATTAGACTTACTCGCTGTCACGGAAGAGGTGGTACTCGTCCTCGCCGACCTTGACGGGGGAACCGCCATACTGCAACACGCCTTCTGTCAGCAAAAAGAAAGGAAAAAAAAAACAGGATTGCCAGGGAAATGATGCCACATACTTGAGGGATCAGGACGCGGTCGCCGGTAGCGACGCCCATGGGGGTCCTCTTGCCGTCCTTGTCCAGGCCGCCGGGGCCGACGGCGAGGACCTTGGCCTCGTTGAGCTCCTTGACGCTCGACTCGGGCAGGAAAATGCCGCTGGCGGTCTTGGCCTCGGCCTTGACGCGCTGGACCAGGACGCGGTCCAGGAGGGGGACGAGGGAGCGGATGGACTTGAGCGAGGTGGCCTGAACGGGATAAGAGTTAGCTCAATGCTATGAAGCGTTTGGAAGAAGAGCTCTCGGCCCCGGGAGAGAGGAAGGAGGCGGGAGCTCCGAGCTCTGCTTCGAGCTCCAGCAAGCGCAAGCTCTGCCCTTGGGTTATAGCAGAGCAGTTCTGCCTGAACCATGCATTGGGTGCTTACCATTGTGAATGTGCAGAAGAATGTGAAGAGGGCAATTGATGTTTCGTCGTAGTCGTTATGGGTGTCGTCGGGGGGATGGGATGATGCTGGGGGAATTTATCTGGGGGAGATCGGTTCGCGACGGCGCAGAGCTTCCAAGAGTATCTAGAACCTCTGGCAAATTTTCCGACCCCCCGGAGCGCCAAAATTTCCGTTGCCGACCAATGACCGAGGCTTCAATGTCTAAGTCGACCCACCTCATTGGATGACGAAGATCAATCCCCTGAACAAGCTTCACTTCACATTGAACCTTTAAACTCGCTGAGCTCATAAATCACTGGTAAAGGCATTCTGTTTTGGCGGATTTACCGAGTCTCTGTGTATCTGCTCATTTGGGCTACATACCAACGAACGAGACTCAAGTGTATCAAGAGATTGAACGGTCTACGTGCAAGGATGTCAGTACCTGATCGGCTACAGAAGTGTTGATTAATTAAAAGACCACCGTTACAAGGTGACCCGGAGTTATTAGGTACTTAATATAAGGATATGCTCCTTTTGCATGCTATGTCTTTCCCTGTGTCTACATGACCTATACGACAGTGGTGGAATCGCCCCAATCTAAACCAGACCGTGACGACGTATAACCTGTCCCCTGCTCTGTCGCAAATCCAATCGCTTCTCGCCTGCCCAACACATCTAAAGAGTATGCACCAGAAACGCCCAATGCAAGAATCCGATAAAACCAATTAAACTACGCCAGCAATTTCTGCGCGACGTCTTTCCCCTCCTCAATGTCGCCTGGGCTTATTTCGCAGCAGAGGGTGGTTCGAGAATATGAGTGTGATCATCAGCGTTGATGACCACGCCGGGCCCGATCTGCCGGCAGATCACGGTGTTGGCGACCCAGGGGTCTTCCAGGATCTCCGGCATTCTAATCCGTTCCTTGGGGTTGATCTGCAGCATCCGGCCGATGACGTGTCTGCTCTCGCGGGGCAGGAGTCGCAGTATACGCCAAGGACCCCTGATCACTTCCTTCTTCTCCGCTGGAGGCGCCAGAGTACCATCGCTCTTCTTCTCGTGGGTCGCCGGGTTATGCTTCTTGTCGCCCTCGCCTGCCCCGTCCATGCTGGCTCTCTTGTCCGCCTCGGGACTGTCGTCCTTCTTCTCGGCGTCGCGGGTCTCACCCTCCTTGTGCAGGTTGTTGTCCGCCACATCCTGCATCTTCAGAACATCCGCGCGCGTGCCCTTTCTTGAAGGATCGTGGATGTGAGTGTCCCGACCAGGGGTGTCGTAGAGCGCATTAGTCGATTTTGCGTGCGGAAGCACCAGCCTTCTCGGGTCGTGACCAGGAGTAGGATCCGCTGCAAATAGCTTGAAGGAGTTGTCGGTCATGCGAGGAACCTTCCAGGGGAAGCGTCGAAGTGTCATGCAGCAATAGATAATCGCCAGTGACCAGATATCGACTGCCGTAGGGTCGTATTTCCGCTCGTCATACACCTCTGGAGCGAGGTATGGGTCCGAACCGACGATTCCTATGGAAAGGGTCAATGATGAGCTCCAACTACGAAGCACTAGATCAACTTACCGGAAGCCATGACCATCCCACTCTCGAAAGGGTACTTGAAAACGTGTGCGCTTCCAAAATCAATAATCTTGATGATACCGCGATCACTCACGACCACATTGTCCAGCTTGAGATCGCGGTGCGCAAGACCCATACTGTGGAGGTACGTGACACCACTCAAGATTTGAAGGAAGCAGCATGCGACCTCTTCCCGTGACATCTTGCCAGTCATCACGATGGCAAAAAGGTCGTAGGGTGCGTACTCCATCACCTCATACCATTTCCCTTTCTCCTGGACGATATCCAGGGTCTCGATGATGTTGCCGTGGTGAAGCGAAGAGCCCATGCAGTATTCTGCGGTAAGCTTCTTCACATACTCTTTTTCGGTCTCGTACGAGTGGCGAGGACGGAACTCCTTGACGGCGAAAATCGTATTGTCCTCGCTCCGCTTCATGAGCCTGACCGAGCCGCCGGCTCCGGAACCCAAGACTTTGCCGAGCTTTCCGTACTTGGATGAGAGGCCGTGATCGTCACCAAACGGAATTTGCACCGCGGATTTCGAGCTGGGTGGCGTTCGAGTTCCGGATCTCACGGAAGCTGACGGAGAGGCGGCGCGTTTCGCTTTGTGATGCCCTCCCATCTTGAAGAACCTCTTGAGGTCTGCCATGGACCCTTGTTTATGGTGACCAAAGGCGGAGGAGCCGGTCTCGTGTTGCATCAGCTCGTCTTTCTTATTGTACAAAGCAGAGTGGCGTTTCTCCGAGTGCTTGCCGAGACTAGTGCTGGACGAGCTAGGCGAGTGCTTCTTCTTGCGGTTGAATACAAATCTCGGCTCGATCTTGTTCTGGTTCTGCGGCATGCGCTTGTTGGCCGCATACGGGTCGTTGAGATCCCCAGAAGGCGTGAATGGGCGAGTGTACTGTGATGCGGCCGAAGACCGCGACGGACTGCCCTCCCGTGACACGGGTAGGGATCCGCTGTCCCGGGGACCAAGTGAAAACATGCCCTTGCGATGGTCTGATTGTGTCGTGTGTTCCCTATCATCCGAGGAATCCGGGCGTTTGGAAACCTCTTCATGCGATGCCGGCCTATGCGCAAGTTTTGTTGTTGACAACCGCGATGAGTCGTGAGCTGTCGAGTCCTGCGGAGTGATGACATCGTGATGGGGGCTCAGCGTGGCTCGCTCTACATGTGAGTGGCTTAGGCGTTTTGAGTCGCCTTCTAAATATTCCGTCCCAGAAGGCGTAAGAGGAGGGGAGTGCAGGTCCGGGTTCTTGGGGCCAAGCAGAGGTGATGGACGACCACTTCCAGAGCTACGTGTGTGCTCCCGGGTTGCATTTCTGGAGTCGTCTTCGTTGGAGGGAACCTTTTGTATAGACGTCAGTCTCTGGCTCGGCTTCACAAGCTCTTGCCTCTACAGCCGCCCGATAAGACAAGGGCGACAGTGGAAGGAGGAAAACATCTGTCTGGCATATGAGGTGTATTGCAAGCGGTATACGTACTCGTGATGCGGGCAATGAAAACGGCTCGAAGGAGAAGATGTTCATGCGGCGCTCCTGGAGATTGTTGAAACCTCCCTGGAGGCTCTTGGAAAGCGCCTTGAGCATTTCTGGGGTGGCCTCGCCGGGTTGTCCGAGACTCTGGTCTTCTTGGCTAGGAGCATTGTCGACCGGGGGTGATATCTCCTGCACGGCCGAACTGAAGCGCACTGAAGGTGTGGATGTGCCTGCTTCGGGATGCTTGCCCTGCGGCTGAGAATCCGGCGCATCGTGGACTTCATCTGTCAATTGGTGTTAGTGAGGCCCAAACGGAGAGGCACCACGAGCTCTTTCGTCTGCGATCGTGGATTTCCCTCGAGGCACCCGGCTATCTCTGCTGACCGGGACTAAGGGAAGGAGGGGTTTATCAGTACATACCCTGAGTCTGGTGCGCCAGCTTCTCCTGCTGCTCCGGCATGGTCTCGCCCGAAGAAGAGGCCATTGTGAATACAAGATACAGAGGAAAGGATGTACACAGAGAAGTGAAGCCCAAGGGCAGGGTGGCACGGTGGAGAAAAAGAGATCGTAAGGTTGAGAAAGAAGCACAGAAGAAGCGCCTTTCTCGCTCGATGATGGCAGAGATCAATGGTGGGGTCTAAGCTCTGCTGGCCCAGAGGTACCTGGCTGATGAACGGTTGCAGGCTTAAATTTCGATACCCTTGTCAGGTACTTTTCCCTTGCAGCAGGGCTACCCGCCCACCTAAATACCACAGGGAGGTCCCCAGCAAGGGGGCGCTTATTTTACCCTGGCCCACCTCTGCCCGCGGAATTCCTGACAGTTTGCCAAGTACATCTGGCCTGGCTTGGATTTCAGGCCCCACTCCATTCGACTCACATTCGGACCGGGCGGGACTCCCTTCTCTTCGCGAAATCCAGTCTGGGCAGTCCGTGGTCGCCCGCGTGGGAACGAATTGTCCATCCGTCCTGTCTCCTGCCATTGCCGTGGGTCCTGACTCGTTTCGAGCAAAATTCGCTGTAAAACCCGGCCGCATGCCTGGTTAGCCCGGAGGCCCGCCATAAGGTGACGAGTAAGGTCGTCATCCCACCACTCAAAGCACCTGTTTCAGACGACTCGTTCGCACACGGCCAACACGCAGTAACTTTTTTACCTGAGTCTGTCTGTCCCTCTTGCAGGACCCTAGCTGTCTTTGTGCTGTGAGGGGTTGATGTTATTCCCATGGCTAGGGGAGACCATGCAACAAAAGGCCACTTACTCAGCGTCGTGACCTCACTCCCCTCGCCCTTCCGGTCTTGCAAGCGTCACTGGCCGGCCTGGGCTCGCAGGAAAAATGCACTCTTGGTCCTAGCTAGCCACTTGGCCACACCGAGCATCCATTATTGGGTGGCTAATAAACAAGCAAAGAAATGTCTGCAAAATCTCTGTCTTTTTTTTCCCTGTCAAGGTTGGTACCACATTTACTCCCTTGCTGGGCTGCCATGCGGTACAAGCGCCCGTCTTGGCACAGAATTGGCACCGATCCCAGAACTTCGGCTCCGGTTATGTGAGGGTGCCATGTGAATGCCTGGTGCCATAGGCTAGACGCGGCAATTCAAGGACGCTTTTCACATGAAGACCTTTGCGGAATACCCCTTCTGGATGTCCAGGCCTGCCGGTCCTCACTCACAGCTAGCCAATAGCCGTGGAGTTCCTGTTGCCCACAAAAAATCAGCAATTGCCAGCCTCGGTTGAGGTTGTTGCGGCTGATGTAACCGCCTTCGCATGCTGTAATTCAGGCGGAATTCCTCTATTACCATTGGCCTGTGCCTGGTATCTCATACCGGTGCGTAACCCTTGCGTGGGATCTGCACCGAGTCTATCTTGAATTGCTATTTGCGGAATGATATTAGGTGATAGTTTGGAGCCTCATTCAAAGTTTCAAAGCGGTATCTCGCATGTTCGCCGTTTGGGAGGTAATTGATCTCCCAAAAGTTCAAAGCAGCCGTCGAGATGAAACTTTCCAATGGCTGGACAGATATTTTATTGTACAATGGTAAGAATACATGTAGATGGGGTTATATATATGTGACAGTGACGTTGGGATCTGTGCCCGCTATCGTGGTTTTCGCTACTAATCCATCAAATGCAATCCATTTTAAACGCCTGACTGCTCCAGGGCAGATATGATTATGCAACTACCGCAAGGCCAATGGACTTTGCTTGGTAGATGATGGACCGGCAGAGACCCTGCAGCGGGAGACCGGAGAGCCGGAGCTCGGACTGCTTGATTTTGGCGATCTCGTAGATGTGCTTCAGCGAGACGGTCCCGACCGTCTCGGTGCCCGGGTTGCTCGCTCCTTTCCGCTTGCCTTTCTTCCCTAGGGGGACTTCTGCAGCGTTGAGCAGGAGCCAGGAGGTATGAGGGGTGCGGACGTCGAAGTGGAATGTCCTGTCCGGTCGAACGGTCACCCGGACGGGCATAGGGGTGCCCGGGTTGATGTGTGCTGTCCTCGCATTGAACTCCTAGAGGCGCGCAACATGGAGTCAGCCTCACAACCCATCTGACTGGTGATGCTTCATCACGCTTGAGCTGAATCGGCGATGCGACAAACCTTGCAAAAGTCCATCGACTTGATACCCTTACTGCCCAGCGCCGGACCAACAGGCGGACTGGGGCTGGCCTGGCCAGCTCCGACGATGAGCTTGACGATCTGGTCGACGCCACCGGCGGCGCCTCGAGCCTTCGACATGGTGTTGAGCTGTGTGCGGTGATTGACCGGGTGTCGTTCCTCGAATGGTCAGATGGCACGCGAACGTCGCTCGCATGAGGTTTTCCCCGATCCCAAAATTTCGGGAAGCTCGAGCCACACGTTGCGATGCGATGTGGGCCTGAGGCGCACCCACGCCCGAATTCCCCTGCATGGCGCGCATGGCTGTCAGCTGGCGCACTGTACTTGTACGCATAATGCCTAGGCGCTTGCTGGGCGGTTTTCCAGGGCACCCCTCCCCGCCTGCCGGGCTACTGTAAAAGAGTGGTCGCTCGATGACGAGCCTAACTAGCCCGGATTGACCGCCTGATGTCACAGGGCCCAGGGGACGATCCGCCAGAACCGCAAACCCACAGGAGGGGCCGCCGCCCCGACCTTTCGGGCACTTTTAGATTCCCACGACTCTTTGCGGGCGGTGAAAGTCGAAAGATCCATATCGCATACCTCCCTGGAAAACTCTGCATCATCTTCCTACCTCCGCTCTCCTTGAAATCTAGACGGTTTTGTGTTCCCAATCCCGTCTCTTCTTCACCTGATCCCGCACCACCCGGTCGACGACGTCCACCATGTTCAACTGGGCCAAACAACAGTGAGCAGAGACTGCGCTATGATGTTTACCCACCACAGACCCGTACTGACCAAGAGCTCGCCAGGCTGGCCAACGTGGCCGGCACCCAGGAGCCCATATATGGCCCGTCGGCAATCAAGTCGGTTGCTGAAGAGGCCAAGTCGACTCCGTACACGGAACTCACTCGCGCCGACCTCAAATGGCAGGCTATGGACTCGACCTGCGTCGAGACGCAGAGCTTTTACATCACGACGGAGAGTGGCTACGCTGTGCTTGCACAGGTCATCTATAGCAATGTGGCGTACGTCTTGTGTATTTGCGTGTCTCGTATGCTGAGAAACCGGAAATGCTGACCATCCACGTTGTTCAGCGGCATTCGCACGACATGCCAGTTCAACTGCAAGGTCTTCTACCTCGACGGCTCCCAGCCCCACCTCTGGTGCTCGACACCGCTTCACCAGCACGAATTCAGCGAGGACATGACGTCGTTCTATGCTACCGACTGCGCAGTGGAGCTCTCCGAGGACGGCTCCTTCTATACGATCAAGTCCCTGAACGACGAGAGGGCCATTGTCAACCTCAAGGTCACCCGCTCAGCTCCCGGCTTCCACGCCGGCAAGACCGGTAAGACCCTCTTCGGAACCGACCTTGAGAACCCGTGGGGATCCATGCGCCATGCCTTCTGGCCGCGATGCGCTGCCGAGGGCACCGTCACCACCAAGGAGGGCCCTATCGACCTGAAGGGCAGGGCCTTCTTCGTCCACGCCCTGCAGGGCATGAAGCCCCACCACGCTGCCGCGAGGTGGAACTTTGTCGACTTCCAGGGCCCGACTTACTCGGCAATCATGATGGAGTACACGACGCCGCCGTCCTACGGCTCCACGGTCGTGTCTGTCGGCGGTCTCGCCAAGGATGGCCAGCTCATCACTGCCGGAGTTCTGCACAAGGCCGAGCACACCAAGGCCAAGGAGGACAGCGAGAACGACTGGAAGGAGCCCGAGGAGGTCAAGTACTCGTGGTCTGGGACCACCAGCGACGGGAAAGCGGTGGAGGCTCGCCTGGAGGGGTCGCTGGAGGAGCGGTTGGACCGCGTCGACGTCATGGCCGAGGTCCCCGGCTTCGTCAAGAAGATCGTGGCCGGCGCCGCTGGTACTAAGCCGTACATCTACCAGGTAAAGAAAATACCCGCGGTTGAGGTGCTATTATCGAGACATCGTTGCTAACTTCGTCTCTAGTACTTCCCTCGCAGCAAGAAGCTCACCCTGAAGCTGACGATCGGCGACGAGACCGAGATCTCAGAGGAGGGCGATCTCTTTGCCGAGGCGACCTTCATCTCGGAATAGAGCACTCTCTGCTTCGCGAACTAAACTTTGTGCACCAAAGGTTCCCCCTTAATGTTCGGGTTCACGACGGATGTAATGGCTGGCGTTGAAGAAAGGCGATAGAGGCGGGTCACTCGTTTATACCCATGTCGCAATGTCCCTCGTTTTGTTTGCGAATCATCCAAGTCGAGCGTGTGTGGCCAACAGAAGAGGTTGGATAGATAACAAATAGCAACACGCGCCGCTGTAGTAATATTAATGCACTTTTCTTATTCAGTACTGCTATCTTAGTCTTCCCTCGCAAACTATCCCTATGGATACGATATTCGGCAAACAGAGAGCAATCATCTGAAGGCAATCCGGGCTGTCAGTCGAGACTCAGAATCAGTGTCATACAGTGTTTACCTCAAACCCGACCACACTGTGAATTACTGGGTACCAGACCTCCAATTCTTGGTATCTTATCTTGAGCCGGGTTGACCAGACTTGGACTGGAGCCTAGTCTTTTTCCCCGTCCGCCTAGCAACCTCTTTCATCCATCCCGCCAACTAAGGCTAGGTACACCCACCCGCCCGTTGATATCCATTGCAGACCCATCACCACCATTCGCTCATCCAGCTCCAGTCCTTTGGAAGACCGGTTGGACTAAAGCGCACCGGAAGAGCTCTTGTACGGTGCATATTCGCAGCCACAAAGCACTATGCCTCCTACGGTTCCGAAGAGCGGAGGTCCGAAGGGCCTCACTGCGCCCAGCAGCAGCGCGCCCAGCTCGGCGCCGTACAAACCAGGCATGGTTGGCGGCAAGGGCAAAGCAGTGCTCAGTGGGAAGCGCCACCGGTAAGTTGTGAGATGAGATTCCTGCAGCTCTTTCGCATTTTTTTCTGACGAGAAGCTGACCATTTGGGGTATTTCCGTTGCACGACATGCAGAAAGATTGCGAGAGATACAATTCGCGGTATCAGTATGGGCCCTTTTTCTCGGACAATGAATTGTTGTCCTGTGCATTGTTCGGGTTGACGTGACGGGATTGTGAGAACTGACGTGTGGGACTTGCACTCTCTACAGCAAAACCTGCTATTCGGTGAGTGCACGCTTTTCCGATCTTTTGATCTGGTCTAATTTGCTTGATTTTGCGTTCACCTCATTCCCAATCCCTGTTCTCTTGCGCCCTGTCCAACTAGAGACACTAACGGTTGCACGCCTCGGCCAACAGACGCATCGCTCGCCGGGGAGGCGTCAAACGCATCTCCTCCGCCATCTACGATGACGTCCGTGAGGCTCTAAAGACTCGTCTTCGCATGGTGAGAACCGCTACTGGTCCCCGCTATTTTACAACAGCAAGTTGGGGCTTTTATGAAAGCCATACGAGTCTAACAACTTAAACTTGGTAGATTATTCATGACTGCGTCGTCTTTGCAGAGCATCGAAACGGCAAGACCATCACAGTCGCTGATGTAAGTGATGAACCACCCTTGTCTTCAGCAATGCTGGGAGAGCTTTGCTAAACATTGCCCAAACCTAGGTGGTCTACTCGCTGAAGCGTAATGGTAAGACCATCTACGGCTTCGGTGAGGCCGAGCGATGAAGAATCATGACGAGACTTCTTCAACCATATGACCCTGTATGAATGATCTGGATCCGGCGTTTGTTGAGAGATTAGGGGTTCTATGGCTTTTGCTTTTTGAGATACCACTGATTTGATATCTGGACTGGTTGGCTTTTACGGTTTGTCACGACTAACGAGGACGGATGGGATTCGGGCCTTGTTGATATCACAGGCAGGGGATTATTGCATGAAGTGTTAACTTGATGATGTTGTGGACAATGGTTATATGTAACTGGGCGCCTAGTTGTACTATTAGTGATGGATATCACTCTATTTGTCATATACTCAGGTAATAGGTATAAAGAGTACCTAAGACCAGAAGAGGAGAAAATGCAAGAAGTCTATATATGTCAACGCTGGGTATCATTGATTCTGAAACCGTAACCCCTATTCCCCCAACCTAGCACTATGCCGTTCCCTCAACATTACACCCATCCATCCGAGCCTCCGACTAGCAACAGGCAACATATCTTCCCTTTCGTTAAGATCAAGTGCCCCCCTCCCCCCTCCCCCTTCTCTCTCGAAAAAAGCTTTTACTTCCTCTTCTTGCTGCCCTCCATCTCGGCCAGCACGTTCTCGAGGGCCCGGGCGGCCCTGCGCTCGCGCCGCCGGAAGGACCCGTTGAACATCTCGGGCAGCACCATCTCGCTGTTGGCGTGCTCGCGCGCGAACCCGACCTCGGCGTCGCGGCCGCAGCGCTCGCGCGTCACGCGCACGGCCTCGTGCAGCATGTCGGCGCCGACGCCGCGGCCGCGGTACCGCAGGCGCGTCGTCCAGGCGCGGATCACGCCCCGGCCGCCCTTGAGGCTGGCCGACCCGCCGCCGCCGCCGCCGCGGGTCCGGCGCTTGGTGCCGCTGCCGCCGCTTCCGCTGCCGGGCAGGCCGGCGAGGTTGGGCTCGAGCCGGAGGACGCAGGCGCCGATGATCTCGCCGCCGTAGCGGGTGCCGATGACGACGTCCTCCGCGCCGGGGGCGTCGTCCGACACGAGCCACGCGTACTTCATGTCCTCGGCGCGCTTGAGGTAGGGCGCCGTGACGTACCGGATGGCGAGCAGGTAGGTCATGAGCAGGCCGCTGAGCAGGGCGAGGCCGACGCCGACGTCGCGGTGCGCGCGGGCCACCCAGACGAGCTGGTGGGCGGCGGCGGCGACGGCCGTGAGCGCGGCGAGGCACAGCGGGTGGGTGACGAGGTCGCGCGAGGCCTGCTGGCGCTGCTGGGCGACGCTGTCGGCGACGAGGCGCAGGGCGTCGACCTTGTCGTTGCGGTCGGTCAGGACCTCGAGGGACAGGGGCGGGATGTCGTCCATGTTTGGCAGAGGCGGCGGATGGCTATCGCTGCTGCTGCCGCTTGCTAGGGCGGCCGGGGCGGGCTGCTCCATGGTCTGGGAGGTGGTCGGCTCGAGGAGGGGCGTGTTGACGTTGGAGGACATGGCCGAGGGCGGGAGGACGAGGTTGGCGCGCAGGAAGGTGAAGAATGCTGGGGAGGGTTTGCAGAGTGTGAGTTTGCTTGTACTCTTTTTTGTTTGACCCTTGGTGGCAGTGCCAATTGCAGAAAGACGAGAAATAGAAATTTCAGATAAGCGCAAGCTTTTGTCGACTTCTGTTGAGGCACATGCACGACTCGAGATCAAGGCGGGACCGGGAGTGAGGTCAGGTCAGGTCAGGTCCAGTCGAGTCGTGTTGCGTTGCAAGGAGAGCTTCACGAATTGTGCAATTGAAGAAGCAACCCTTGGGGGATACTGTCCCCTATGTATTCCGTCACAGCTGGGAAAGCAGCAAGATCACACGACAAGGTCGAAGACAGAGTATTCTAGAAGAGATGAAGACTCAAAAAAACAAAGAAGAATATTTCTGTTCTTACCGGTGCTGGTCTTTAGACCGGGGACCGCATTGATTTTGTCCACTATCGAATTTGAGTGACAAGCACTCAAATCGAGCTCCGTAATGGTAGCCATGTGGTAGGAGAGTGCCGTCTCATTGGCTTGGCACGGCCTGTGTCTAGTGCGGTCGGTATTGGCTCGGGGCGGCGGGGACGAAGTAGACTGGCGAAGCAAGTAGAGGCCAAAAAAAAAGTATGGTATTTGATGGCTGGGCGGGGTCCCCTCCCGTTCACCAACAGACTGGTAGTGTGGTTGTAGTGGGTGGTAGTAACAGCAAGAGGGACGAGAGTGTGTGGGATGATGATGCAGTGAGAAGCGCGTTGTGGACAACCTCAGAAGAATCAAGCTTCGTAGCCGCTTCAAGTAGGAAGAGATTGTTTCAAAAAGCCAGCGGATCTCGGTCTCGAACGTCAAGGATCCGGTGTGATTAAAAGGGATAAAAGAAGCTCAGAGAGAGAGCTAGACACAGAAAGCTCAGGATGAAGCAAATAATGGAAACGAAAAAGGTCCCCAGGTCACCCTTGTCTCGAGAGGCAGAAATGGATGGGAAGAGCAGCGCCTGCTGTCGAAGAAAGAAGCAGTAAAAGTCTTTCCCGGTCTGCGACGGCACACACCTGGGGCATCGCCAGATATAAAGACGACACCACGTCAATCAACGATATCCAGACCGCCGGGACCTCCTCTCCAAGGGATCCCAGAGCCAAGAGATACCATCTGCTAGGTCATAGGCGGGCTCGCCGGCCTGGTATGCACGCAGATGTTGGGAGACGAGCCAACCGACGGGCAGCCGATCCCCCATCCATCCATGGATGTCTCTCCGAGGCCCAGCCGCTGCCCAGGGAAGCACGCGAGCGCGGCCTCGATAGCATGATAAGCGTATGCTTCAGACCATTGGGTGGAGATCAGGGGACACACCATGGGCCATGGCTGCAGTGGTGAAGGTCTCGACGCAACCAGATACGCAAGCCCGGTTGTGTTGGTGTGGAGGAGCAAAGAGGAGCAGAGAGGAGCAGAGAGGACCCAACTGTCAAACGGGCCATGTGAGGGAGACGAGAAGAGTGGTCGAGGTGGGCCCAGACTCCTGTTCTTTGAAGTTTGAGATTTTTAGATTGACGAACCAAACATCTCTGTCACCACCACTACGCCCGACCGGGGTCTTTTTGACGAGCCATTCAGTGGCATGGCTCGCCGTGGCTGGCAGACGGCGCGCCCTTGCTCGGGACCATGTGAGCCAAAGTCAGCATCCGCCGGAGCAATGGTCTCTCCGCGAAGACGACAAGACTGGTCCGGGGTTGCTGGTGACCAAAGGTTATCTTTGCCAACGACTTGTAGCATTGGCATTGCCTGGCAGACATCCTCCCAAATAGGGATACCTAGAGAACTTGCTGTGAGTAAGCCTGCTCGGATTGCGACGGGGACTCTGTGCGTCATGTTGGGTTCCTAAACATCCCGCAAGCTCTTGACTTGAGCAAGTTTTTCCCTCTTGTCTCTGGACTCGTGGAGGCATTGGCAGAAACAAAACCCCACGCTCCTGCAGGCGAGCATTTTGAAACATTCGGTCTGTCGAATCGACCAAGATGACCACTGATCGTCTGGAGGGGTCCACGAACATGGTGGAGGGGTGTGGAGGGGTGTGGAGGGGGGGCCAAGTCTTTTTCCCCGGGACCAGTCCTAGCTTCCGCTCGTTGGGGAATCATCAACCTCAAACACACGACGTGCTCGGGAGCCAATGGCAGACTTCAGACGTGGACGAAGGGTCCTCGGAGCACGTCACTTCTGCACAGCAGCCGTGTTTGCCTTCTTCAAACCACTGGACACATATCGAGTATCGCTCCCACTGCTAGCGGCGTCATATTCGCGCCATCATGCCGTATGCGATGCGGTGAACAAACAAGCATGCTAATAAACGCCTGCTGATGCGAGATAGGGATGGCAAGTGATGGGAACGGGCGACCTTATCTCGGGCCTGCTCCCTGCTGCACGCACTGCACCTCGACTTGCACTGGATGATGTTGTGCGACTCTGGGGGGAGGGGGTCATCACTCGGACCTAAACCACACAATTCTTGTTCACACAAAAGCCAAGACTGTCTTGGCTTCCGTGCATGTGTCGCGACACCCCGAGTGAATTCAGTCCATGCAGACCCTGAGGGGTGACAGTGGTCCAAAAACAGGTTTCATCCTCTCGCCGGTTGACGACCTCTTATTTTTCCTGGACCGACTGCCGGCATGGGATGTAGGACTCGACGGCTCGCGGCATCGTCGCCTGCTGGATTCGGATGGTGAGGTGTACGCATTGTTTGGTAAGGTGTCAGCGCACGTGTACTCATACTTCTTCGCTTTCATGTGCATGACAGCTAGTTATCTTTCGCGCCGTATCGAGGGCAATGGAGTAGAGACCGCTTGGCTCTTCATCGGCCTGGACAGAGTCAGCTCGGCGTGCTCAGAGTCCTCCCCTCGCTGTCCTGGGAAAATCTGCCTTGTCAGCCCCGATTGCGACCCCGCCAGAGCCGACGATTGGCCACGGCCACCTCGAAATGTGGGCAAAGGCAGAATGCCCTCTGTTCCCAAGACAGAACAAGGCACACCTGTTTATATAATCGGATGACTTGCCTCGGGCGCGGCGTATTGTGTGCTGGACGGTCAGCAAGGCAAGAGCCGTGTCTCCATTTTCCTAGGCAAAGCTCATTCATTGATTGATCCTAGTCCTGCGCCGCAGCGAAGAACTCCCCGGCGTGAAAGATCAGAGAGGCAGCCACTCCACCTCCTCTTACACCCCTGCATCCCTCAGCCCAGCACCACCCGCCCGCCACAACCAAAGTCCTACACCCAAAGTCCTAACCGTTCCCCCGCCCCGTCGTCTACCCAGTAGGACCTGTCGGCGATGATGTCGACAATTGGCCTTGCCTGCCATTCTGTAGATGACAACTCAGGCAAGAAATGAAATAAAGTAAAAACGGGTGGCGGATAATGGTCATGATCACGTTTCCGCCCATCCATTGCCTCTTCCCCGTCCATTGAACGTGACTGGCCAGGCAGCACGACACGCCGACGATGGACTCCAAGAAGGCGCCTTTGTCCTTGCTGGAGGACGACGCTGCGTTCACCGTCCTCCCACGAGCCACGTCCCCGGCCCCGAGCAGCCGCTTCTCGCTACGCCGGAGCTCACACTCATTCCGGCCCTCCATAGACCCGGAGTCGCTAAACTCATGCGTGTAGGTAAGTCTGTGCTCATGTTCCAATCTCATGAGACTGACATGGCCCACATAGGAGCCGTGACACATCCAGTGATGAATGCGCCAGGCACAGGTTCATCGTCTGGGCAGCCGTCAAGCGCAACACCAGCCAGCGGATGACGGACCAGGAGAGGCTCGAATGCCCGCTGCTGCGATGCACCCGGCGGTTCGCCAGCCATGAGCTGATGCTCAGGCACCTGGTTACCTGCGACCAGCTGCCCTCGTGTGAATACTGGTGCTACGAGCACATGAGGCTCGAGAGGTTCGACGACCGCAAGTGCAAGAGGTGCCTGGGCCACCCCTCCAAGCGGCGCAAGATGCTCTGCATGGCCAAGAACTTCTTCTCCTCCCTGGGCCACAAGCCAAAGAAGGGACAAGAGGACGAGCTCTGCCTGCCCGGCTCGGCGTCGCTTACCCCTCCGCCCAGCTACAATTCGCTCCACGCGGAGCTTCCCCCCGACGGGATCATGGAGATAGACTCGACTGAACTGGCTGCCATCCCCGAGCAGCCGGCTGCGGATGCTTCTATCGACCCTCAGGCTCTCCTTCTCCCCGAACTCGACTCGACTGCTATCCCCGCCATTCCCTTTGTCGAGTGGCCGGCAGAACCGACGATCAACCTCCAGAGTCTGGACCTGGGGAAGAACTTGGCTGCCAAACCGACCTTGCAGCTCAACACGAATGGCTTGGGATCAGCCCAGCGAGTTCCACGGCCTCGGCCAGTCGTCCAGCCAGTCATTCGCAGCAAGAACCTATCCCCAAGCTCATCCGTGAGATCCAACGCTAGCACAATGAGCAACATCAGTTCGATCATCTCTCCCATATCGACGTGGAGTCACGGCTCGTACGCCATGTCTGGCCTCGAGACTGGTGCGACATCACCGACGGGCGAACTCGTCAGTCCTATTGACTTTTTCGGCGACAACGAGATGGGCGGCTGCACGGGGCTAGAAACCGATGCGTTCCTGCCGCAATTGCCGAACGACGCCGTGTCAGAACTCCCCGCTGAGTTGCCAGCCATGGACAATGTCCTACCCGACCTTCTCACCCCCGATCCCTTCGCTCTCCTCTTTGAGCCCTCCTACGCCGAAAACTTGTCGTACGAATCTGATATAATCGCTGGCGGAGCAGATGGCGACGTGCGAGCAGTCTCGCCACTTGCCGTCAAGGAGTCGACTGTTTGCGAAGCGGAGAGCCCAGCCTTGATTGTGTCCGCGTGGGACGCACTGCTGGTCAATATCACATCGTCTCTAGCCAACACTCGGGACATCCAGGGCAACCGGTTTGTGGATCAGCTGCGCACGCTCTCGCCCAACTCGATCGCATCAACAGGCCTCCGAGTGCTCCAGAACTCCCTGCAAGGACAGCCTCCGACCTCGCCCATGGACACCATCTGTTTCATCCACCTGATCTACGCCTTCTCCCTGGCCACCTACGAAAGCCACACCTCATCCCGCTGTGACGCGCTGTTCCTGCAAGCACTGGCTTATAACTACTACTTGGACCCGAGTCAACAAAGGGCTTATACACAGGTCGTCTCGGCCGTATGGAATCCCGGGACCATCCCCTCAAGCGACTTGAGTCAACGGTTAGGAGCCAAGTACGATGCACTGCGCCGATCGTCAAGTAGGAAAGGAAAGGAGCTGGGGGGGCCTGCGGGGACCAACAGTGTCTACAAGGACCCTCTTCTCCTTGCTGCTCAGGACTACCTAGACGGTATGTTTTCAAAGATAATTCTTGTCTTATGCGAACTACAAACTCACAGGTCTCTTTAGAGCTCGAATCATCTGTCATTGTCCACCGTGTGACCGCTTCGCTCAAGACTTCCGACATCTGGAACCACCACTTTAGGAATGTCAGGTTAGAAACACCGGGCAACAGTCCCTTCCATTTCGCGGCAACGTACATCCTCGGGGAGATCTCCAAGTTTCCCGGCGTCGAGGGGCTTGGCAGCCACCTTCAAGGCATAGATACGCGGCTCAGGCAAGGCTTCATCTCCAGTGTTCGAAGGCTGGAGTTGGAGCTATTGCAAGCTGGAAAGGTCAGTCAGTTTTCATCACAGACAACCAAGGCAGCCATGGCTAACATACTTCTCTCAGCGATGCATGTCTATACGGAGGTTCTCGGACGTGTTCGCCCCTTTGGTCAGGGGGCTCTGCGACCCTCTGTACAAACAGGACGAGCCGGCTTCTTCGCACCGAGCCTCGTACTACGAACACTGCATCACGATGATTGAACAGATCATCGGGGAACTGAGCGCTACTCATGCCTCCGATGACATGTCAGAAACGTTTGAAGGGCTCATCGACGCATTCACGAACCAGCTTGGGAATGAGAGCGAGCAGGAGGACAAAGTCGTCGGCCCGAGCGATCCAGTCGGCAGCTCGGCAGCCCTTATCATTCCCGCAGTCGCTGATGACCAGCAACATACCAAGCCTGCAGAACAACAACAAAAGACCAGCAGCAGCAGCACATTGATCACGCCGCCGTCGTCGTCGTCGTCTGGCGACGACGACGACACGCCATCGGACGGCCAGAGCAAGGCCACCGAGGCCAATAGCTGCTGCGAGATCTGCGGGTACCGGCCCAAGGGCGACCCGCAGTGGTTCAAGGGCAGCATGGCCAAGCACAAGAAGCTGCAGCACTCGACGTCGCCGCCCAAGATCTACAAGTGCCCCTACCCGGGGTGCAGCAGCCAGTACAAGAACAGGCCGGACAACCTGCGGCAGCACCAGATCGAGAAGGACCACTGGGTCGGCGGCGACGGGCCGGGCAGCCGGAGGCCGAGCAAGCGCAAGAAGATGTCGGACTGATTGAGGGAGGTTGTGTGCTACACTGGGGGCGGGGGGGAAGGGGGGGGGGGGGGGACAAGCTCTCC